CTAATGGGTTGGTATCTGACGAAATCTCACCACAGATTCGAAAAGCTCGTTTGGCTTTTGCCAACTTACGTCACCAATGGTGAAGGCGAGATATTCGTCTATCAACAAAAGGACGAGTATACTGCGCGGCAGTCCATTCTGTTTTAATTTACGGCAGCGAAGAAGACACCCGTAAGCTACTAGTGTTTGACCACAGATGCCTTAGAAATATTGCTGGCATCTGCTAGGATCACCGGGTAAGTAATAGTGAGGTTAGACGCAGGGTATTAGGGAATGATGGTAAATCAGTTGATGAGGTTGTGAATCTTCATCGACTGAGATGGTTGGGCCACGTGTTACGTATGCCTGAACACCGATTACCACGTCGTACAATGCTAACCGGTGTTGGAGATGGTTGGAAGAAAGTTAGGGGTGGCCAAACCAAAACATGGCATCAGTGCCTGAAGTTACTAACTTCTAGTCTGAGCCATGTTGGTAGATGCAGACTACTTGGTCAGGGTCCGCGTGACCATCGTAACCAATGGTTGGAGACTCTGTGTCACATGGCTCAGAATCGATCACAATGGCGTAGGTGTATACACTATTTGTCTTCCTTTAAACTATGAGCTTGAAATCGCTTCATATCTTTTTTTCTACAAACTGATTCTTTCTTCTTATACTATGTCATCATATACAATCTTTCTTTTACATAATACCACCACTGAATTAACTACTATGGATTCTGTGTTCATCTTGCTGTGCTAATGCGGTATGGCAACTTGGACCGATACGTATATTTGCCTTGTCCTACGTTGTAGCTAACTGACTGACTGACATTTACTACTGTGAGTAGGTTATATTGTTTTAAAAAAAATGAACATAAAGCAATAGATTGTATTCATATTTTATTAATAAATACATAGAATTTCAAGCCGATAGTTTTTTTTCAAAACTAACTGACCTAATAAAAATGAATTTTGTAGAAGTACACGAAAAAAAGAAGATCTGATTCAGATGTACAGGCAAGGATTGACAAAGTAAGGGCAGCATTTCTACAACTAAAAAATACATAAAACTCAAAACAACTGTCAACTAACATCAATGTCATAATCTTCAATACGAACTTTAAGGCAATTCTCCTGTATGGAGCTGAATCGTGGAAAACTACCACAACCATCATCTAAACAGTACAAGTATTTATAAACAATTATCAACGTAAGATACTCATTTTCCGTTGGCCGGATACTATCAGCAACAGCCTACTGTGGTTGAGGGCAAACGAGCTTCCAGCTGAGAAGAAAATTAGGAAAAGACGTTGAAAATCGATAAGACACACATTGAAGAAATTATCAAACTGTATCACGAGGCAAGCCCTAACTGGGAATCTTGAAGGAAAATTAAAATAATAGGAAGTCAAAAGAACACACTGAGTCGAGAATCGGAAGTAGACAACAAAATAATGAATAACAATTGCTAACAAATGGGAAGGATTGCCCATGACAGAGTTAAACTGAGAATACTGGTGGGTGGCCCATTCTCCTCCACGGGGGATAACAGGCGTAATTAAATAAGTAAAATGAAGCAAACAAATTATCTGGTTTTATTTGACTACTTGACTAGGAAGGATTTTTCAACTAATAAAAATTTCGATTTAGTTTTCATGATTTAACGACATTATTATTTCGTAGATTTATTGAAAATGAAGAACAGTCGAAAAGCTAACACGTTCTAGTATGAAATAACTCAAAAGTGTTGAACCATATGTCCATGACATACATACACACATCCTATATCAGATAACAGTTAACAATTGAAGAACACAATCAAATCATTATTACATGTTTCGGTGGTGAAGATTTGTAACTCAGATGTACGATTTCGATGGAGTTTTGTTCTCTGACCTGGATGGTTTGTTTACAGAACAAAACACCATCAAAAACATGTTTCAGTGTTAACTAATTAGATTTATTCATTGTTTGTTGATTGCAAATAATTATATAGGATAAAATGTCGATACTATTGTTTATGGACCATTAAGTGTCCACCTAATAACCAGGACCAAATAAGGGTTATAAACCACCGTGAGCAAATAGTATAGTGGAGACAATCGAATGTATCTAACACAAAATTACAGGACTTGTTAATAAAATCTAACAATCATAAAGTAAATGCTTAATTTGCAAAATATCCACCAACTGTCTCAAAATAACTCAGACTTCATTGTTCTTGCATTTTCATACAAATTGCATTCTGTTTCGATTCTTTACTGTTCGAACCTGTTGTCTCTCTACTGCCGGACCTTCAGTTCATGACTAACATCATATACTACTTACGTCAATATAAGTAGCACACACCACAATAGAATTATGATTTACAGTTGATGATTAGGATTCGAAATTAGATTTAAGGTTTTCATCACGAACTAACATCAGCTATAATGCCAAAACTTTATTTATCCGAGACCTGTTATCCTATTTTGGTGGAGTTTTGTTCTCTGAGCTGGATGGTTTGGTCGTGGAGCTTTCATCGTTCTTCTGAACGACATCATCAGCACAAACTTCAGATAGAAGCGAAGTGTTTGAGCTCACAAAATCAACTGCGTACACACATTGTTCAAGAGGGCGAGGACACACTGCAGCACACTGGCAGCACGAAGAAATGAAGGGAAATACCTAAAGGATGTATTTCAGAAGAACGGCTACCCCATCAACATCAAAAAAATGCCAACCGCACGCAGCATTAGAACTCAAGTCAAGCACAAAAATCAACAAAAGGATCACCCTACCATATATACATGGAATATCAGAAACCGCAACGAGACTGCTAAAAACCTTCGGGATAGGTGTGGTACATAAACCGACAAAATCACTACAATCAATCTTATGCGAACCAAAAGATGAAATAACAAAGGAAAACAAATCAAACATCATCTACAAAATAAATTGTGCCAACTGCGAAAAACACTTCATCGGACAAACCGGACGCCCCCTTCACCTTCGCCTACATGAACATCAATTAGCAGTCAAACGCCATGATATCTCTTCACTTATATCAATACACGTGGATAACTACGGACACTCATTCGATTGGAAAAATGTGGAAATCTTAGACAGAGGAAACTCCAAAAACACCAGAGAATTTTTAGAAGCCTGGCACTCAGGTCAATCAGCAATCAACTAGCATATTGAAATCAATCCAATTTATCAACCAATCAGAAAAATCATGCACAAACATAAGAACAAAAATCAAAACAATGGGAGACACAACCAAAACAAAGAAGTAAACAATGACAAATTTAAGGTCAATAAGAACCAATCAACGTCGAGGTGCACAGAACAAGCTTTGAGACACGTATGGAGAAATTCAAACGCTTCACTTCTATCTGAAGTTTGTGCTGATGATGTCGTTCAGAAGAACGATGAAAGCTCCACGACCAAACCATCCAGCTCAGAGAACAAAACTCCACCCAAATCATCCACCTGAGCTACAAATCTTCTCCACCACCTGTTATCTTATACGTGATTGGTTCGTCCATAAATTATAGTGTCGCCGATAAAATAATGTTTCCAGTAAAGTGAATTATGAATATGATGGTATACTTGTTGTTTCAAGTTTTATATCAACAAATGAGATTTCTTAGTATGAATTATTTAATTTCTGAGTGATCGTTATTATAAGTTAGAAAATATAGTCTTGTTCTTTAAAAAAAAACTGAGTTCTGTTAAACTTCTGCTGTTGTGCAACTCTTGGGAAAACACTCAAAATTTATTTGATAAATACGTTGTAGTGTCGGTGACTATGTTAAACCCACATAGCTTATTCTAACTTCTGGACAGGCCAATTTTTCCATTCTTCTTGAATCATGTTTTGATCTTGCTAAATATTCAATTATCAGCCTTGACTGTATTCATATGAGAGCATGTGTGTGTACATCTTCTCCTACTCATCACATATCTGTAACTTATTTTTGAGTGACTATAAATAATGAATAATGCTTGAGTTGGCTCACATGCCCTCTCCAATGTGCATCATTTCGCTTCTTTCTCTTCTATTCGTTTCACCCCTCTTATTTCCTGTTCAGATCAGTGAGTGTACAAAATATATGTATTCATAAATCCATTCTCATATTTGACTTATTCAATTCCGTTATTTACCAACGCGAATTAAGTAGATGATTATATACGAGGACTGACGATATGTGTACTTCGACAACATTCATACGATCTAATTAGAGTTAGATATCGGGCCACTAAAACGTTATACGGATTAGTGGATTTTTCGCTTTTATTAACTAAACTTTGTGATATGAAATTTACATTTTCAATTTAGATTAATGAAATATCAATTGTTGTATCTTGAATATAAATAATTTTCAAGTAATTAAACATAAAGTGTAAATTATTTCTAACACGATGGTTTGGTCGTGGAGGTTTCATTGTCCTTTAAAAATAACATCATCAGCAAAAATCTCGGAGAGAAAAGAAACATTCAAATTGTTCCACATATGACTGATAACTTGCCCTATCGAAATCGATCTACCTCTTCAAATATATATATCCGACTAAACAAATGTACATCAGAAGTTCATTAGTGACTAATGTTGAGATGAACTCTTAGCGTCTAAGTGAAAAGTCTTGATGAATGAATTGAAATAAGCCCAACTTACAAAACTAGTTTATGAACAGAAATAATGATATTAATGGGTTTATGTGTGACCGTACTACTTCGAAAACAAACTCAAATTAGTAGGAAAATTGATAGTTAACCTATCAGGAAATGACGAATAATCTGTCTCTTTTATAGAACCTTGTTGTATTGCTTTACTGAGCGCTGAATGGAAAAAGTATCTTCAGACTTCTCTCATCTTTTTAAGACATTTCAGAGAAGCTCTCGATAACTGTTAGGAATAATGAACACACACATGGTACATTTCAAGCAAAGAATATTCTACATAGATTTCATATTTACTAAAAAGGAAACCACCATGCTCAGTGAAAGTACACAAGTCAAATACTTATTTTACCAAAGATTTTTTATTCTTTATCAACAACTCTTAATCATGTATGCACACTATAATTATTCCTTTTTAACATGAAAGTAGTTTATGTTATAAAACGCTCATGTAATCAAAAAACAACATTCTTCGAAAGATTGAAATATTCCATTTTCCGATTGATTATATTTATCATAATTAAAATTTATTAAGATCCCATATATCTCATATCTCGCCTCAACTGGCATAAAACAAGTTGAGGACAACAACATGTAATAAAATGATCATCAAGTAATGAGCCCTAATAAAATAGAAATTATTAAAATGAATAATTATCAATAATAATATTGGTAAATTTAAACAACTGAATAGTCAAATATACCCACTGAGAGTCTAGAAGCACCGGAATGACGAATCTCTCAAGTACAAGACCCCTAAACAACACACATTCATGGACATCATCGGGAACTAGACTGAGGGCCTCAGGCTCATAGAAACCTCTAGACATGGTGAGTCATTCATATGTACAACTGAGAAGTTTCATGCTAAGACAAAATGGTTATCTAGTCCTTCCTACTTTGCAGTGCTTGTCAAAATAAAAACCAACCAGTAATGTAAACTATGGAAACGTCACATTCTTCACACACCCTTTGTAATTATTAAACATAAATTAAAACAGTTTCGGAATTGAGTGTGCTATATAATAGCTAAGAAATTCATCGATATTATTCGAAACATAGTAGTTGATATTGTTTATAAGCTAACATAACGAACATCAATATTGTAGAAATACATTTAACGGATCATATTACATTATCCAATGCGTTAGCACAAAGTTAATGTAAATAAACAAATATACTTAATATCTATTTACGAAGTTTGAACAATGTAAAATTTAGTATTGTGATATAAAAAGTAAAACGGATCTAGAATTGTCACATGAAGTCTGATCGGATTTTTCATATTTAACTGATTATTATATTATTTCGATTTTAATAATACAGTTGTATATACTGATTAGCATTATTACATGGTAATAGATAAGTCTTTGTTAATACATTTTATTGTGTTTTGAATCTATTTACCCTGGTGATTTTTAGTGTAATTAGTACATAGTTAAAGGTACAGTTATTAAACATAAAAATAACAGCCCACAGTACATTGTAAGACTGCCATAAAAATCTCATCTAGTTTCTGTTCAAGTTTCATTAAAATGTTGTTTTAATGAACTCCAAATATTCATTTGTGAATGTGCATAAAACATTCATAAGAATAATTCAGAGGTATTTCCGTTAAATTACTAAACTCAGATAATATAAAGTGAACAAGTATAAATCAAGCATTATTTATCAATAATAGTCGGGTAAGACACATGAAGATTCTATGTCTATCATGTGTACTTTACGCTAAAGTAATAGTATTGTATTATTTTACGTATAAATTAGATTACAAGCGTGGAACAGGTACTGTCTTTCAGTTTGATATTTGGATTACAAAAGGTTCTTGAGTATGTTTGATTTGCGTTTCATCCCTACGCATTTGGTTTAGATTCAGTTTCAATATCTCTTTCACTAAACATGTCTACTATCTTAAAACACCAAATACAAAGTAACTACAATTTTATTTTACTGGAATCGAGCTGTTTATTTTATATAAATGAAAGTGTTCTTCTTCGTTACTATCGAAAACGGTGTGCCCCAAGGTGTTTTCACTATCTCCACCTATTGGTGTCCTGTTAATTGAATGCCCCAATTTCTTCTACTAAAGTATTCTCGATAAATATCTTGGTGATATGACTGTAGTTATATCAATTTTCTTCTCGAGGTAAAAATTGAGGTCTCTTCTAAATGTTTTTACACTCAATTTCTTAACTTCAAACTTAAACCTGAAAGAAACTGACCATTCGTGATTATTGGTGATTCTGCAACAAATAAATATCCCAAATGTCAGTATGTAGGCTGTTCTACTGATCTAAGCCTATCTCCACATTATTTGTTAATATCGAAGGAAGTTTTCAGTCCAAATTTTACTCATAAATAGGTTATGTGTCTTCAGATTTGCCGAATACTAAATTGCCGTGTTCCTTTATATTATTTGTGACTATCATTCATGAATAGTCACTGAACTTACATGAAACGTTTTCTTTAGGTTGTGTAGGATATTGAACTTTATTTGTGCAACCAGCGGTAAATCTTCTGATTTCATCATGACTACGGTTGAGCAAAACTACTAATCATTATTTTACCAAAATAAACTATTAACTTCATGAATTTCTCCTCGTGTATTCTATCCCAAAACGAGATACAATTTTATAAAAATACATTTATATAAACAATAAATCTAAAACTCGTATGATATATATATAATATATATATAGGTAGTCCTGTTGACAACCTCCAACCATCTTAATAGCGAACTGTTTTGTAAAACAATTTAATGTACTTTGGTGAGCAGATTAAGAGGAGTTTGACTTGAGGAATATACCTTTTAACATGTTTAACGAAAATAACGGCTACCCTAGAAGATAGATTGTTTAGACTGATCTATTAGGCTTTACTATTTATAACAGCATTCCTTGTGCGGATGTAACTTTCAAGATTCAGTTTTTCAGACAGTACTTTCTTTTCCTTAATGAAAGCTATTTGAGCTAAGTATGGAGCCGAATACTTCCTGATTAAGATAATAAACGCATCTGGATATTCATTCTAACCTACTGTAATCTCATTACAAGTACTAAATTTTCCATACTCCCCCGTTATATATAATATTGTTAGCATTCAAACAAACTTATTTGAACGAATTCCTTACACTTATGCACTAGAGCATTTATTCATACAGCTACATGGTGACTTATTACTCACCTTGACAGGATATGTCATATTTCTTCGTCCAAAATACATCTTAAAAAACATATATACGTCTGAAAAACTAAGTCCACGACACCACAATGACAAAAACCAGAATTACTAATAGATCAGTAAAACGTACATCTATGTTGTGTTTGATTCGATGTTTAATACGTAGAGGAAGAACACCAACTCCAAATAAAGGAAGCCAACAGGCCTCATTTGAAATGCTATACATATGACAAAGATAACATGGATAACAAAATCCTGCACAAAGACCTGTAAGCACAAAGCACCATTTAAACAACAAATTTGATATATTTTCTAAAAAAATATTGAAAGTGTTTAATTTATGACTGAGTATTAGTAGTTTTATTTCCAAATCGAGAAAATATGGCACTGATTACCATCCACTAATCAATCAATGTAAAGCTCTCAGTTATACAGAAGGTTGATCAAGGGACAACTAACTCATTCGTAAACCTTTTCATTATGACAATAAGTTACATGGGTTCGAAGTCACAGTGAAAGCATACCCAACTGAAAATCGATAACTAGGTCGATACCTAGGTACACAACTCATTGTCACTTGCATGTAAACATTTATTGTATTCTTTGGATGGTGGGCCACTGAATGTTGACTGAGTGGTCTAAAACTAATGCATCAGTACTACCGTCTATAAGTTCTGGGCCTGTGACGAATGCAAACAAGATATTGAATAGTCTCTCACTATTGCAATAAACTTAGCTGCGTTACTTTACTAGCGGTGGAAAAACAAACTGAAAATCTTCTTTTCTTATACTATCGCCTAATAAGAGAAAGATAATGCAACAATCAGCAATAATACGTCCGATTACATTTTAAATTATTGGATTCTCAGTTAGTACTATTGTGTCTATTTTGAAAAAAGGATAGATTTTCAATCTTCCATCGACAAGCAAAATCATCTCAGTAAATTATTATTGCTTACATGATCCACAATCATCGAAACAGCTACAAATTCCAGAACTCCATCCTCTCGTTAGGAAATATCCTTGTTGAGGTTGCTAAAAAATGAAATTGATCGTGATAAATCAAAATCGCGAAAACGGCTAAGGCATATAAATACACAACTGATTTACTTAATAAATCTAGTTTTGTTAACATACCTTTAAAATACCAAGATGCTAAGATACTCAAACTTTGATTACTTCCTCAATGTTGTTGCATTTATTGCAATGGTAAGTAGTGGAAATCCTCTAAGCAAAATCTAAATCCACTCATTTCTTTCGAAATATATGATATAGCCTGTGAACCTGATTGAAAATAAAGTAATTGGTGCGCTGTGATGTTCATTTTATATTATGTGAGTATATGATATGTTTGTCTGCTCACTGCGCATAATATCTTAAGTCGCTTAAGCACTGGTCGCACGAAGTAAGGCAACTGATTAGATGAGTTGAGTCTATGTGTACGATGGTTTTGTTTTTCACTCTAATACATATAACGCAATTAGTTCACAAATGAACATTCGTGACTCAGAAAATTCGACCCTATAGAGTTATCTAAAAGTATATGATAAAAGTATTATGGCTGAATTTCCAAGATATATAGCTTCTCATTAAACTATTTCGAACTACAAATTAATAAACACACGATAGATCCGTATGTTTGTTTTCACCAGTTACACCTTTATATTACACGATAGTAAGGAATCTTCTATAAATTAAACGTAATGAATGACAATGGTAACTAGGAATTATAATATTAAGTGACTGGTAGATGAAAGCAGTAGTCAGTTAGAGAAGTACTAGTGATGAATCAGAACTTATCACAAAATGAAGAATTGTCCTCGCAAATACCACTTAGAATACCTGAAATAGGTTCAAATTGTGTATTCTATTGGTAATTTTTGATAATTTCATTAGTGCGTAGTTAAGAAGTAACTACCACTAGATCAATGTATGAATCTCCCTTCGCCACTTATGAACATATTTTGAACTACCAGATCACAGGGGTAATAGACCGTTATTCCTTCTCAGTTTGCAGTTCCTCAGTAGTGTTAACCCGTAACCCCTAGATTTCAAGTCATGTAAATTTTTGTTGCATCACTGGGTTAAAATACAATGATCTCTACTTCCGATATTCATTAATTCCAACTATTAACATAACAGGTTTACAAAACCCCTTCAATTCGCAGTTTATACTACAAAATGACCTTAGCTACTCCAATCATATCGGGCATAAGACAGGACAAATGTTCATCAATGTAAATAATTCGATGCCTAATCAATGTTTGGAAAGTTGAGGAATTACTGAGCTCAATCCCTAAGAAGCTCCATATCACGACGTAACAACTCCTAAATTCTTACACATAGTTCCCTTAATCATTCTGAAAAAGCGAGATCAAAGATTCTAGCAGAATAGTATGAATTCACTTTATCTCGTTTGATTCTTGTAGGCTGTTTACAACCTGTGATATTAAAAATCATAATTACAAAATGGGCATAAATTACTTACATGAAAGAGTTCAGTCGGAATTGTGTTGAAACGTAATTTAGCAAGCGTGTAAATAAATTTAACAGACTGAATACTGTAATATATACCTTATGTAAAAGAACATTCGATTGTGACAAGAGTTCAAATGGCCAGAAACAGGTGATAACATATGAGTAGACACTGGTAAGAATAAAATGATTAAAGCTCAGTTGATAAAATAGGATGGTGAGAGTAATTTATAGACGACCCTTGAGCGACGCTAAATTGACCTTGAGAGTATTCATCTAATAACAAGGACCAACGAGGGTTATAACCAGCGTGAGGAATTAGAATTATGATTTACAGTTGATGATTAGGGTCAGAAGTTAGATTTAGGGTTGTCATCACAAACTGACATCAGCTATAATGCCAAAACTCTATTTATCCGAGACCTGTAATCTTATACGTGATTGGTTCGTCATAAATTATAGTTCCCCATCTTGTGAAACTGAAGAAGACTTACACTCGTGGCTGTGTCAACGTCACATAACTAATAAAATAATATTTAAGGCATTTTATGCACAGGGAGAATTTCAGTATTTGAATCATGGAAACAGAAACTGACAAATGTCAAACACATACAAACATTTCTTATCGCTTACCAATACTGACAGAGGCTGCTGTAAAACAACAGTGGTAGATTGTCCGTTTGACCGTACTTCAACCATTGTTAGTTGATTTATGTTAAGAGCATTGTCCTAGTTTATATATATATATATATGTTCGTGTTTGTCTGCACACTTACCATTTCATTAAATGTCTGTCCCATTCACCAAACACCGTTTCGGTTATATTAAAGCTTGTATTGATTTCTTTTAATTGGTTGTCATACTAACTTCAAGGTGTATCTGTTTGCTATTCGATAACGTGATTGTCTGCTTATAACTGAATCCATGCTTGAAATCAATGTATCACCACAAAACTCATTTCCTGCTGTGATTCAGACCAATTATGTAGTCACTGTTTCACTAATACCGACTCTTTTTATTGCAATTTGATTGGTTCAGTCTCATGAACAGTGTCGTTTTTTATTGGATGGTCCTAGTCAATTCTGGAATTGGTCTCCCTGGAGCGGGATCGTTGATGCGCATTGCTAAGGAGTCCCACATTAGGACGAAATAGCCGCCCAGTGCTTACAGGTTTTACATGATAATCTAGCATTATTTGACTCATGAACTCAACTATTGAATCACTATAATCTCCATAAAACCCCCCTTTCTAATAATTTTGGGATATATCAAAAATTATACTTTGAATAGTAGTATAGTTAAAGTTTGATGAATTTATCGTTAAATTAAATGTTTAACAGTTAATCACTTGTAGCATTATGCCAGAATAATGTTACTATTAAAAATTAATTATAATACAAGCTATATATCAATGAAAACTAACTGAATATCTTAATTCAATTACATTCACAAAGATTTCATTCAATATGTCTTATTATGTTTTCTTTTTGTTTTTATGGATATGATTATGAATACAGTGGTCTTGAGTGCTGTTAGAGGTATGAGGGCGGTTATCATCTCACAGATGCGCACACCGTGGAAGGGTTCTTCTGGAGGTACTTGAAAAGGAAATTGGATTAGAGGTGGTCTTAGTGACCTGAGAGTGTGACCGCAGTGCCCAACGGACAACTGCTTGAGGTCGGTCACACACGACCTTTTTATCGGAAATTTTTGTGTTAGCTCCGTATTTGTTGAGACCCGAGATGGATTTCCGTGGGATAAGGCGAGGTGTGCATTTTTCAGTGTCGACCTCTTCTAACCCCACCCCTCCCTGTGGGAAGGCAGCATCGCTGTCATACTGGTTGTCTGAAGGAAACACCTTATTGCTGTCATACCTCTGTACAGTCAGCAGTACGACTTAGCCTTCGGACCTTGGGTTTGTTGCTTTTAGTCTTACCGCTCTTCAACTGACCTGTCTGATATGGTAGGACCTTGAGGAATGGTTATTCCAGCCAGTATAGCTAAGTTGCTTAATCACGACGGGGAAGCCCGACCACCACGTCAAGGTACCAACAACAGTCGGGTGTTTATATGAATACGAAACTCACTATAAAAAAATTACAATCCAGTAACAAAGTCTTAACACCAGTTTTTTTTCTTGACATTGATTTATGTACATTATATCAGAAATACTTTTTATTCATTAACATTTATACAAAGAATAATATTTCATATTTATGTTTACAAGTTTAAAAGTATAAAGCACTTTGTAAAGGAACAGTAAATAATCTAAGATTATGAAAGATCATTTTAAAATTGATCGAATGAAATGTAGTTTTATCACATTACAATAGATTATTACTCTTATAGGTATACTAAATAATCATTTTCAATGAAATACAGTATGTTCAATTGCTAAGTAACCTTTAACATATCAACAATCACAACGACAACAACAACAAACAAGGGAACAATATAAATTAATATGAGACTATTTTTCCCAATATATAATCTTTATGTTTCATAATTATCAAATACTGATCTAGTTATAGATTAGTTCTGAAATGAAAATATGTTTAGAATGTTACTAATTAGCTTCGATGTACCTTAAATGTTTACGAAAAAAAAACAAAAAATTAATTTAACATCATTTTGGTGGTAGTGGTGGTGGTGTGATAAACTTTAAGCTACTGTTTCTCCCAGAACTCTATTTTTTGTTTGTTTCTGATTCATTATTACTTATAAGTAGATATTATCTACACTTCTAAAGTTTTATGTCATAAGATAAATTTCTTTATTTTATAACCCAAAATTATAATGATAAGAATATAATTATTTACATAATGGAATAACTCTAGTTATTTGACAAAGTTATTCAAATATTTTTCGATCGAATACTTTCTTTATAGTAAGAATGAAACATTAGATCTATGAAGAATTAAATTAGAATGTGTAGTGTTAGTCGATATCCATCTAGTAACAAATTCAATGAAATATCTATAACTAAAGGAAGAAAAAAAGAAAAGAAAATGTTAACCGAAAGTATGAAATGAAATAAATCATTGTATTAAGCTTCTCATGAATACATGTTCTTAATTGTTTCTTAATAAGTTCATATATGCAGATTATGTAAAGTAAATATAATTACAATATCAAGGTATGTGATTAATCTAATGTACTGTAAAGCATTTGTAGTATATAATTGTAGTAAAGTAAACGCTTAAAACTTCAATATGAATAGAAGTTTTACTAGTAGGCGTAATGATAAATGTTTGTATAGTTTTCCAAGCAACATCTAAGTCAACCTAGTTTTCAGAACTACCTACTTTTGGTTTTCTCGCTACTCAATTCAGTTCTAATGGGTTCTTTTACTGTGGCTGACTGATTGATGACAATTGTTTAATTGTATGGGGGATTTGTGGAGATTGTAGTATTTTAAGAGTTGAATTCACAAGTCAATCTAAAGTGGACTACCATTAAAAACCTGAAAGCAATGGACGGCCGTTTCGTCCTAGTATGGGACTACTGAGTAGTGAGTATACATGGTCCCTCCGTGACCAATTCAGTCCAAGTCCAGGGTGTAAGACAGTCGTCCTCCTCAGGCAATGGACGGAATGTTGAGTAAAACCATGGGTTGATTGAAGTTAGACGTTAACACCACTGGATGTCGATTCAGTGGTCTTGGTTTCAAGCGTTTACGCGCAAGACCGAAGATCCTGGGTCAGAGTCCCTCAGCTGGGTAGTGAACGCTCTCTGCTGAGGAGTCCCGTACTAGGACGAAACGACCGTCCAGTGCTTCCAGGTTTTCAATGGTGGTCTGACTTAGATCAACTCGAGATTTCAACTGTGAAAATATTTATTTATTTATTTTCACGACTGAATTAGTGAACCGCGGTATGATCGTTGGTATATGCATTTTCTAGGCAATATCAGAAGATGGACAAATGACACAAAAGAATCTCTTGTTTCATATTTGAAAAATACCACATTCATTATCATATTTCGATGAACGAAAGAAATACCTCTTCATTTAATTATGAGTTATGTGGTTCCTGGTGAGGAATTATGGTTAACATAATTTAGCTTCCCTTTTGAGGAGAGAGTGTTCCTGGACAGCACTCTGAGGTGTATATCGGTTAGTGTGCAGTCTTACTGGTGCTTGTAAATCTGTTTAATGAGGCAATAAAGCAGGGTTCGTGCGAATTAAGGATCGAGTTCGCTGTAGTAACGAGAATGAAGTTGGAATTAAGTTACGATTTGGTAGGAAGAACCGAATCGATATAAGGAAAGCTCGAATGTTCCACGATCTGTATGATAAACGCTCTTTCGACAGATATGTTTCATTTGGTAAGGGAGGAGAAAGATTTGACACTAGTCGTATCTCCTTGTACGATAGAAGGCGGCACACATCTTGGACCATAGAAATGTTCATGACTAACACTGTCTAGTCAGTGAACCTTCAGTAAATTTCAGGTTCTTAAAAGGGACATTAAGAATATAATAGCATCATTAGTCAGCGGTTGTCTTATAACTATAAAAATGAGAACAGATTACTATTTACATTGACCATATATAATTTTCAAATAAAGAAAAACAAACACGAAAACATAGTAAACTGAAACAAAACGGAGATACAAGTAATAAGTAGTTATATAATTTGGACCAATGCTACCGGAAAATATCATCATTTATGTCTAACAGTGCGTGCTATTTTCATATATAAACTGAAAATCACCAACTAACACAAAACCTAGATCCAGGGTCTTCCGTAGATTTCCTCCAGTCAATTAACATAGATTACAATATATAAAAAGTGTATTTAGAAAGAAACATATTTGATGAAGTTTAATTAATAAAATAGGACTAGCTTCACATAACTTAGTAGTAGATATAAAACAAATTAAATCTGACAATAAATTCTTCCGTAAGTTCAACAAACTATTTCCCGAATAAGATATACCGTTTGTAATGAGAAGAGATGTGGTAACAAATACTCCAATCGTTTTTGAATATTGTCTATCATACACTTCCATCCTCTTGTTATTACTTCATCTTTCAAAACTACCTACCATCAAATAAGCACAGCTATTCGGAACATATATATAAATGGAAATTAAAAAAACTCCATATTGTGATTTAGAACAACATATATAGGCGAACAGTATTGTTTTCGATTAGATCCTCACCAGGCTTTACTGTAATGTACAGTGATATTTAGATGCACATACAAAACTATTAAACAAATCAAGGCAATTTATGATTCCGTGATAACAGTAGAATAGATAACATAGATAAATATAATAATTAGTAAGTGTAGATTGATACTGTGATGACAGATCTACTAGTTGTAATAAGAATAATAAAGGCTTGAATCAATGTTTCATAATGGTAAATCGGTCAATGACTTGAAAAACAAAGATATTAAAATAACATTCATAAAAACCATAGGATTACGTAATGAGGAGTTTTGAGATAACTGGACAAATTTCTTATGAATTCAAAGACTTGAATCATTAGCTCGAATTCCTATAGCTTCTGCTATTTGTAAGAGATGAGATCGAACCCCATAAGGACAGCTATTAGGTATACGATAAACCACTTTAAATGACTTATTTCTATCTACATGACCGACGTGTGATAAAAGAAATTGAGTATTGTTTTGAGGATATTTTTGTGAACCGTTTGATCTGACTCCAATTTAGAGTGTACGAATGAATGTTATCGCCTTTTCTCGTTTATCATCGTCGACTTAAATCGCGTTATCCAATAACGGAATTAAATAAGTCGAATAACGAGAATTGATTTGATAATACATATATTTCGTACATAAAGCGAACGAAGCATAGCAAAGCAATTTTGACACGTATGGAAGGTGGCTGGGAAGCCAACTCCATTTTAATCAAGTGTTACTCAGTATTTATAGGCAGACAAAATAAACTACAGACGTGATGAATCATGGGACATGAAGTGCACACACATATACGCTCATGTGAAAACAGTCAAGGCTAATAAGCGAATAATTGACATGGTCAAAATATGGCTCAAGTAAAATGAATAAAATAGGATGTCCGGAAGTTAGAATAAAGGTATATGGGCTTGCCATAATAACTGACACTACAATATCCTTTCCTAACCACGAATGCAGATGTGCACCAACTCATTGTGTCAGTTATCTGGTTGTTCGCTTAATATAACTTTCTTCACCGGAGCAGCTGAATTTGTAGATACAGATAGATGTGGAATATAAATATTACTGTATATTAGAATAAAGCCTAAAGAGGATTTAATTGAAAACAATATTGTTCGCTTATATCTACTGTTCTAATTCCAGAATGATGGAGAAGAGTTGCAGCCAAAATTTACATCATTGATATGATTGTGTTCTCTGAACAATTATGCCGTCCAACTCAGAAAATGTGTTACCACCAACTTACGTATCTAGCATCTTATGTTATCCAATCAGGAAGCATTCTAGATACTATTAGATTGCTTTTTTTTAGAAGTTTGATAAGAAATTAAAATTGTAACCAATCATCTAATCAAATAAACTAGTTATTTCTGATAAATATAAAATGGGTGGGAATGTGGGAAAATAAAAACTTGGCAGAAAAAAATAACCTTATTACAACGTAAATTGGTTAATCTATTTTATCTACTACTACATTATTCCAATGGAAAATAGTTCTCCTGTTGTTCAACAACCAACATCAGTACAAGTAAGATTAACACATAATTCGTTTTTTTTCTTTTTTTTTGAAAAGAAAAAACTCTTTAATCATAACTAATAATCCAGTTTTTATTTATTAAAAAATATGGGCATTTTTCAAAACATTGAATTGTATAGGGTTAGTAACAATTGAAATCACACTGAAATTATTTTGAGAACACCCAAGCTTAACGAATAGTGTATAGTAATCATCGAATGATTAAAAGAACGATCTAATTTTCAATCACTAATATAAAGTGACTGGCTTCAAGAGATATATCCTGGAGTTCTAGTGAGAAGCAATGACCAGTGGAGTTTAACCGGGTCAGTTGTGAGGTAATAACTCACTGATGACAATGGTGGATGTGTCGCTCGATTTTGTGGATTAGTTGAAGTTAGACATTAACACCGTTAGATGCCGGCTCAGTGGCCTAGCGGTTAAGCGTTCGCGCGCGAAATCAGTAGGTCCTGGGTTCCAATCCCGAGGGGCGGGGTTGTGGATACGCACTGCTGAGGAGTCCCACAATAGGGCGAAACGGCCGTCCACTGCTTCCGGGTTTTCCATGGTGGTCTAGCTTTACTTGACTCATGATCCCAACTGTTGAAATCACTAATATACATGCTTGAACTCCGTTTCACCTATATTGGTTAAGGCACCTAAATAGTATTGAATCTGATTATTGTAAAACTTGAAATAGTTTATGTAAGCTAGTTCTACTTATAGAGATTTTAGACAACAGACTGGCTTTAAGGAAAAACTTACTAATAACTAAAGTGTTGTACTGATGTTTTATTCATCTTTGAGATATTTCAGTAGATTTTATTGATTAACATATTATTAAATGGGTTGTGATTATGATAAACGATATATTTTGTCGTTAGAAGTAAATAAGCAAGTCGTTTTAAAACAGAAAAACAGATCAATACTTGTTTTTACATTTGTTAAGTGAGTTGAATATTAGTGATCAAGGCAAATTTGATCACAAAGATATACATAATCTAGTCTCACAAATTCTCATATTGATAATAAAAACTAAATGACGGTCAAGATTTCTGAAGAAACTCAAAGGTATGACACGTATTTGACAGGTTGGTAATATGTTCGTTACTGTACTAAATAGAGTTTTTCACTTTATAACCAGAACGCACACTGAGTTCATACACATATATACTAGTTATTAAAATGGACATAACCCCTCTTTTTATCACTAACATTGATATTAACACTTAATTGTAATTACATGGTGTTACAGATATTGTTTAGTCTGAATCTTTATAAAAATGACTGACTTTGGTTAGGAAATCATTAAAAAAACTGAGAAGCACTCATTAACCATTTTGTCGCAGTATGAGAATTATCAACAGCACTGATTCACTGTGCCACCGGAGACTGAACCCATAACTTTCAGAACTCGAAGTGACCGTAGATAACTGAGTTAACATCCAATAGTTTACATTCTTAACTCCAACCAATTTTTCAAATCCCACGACCATTACCAACCCCTGTCAGTGATATCTATTTGATTCTTGACGAAAAGGTTTTTTAGTCCTTCTTAGTTTTCAATGGATATCTAAACAAAGTCAGTCGATGATAGGAAAATTTAGATGGATAATCAACCCATAAATCATTTGTTATTTAAGATTTCGATTAACATCTAGTGAAAAGAACAAAAGCTGTTAAAAAGAAGAAACAAATGTCCTAAGTCATCTGTTCTGGGTATATGCATATATAATATCAGGATAAAATTTAATTCAATTTTAGTCTATAATCGTTGACTCACACCAGTCTGACTTCTTAAGAATAATTCTTTTTAGACCTTTCGGGTACAACTTTCGTGTAGTCGTCAAATTAAGTTAATATACTGTTATATTGTCTTTCCTAAATACAATGTTTCACAGCTTGCTATAATACAAGCTTTTGCTGTGTGCAGAAAATTTAGCCAAAGTAATGTTAAGTGGTGAAGAAAGTTCATGGAACCGGATATTATAGTAACCATTATATAAATATTAGTTGTTTATCGTTTTTAATCTTACCTTACCTGGAGGCTTGGGGCCACTTAACATATGAATACACAAATGAAAGCCACTCAACTCTAATTGTCACTGACTAACTACCCCTAAATTCACTCAATTTTAACCTAGTCTCTAGACACTCTGAGAAATGATTGTATCTGAATTATATCTGTCAAAAAAACTTGAAATTAAAGTGTCTTATATGCATAAGGTGACACAACAAGAAGAAAGATCGCTTATCTATTTGTTCTTTGAAAATATTTGGAACAATCAACATTTTGAACTAGTAGACCTTACTCGTTTGTGTATCACCTACTGGACAAATAGCAAATGGATCTTTAAAGCCCATTAAAAATAATCAATGAAAACACAAACGTTTTGATTACTATCCAGTATGCCGTCTGACTGAATATTAATGCTGCATCTCAGATATATTAAAGCTCACTAATAGGTTTTCAACTCAAAAACATTTTAAGATTTAATTAAACATACCTATCACTTAAAGTAATTGAAATTTCACATTAAACGGTTGGTTAGTAGTAACTGACGTCATATGAAATTGATTTGTACCCATTCAACTGAGTTACTCATCAGAACAATACACTTTATTTGAATCAACCAACAGAAAGCTCTTGAGTTGAGATTCATTACAATGTTATCGTCAGCTAGTCATAATCTCACTCGACAGAAAACATTTCTCACAAGAAAGCGTTATCACTGAGCTCTTCATGCTTTAACTGACCTACTTTGATAGTGAATTATTAAAAAAAGCTAATTGATCACTTATTAATGACTGATCTCATGTTATATACCCCTCAGAACTGAATTTAAGGTGAAATCATATCACTTAATCACGTAAATAATGGCTGCAATGTGATAAACATAAGCAGTATAAGTAGTAATCGGAAAGATTAGGGTTTGAAGATGTTATTCAAGAAGTATAATCTAGTGAAATAAATTTGGAAAGAAAAAAAGGGGACATGAAGAATTCGGAAGATTAGAATTAAGGAGAACGAAAGAGTGGATGCACCTGCACCATTCCAAATGATTTTAAGCCATGTCATTCAAGATCTCAAACCATCGGTTGCTATCGTCTCGTGGATCCCAGCCAGGTAGTCTATACCTACCAACATGGCTCAGTCCACTTGTCAGTGATTTCATAAATGTGTGCCATGTTTTGGCCTGGCCGCCCCCACCTTTCCTCCAACCTACTCCTACACCATAAAACATCGCACGTCGGGGCAGTTGGTTGTTGGGCATACGTAACACATGTCCCAGCCATCTCAACTTATGAAACTTCACTACTTCATCAAGTGATTTGCCATCCTTGCCTAGTACCCGTTTCCTAACAATTGCATTACGTACTCGGTGGTCCTGGGATATACGAACAGTGCTTCGAAGACACCCATGATCGAATACTGGTAACCTGCGAATATCAAAAACGAACTGTTGCACAGTAAACCCATCCTTTGGTTGGTAGATGGATATCTCGCTTACGCCGTATATATATAAATTAATAATCATCATATATTTTAATCTTTGTTGTGACCGATGAAATTATCACTTGTTCTACTTAATTTAGTTACAGGCCATTTGCTATTGGTGACAAGTAATGTAAATTATTAGAATTCATCTAAGAACACTAATGTATCTATTCTAAGACAAATTTTCAAAGTGTTTTTTTAATGGAAAGATATTGTATTTCGTTGTGGCCTCTTGTTTCATTACTGGAAATTAATTTTCTGTTTTTATATACATCTATGTATACTTATACATAACTTACGTACAAAATATTACTGTTTTTGTTTTCCAAATAAAATAATGTACATAGAAATTGTGGAAATAATTGTAAGCCCTATCACTATTATTAATTTTATCTGCAATATAAACATGCTTTTTTGATCCAGTTGATGAAAATCTACAAATCCCCATAGCAACAAGTTGATAAAGCCGGTTACTAACAATAACTGCTCAAATTGTCAAGGAAATGTACTTCATAAACATACATTTATATACTTACGCTTATTGGTGTATTAAATATTTGCTTATACAAGTCATTTATTCTTCTTTTATGGACACAATGGAAAGGTCATTTTTTGTATGGATAAATGGAAAACAATGGAAAAAATGTAGAGAGAAATAGTGACAAAGGATTATGTAAATAAGTGTATTCTTTCTAGCTATTTTAAAACACTTGATACCTGATAAAGTGTGTGTATGGTAAAGAAAATTAAGAAACTCAATAAAATGAAATGAAAATAGGTAGAAAGGAAAATTTTGATCAGTTTTCCTTAAATATATAAGTTGTTGATATCAAACAATACATTTTAGTGAGAGAGAAAGAAACACACTACTTTCTACAAAATCATCTGATAAGTAAAACAATCAACACTGTTGTTAAGTCCGTCAGTAACAATATTGTTACTAAACTAACGAAACAGTACACTGAACAATCAAAAAACACAACAAACACTATAGAATGTAGAGTTAGGTGAATTGTGGAGGTCCGTTCACATTTTGAATGGTTTTCTTGATGACAAATGATGTTCAATGTGGTTTTCTTAATTGGTTCTATGCTTGCTTTCAAGTGGTTGTTTGGTTTGTTAAAAAATACTGAAATTTATTCCAATCGGAAAATAATGCAACTGAATTATTCAGCATCGTTGCAATACTGTAAAGTATAGAGGCTTAACAATTTAAATTATCATTAAGCACGTTTTTGATAAACGGGATAAACCTCTGGTAACGTTGTCTCAAGAAGTGACAGTTAGATTGGTGAAATTGATGAGATTCACTTAGCATTTTAAGCATTAGGTGATTGAACGCAAGAAACTCCAAAAATATCTCTCTTCAAACGTCCCTATAGACCCAGGAGACTCCTGAAAACTTTTTATACAGTCAGAACTTAACAGAGGCTCGTGAGAAGCATGTAATTAAATGAACGATTATGTGTTACGTTTTGATTGAATAACTGCTTATATCATTATTATATTCAGTATGTTTCTTGAAGTTTCCAGAAGAATAAGGTCATATGGCTAATGTAAAAAGACGGTTTATTCAGTAGTTCCTGGTTTTCAATAATTCTCTACATGATATCATTCGTCCTTAAGTATACGTCTTACAATCAGTAATGAAATATGTTGCCGGAAACATAACTCACGGCTTTAATCATGTACTGATATTAGCTAGACCAAAAAATTCATAGAGCACTAGATAATTGTTTCATCACAGTATGGGATATTTTAGCAGTGAGATCTCACCACCCTTTACAGAGGATTCATAATCTCCACAATCCCCCAATCATTAATTCATGATTTAGTAATTTTGATCCTCATTTTGTATATATTTAATCATATAATGGGTAGAATTAAAATTGTTCGTTATATCATGTATTTATTGGATCCTGAGTAACCCGACTCATTTAATCAGTACAGTTTTATGTACTTAGAGCCATACTGTTTATGTAGAGTTAGTGGTACTATCCTGTTCAAACCGATGTAGGTGAAATGACCTACATTTTGAGAGTTAGATCTACTAACAATTAGGTAACCAATGACTGATAAGTATATCACAAAGATCCTAATCCTACAACTTTTAAGGTGTTACATAATTTCAGTATTATATTTACTATTAATTTGGTCAATGTTGATAAAGACAAGAGTTATTTGTTAAGGATAATAAGTATGATTGGTAATTTAAATTTTCTTATTATGTAGATTAATTTATAGTCTTTATTTCATGAAGAATTTTCATTTCAGCGCTTCATATCCTTCTACACTGATTACCATACACTCCATCTTTATCTTATAAAATATTTATTTTCCTCCACTTTAACATACAGAGGCAGACATTCGAAAGAGAATGGAGTAGTGGACTTTGTGCTTGTTTTGATGACCTACCAACATGTAAGTGTAATAATTCTGCATAAAACCAATGATATTTTATCTCAATAAATTAGTCATTATTCTAACATTATGACTTAGAAGTAAGACAATATACTTATCGACAACTGGATTAGAGAATGTAAACAGTTTGATTTCAATGTAGTGACTTATGATACTAACGATTCTCATAAGAACTGATTGTTACTGGTTCGATCTCACATTATGCCGTGTTCAGCAAATGTTAAGAAGATAAGAAAGGAAAACTGAACAGTGGTTTGTGATCTTCCAAATAATCTCTGGCTAGTCTGTAATAAAATCTGTCTTTACAAAATCATCCTACTTTATTGGTTAAATCTACTTACATTACATACATTTTACGAGTCTTGTAATCTTAGTTTTCGTGTACGATTAATATTTCAGTTTAGCTCTAATAAGAGGCTGATTATTTAGAACAGAGAGGAAGCTATGAAATGTTTTCTGTCGAACAGATCCATCTATCTAATATAACTATATATTGTACATGTTGGTAACTATCGTCTGTCTTTTTGATCAGCAAAAGTATAAATCTGAACCGATGATCAACATAACTGTACTTCGATAATCAAATACTAGTCATGGAAAAAAATGAAGTTCCTACTGTCGAGAAAGCATCGAACCAACACGTACGAAAATCTAGAACTATCGCTTTCAGATCTATATTAGTCCTCCTGATGATACTATTTTCCGTCTTTAACGGTACACATTAATGGCATACAACTGTGTGTAGGCAGCATTAGATCTCAAGATTCTCGCGGATTGTGATCTAGGTAGTCTTCATATTTCTTCCGAAAGAATTGTGGAAATGATGACATTTAATTATCTAATCATGATGCTTACTGGTAGATTACAATGAATGTTTCAGTATATACGATCAAGTAGTCTTGGATAATTGACATTCTATTTGTACTACAGTGTGATATTGCCATTTTATTGTGAAGGCGCAACCAGATTGTTGGTTGTTCTTCAATGAACAGTTAAGACCTTTCCTAAATGAAATTATTTCTAAGATATACCTTAATTAAACAAATATTATACATAGAATTAGTGCAGAAAACACTCAATTTATTCCATTTTACGCTTATGTTTTAAAATGTTTGTGTTTTTAGGTTGTCTAGTTCTATTCTGTCCTCATTGTTACATGTGTTATTTATATAATAAAGAAGGGGAATCGTGCTGGGTTCCATTCTGTGGTGCAGGCATTTTACCATTACGTATTAAACATCGTGTTATGCACAAAATAATGGTAACTATTATACTTTATTTATCTTTAATTAAGAAATTATTTATCATGTTGTATACATTAAACACTTAAAATAGTCGACAATATTTATGGCTCATATAGATAATTTTCCTAGGGTATCGTTCTCTGAGCTGAATGGTGTAACTGAGAAGCTTTCTTCGTCATTGGGAACATCATATTCAAAAATTAATATATCCAGATTAAAGTGTACATCTTCACTATAATGAGATCTATTGTGAATGTTAGTACCCTATTTGAAGAGCGAAACTAGTGTTTTTTAGTGAGTAAACAGGAATTTACGTCGTAGATATTTTAATCTAACCTACTATGTGTGACCTAAAGGTAAAGCCTGGCTACACGGATTTTAATTTATCACCCAGTCATCCAACCAGCATATTTTTTATATGTCACAAAGTGAACTAACGGTAAATTTCCTTCTTTATTCCTTTACAGATAGCCAAATTGTGTTCTATGTCTGTCATTATTGTTTTCGAAAACGAAGTAGTTTAACCTACCACATACATATGCAGCGCAAACTAATATTCATAAAATGATGAAATAAAATACATTCGAAGGATAAGAACAACAAAAATATTTCATCTCAAGGAATGAGTTAAACTAAACGAACGTAGAAAATCAAGAAAATCCCGACCTAGAGAATAAAGAACTATTACAAAAATTACGTCCCATTCCTGAAAAGTGAATCATCTTATTAGTATTTCATAGTATTAGTTATGGTGGGCGCAACATCTAGCGATTGACCTCTTTTTGAAATCTGACTCACTGATCTGGAATACACAGATGAAACCATCCTGTCACTTGGCTTTCGTCAAATTGAGCCAATCTGTCTGTCCATTAAAGGGATGGTATTGAAGGGTAATGTCCTCAATATCTGACTCCAAATAATAATATCCCGTAACTGAGTATTTTAGGTAGGCTTAATCTCCTAGTAGAATTGCGAATTTACTCGAGATTATTAAAAAGCCTGAACACCAGTTATAGAGATAGTTTATTGTTAATGAATAATAATAATCCACAAGCGTATGGTGAGCAAGCACACGATGAAACAGAGAGAGTGAGTGAGTCTGTTAAAAATCCATATATATTTGAGAGTTAATCGGGTGTGGATAGATTATCGATTATCTGCACATTGAAACCAATAGGAAAATAGCTTACGAGTTAATGTACAGACATACATTCGATCATACACACCGAAATTAACATAGTGAATTGAGTCTGAGTTACAATGACTAGATAAATGATACAGTAGCCAAATGGGCTTGCCACATAAGCTCCCATCCAGAACATTGATGTTTTTATGTACCGAAAAAAATTGGGTTAACATCTATGTTCGACAAAGAGATAAAGAACGGAACTGTTTTTTAAAATAAAAGTACAACTCAATATGATGAGTAAGCGTTAAATTATAATAACAACTTGTTTGTTGAAACGTTTCATATCGTGTATATACAAGTGTATATTTAAGATTAACAAATTGTATAAAGTTAAATTGTAAGCGTAATGATGATCCGTGGGGCCAATAAAAAAAATAGTAATCAAAATAAAGTAGGATTTTTATGTGTTATAAGAGTAGTCTCAGGATTTGGTCTAGATAAATATGGTGGTTGCTACATACCTATCTGACCAATGTACTCTTCTTTCTGATCTTGTTGTAGTTTGTGCTGCTGCTGAGCTTTGATTTGAAGTGTTGCTTGTTGCAGGTAGTTTGAGTGGTGCTTGCTCTGCTGCAAATTTAGACGGTTTTATACGGTTAGATTTTGATGAATCAGTTGACCGTTGTTGCGATACACTTGAAACACCAACTGATGATGAATGTGATGTTTGACACGTAACCTAATAATCGCAAACAGGATCAAAAATTCTTGATGTCGCTGGTGTTGATAAACGTCCCGTCGGATATATCATCAAGAGCGGATATCCAACAGCTGACAGACATGCATTCGATGAGAGAGAAGTCTGGGGTACTGACCCATAGAGTGGGATAGGAATCAGGTAAGGCACGTTGTTAAGCTTCCCCGGGGCCGAACGATCATGAGTTGTCATGCGACCCAAGTTTGCAGCCTGACTGATGTCACTTGGACCCCATAAGTTGGTTGGAGAGTACATTTGTTCTGAATTTTTGGGGCCAGGTATGCCATGGTGCGCTGCTGCTACAGGGGTGCCAGATGTCTGCTGTGGGCGTTGAGGGCGACCAGATTTTGAGTATCGCATATGGCGAACGAACGGACGTGCGGACGCTGGTGGACCTTCTGTCTTTATGTGCTGTACGACGGTATGCGTCGGTTTGTCATGTTTGAAACTCGGTCGTAATAAGTCTGGAAACTGATTAGGTAAATTGACGTATTTGTCGTTTCTATGAGGTTTACTAATAAATGTATGGAAGTCTCATTTGATATAATTCCTCTAATTTCCTTACTCTGTTCGGCAAGGACAAGTTTCCTATTTCTGACGTCTACCAGTATTTTGTGAAATTGCAGAAAATCAATGCCGATTATAGGAACGAGGACGTCCGCTATGATGAAACTCCAGGAAAAATTAGATTTAGGACCGAAATCTAATTGCAACCGCCTTTTGCCGTACGTCTTGATGTCAGACCTGTTTGCAGCTTGTAGTTTTAGTTTGGGGTCAGGTGTGTTTTTCTCGAGTGCAGTAGGTGGTACTACACTAACCTCTACCCCAGTGTCAACTAAAAACTGTGTGCCGGTTCTTTTGTCTGTAACATATAATAGACGACTGTCTTGAGAGTTGTGATCATTGAGTGCAGTCGTCATTAACCTGCGGTCTTGACGTCTCTTTTTCTGTGTGCTTGCAAAGTCACAAGGCGGAGTACATTTTCTAGCTTGTTTGCCATATGTTCTATGGTACCAACAAATGTTGTGTCTAGTAGTGCTTGGACTACGTCGTCTACAGCTTGTGGATGTTCCTCTACGCTTGCTGTGGGAGGCATTCAATAATTGGATCTGAGCTATCTGTTTCGTAAGGGTATCAACTGATCGTCGTAACTCGGCGATCTCGTCAGCTGAGTTTGATTGGATTTGAGATACAAGGTGAGTCTTGGACCGTTCGTAAATTCTGTCGGCTATGTCTGCTAGTCTATCAAATCCAATTGCTAGTATCTGTTGAATGTTTTGAGGGAGACGTCTGAGCCACAATTGATATAGTAGACGTTTGTCTAGTGTACGATTTCCTAACAAGTTTGTCATGTGGCGTTTTAACTGTGACGGTGTATTGTCACCTAGCTCTACGTTGGCTAAAAGTTGATCAATTGCCTGTTGGTCGGTGAGAGATGTGACACGAATGACCTCTCTTTTTAGACAATCGAATGATGAGTCAGGATCCGGCTTAAAAATAACATCCGGCACTTGTTCAATGACGTCATCTGGCAGCAGTGAATTTGCATAACTAAATTTCGTACTCTGATTTGTGATTTTGTTTGCTACAAAAAAGCTTTCTAAGCGAGCAAACCAGAGTTCAGCCTTTCGTGGATTAAAAGTAGGTAAAGGTACAGAGATGGCACCCACGGAAACAGATTTAGATGAAAGGCTTAACGAATTATCAAGTGCCATGATACGAAAAATCAATAGTAATAATAAGCTGAGGATTGTAATATATAATATGAAGAGAAATCAAAAATAACAACAAAAAATATGTATATAAGACTCACCAAAAAGAAAAATTGCCACTTTGGGTATATGTATGAGAATATACAGTAATAATTCCAAAGGGAAAATATTATGAGTGAATTTATTATGACTGTCAATGGATTGTTATTAATTATAATAATAATAATTCCAATCTGAAGTTATTTATGATACTCTTGAGGAGGATGTAGCAGACTTTGGAGGAAAATGTTGCGCGTTCTAAAGGCGGGTCACCAATATGTTAAGGGTAATGTCCTTAATATCTGACTCCAAATAATAATATCCCGTAACTGAGTATTTTAGGTAGGCTTAATCTCCTAGTAGAATTGCGAATTTACTCGAGATTATTAAGAAGCCTGAACACCAGTTATGGAGATAGTTTATTATTAATGAATAATGATAATCCACAAGCGTATTGTGAGCAAGCACACGATGGGAACAGAGAGAGTGAGTGAGTCTGTTAAAAATCCATATATATTTTAGAGTTAATCTGGTGTGGATAGATTATCGATTATCTGCACTTGAAACCAATAGGAAAATAGCTTAAGAGTTAATGTACAGACATACATTCGATCATACACACCGAAATTAACATAGTGAATTGAGTCTGAGTTAAAATGACTAGATAAATGATACAGTAGCCAAATGGGCTTGCCACAGTATACCATAAAATAATACGATCTGTATTACGTTGTGGAAGCCAAACTTTATCTGTGAAAGTAGAATACGTTGAGTGGGCTGGATGATTTTGTTGAAGCGAAGCTAGCATGTTGTGAAACAACCGACAGGACTAAGACTAGAATCAATGTATTAGGCAACAAAAAGGAATCAGCTGACGGCAATTAAATATTCATAGACTGAGGTGAATCATGTCTGTTGAAACCTAATGTTATTCGAAGTGTAATGCTAGTTGTAGTATAAATGCGCTAGGAGAAAACTAGTAGCGATAAAATCAAGAAATGGAGTCAGTTCATAAAATATTTGACAAGTGAACTTTCTGTATGTGTAATCTACCTGGTCTGAGCCATCTCAGTAACCGGGATCTCTGGTTAGAGATTCTACATGAATATGTGACAATGATGTATATGCATTCACTATTTATCTTACTTCAGATCTTTAACTCTTATATTGCTTCACATATACCTTTTCATTCCCTTTCTAACCATATCATCACTAATACTACTATTTTGACCTCCTATCTGTTCAACTTGTTTCTCTCATCTCGTTGTATTGACATTGTGTGAGGATTCGACTAGTTGCTATAATGCTTTAGTCTACCAGTGAATTACTTCAATTCTGACCTATGAATTGAAAACGTTACCTATTGATTCAGTGTTGCTCATTTATTTCGTCCATTTTCATTGTTTTATTAACTCATTTACTTTCTCATTTTCATAACAGATTGTGGATATGATTTTATTTATCACACATATCTCATCTAGATTTGTATGCAAATTGTTTGTTTCAAATATTAAAACAAAAAAAATACATTTCTTGAAAAGTTATTATATTCACTTGGTATTGTTTGGCTTGTATCCAAATAGGACGAAACGCGCGTCTTGGATTCCACTGCTAGCCACTATCCATCATTACTTACAAAAAGTTATTATATGGTGTTATAAAACAATACCTCATACAGTAATTAGTCTCATCATACGTTTATTTTTGAAGTTTATAGGCTTTTTAAAGTCTTGGTTGTGTGTATTGAATGTATATAATAATTTGCTTTTTCAAAAGTGTTCCACTATATTACAATTCTTAATTGTACAATTTGAGCTACGTAACAGATATTTTCTTATCTTCTTAGTTTATTAAAATGAAATAAAGAAACAAAATGAAGTTTGAACCTCATAAGCAATAGGTTGATAATGTCAATTTTTGCTTATTTGAGTTCATATACAATCGTATTTAAGAAATTTAAAGGGTTAATCAACCAAGGTTATTTGAAACGATCTAGGTATAAGTGTGGCGCGTGCTACTTATATTGGTATAAGTAGTATATGACGCGAGTTAAAAACATAATGTCTAGCAGCAGAAGATGGGAGAAGATCAAGAAAGGAAAAGGGGGAACACAATGCAATTTGTAAGAAAACGCATGAACAATGAAATGTGAGACAATAGATTGATGATTACAACAGGAACATTCCGATGATACGATGGATTGATATTTTGCAAATTAACGATTTACTATATGGTTTTTCTATTTTCTCAAATAACTCTGTAATTTTGTTCTAATTATAATTCGGTTGTCCCCACTTGTGTTCTGTTCACTACATAAGTACTATTTTTTACTAAGAAAAAATACACATATTATATAATAATTATTACTTTTCTATTCATATAACTAGTCAATTGTGTATATTTTATTTACATTTTAGGGTACTCTAATGAATGATGTTTGTATTACATGCTTTTGTGGACAATTAGCTACATGTCAATTAAAACGTGATATAGATTATGCCAAATCTATTAGAATGGAAATTTAAATAATATTGCACACACACACACAAAGAGAGAGAGAGAGGGAGAAATATGGTCAGGTTTTTCTCGTAAACATCGAAAAAACTAGTCTGCTGTTTATTTTTTAAATGTTCAATTTTACATTTTGAAAGGTTCACTCTGTTTTTTTTATAGAAAAACTGTAGAAATTTAACACTTACACAGATAATTAATTATATTAGATTGAATGATTTGAATGCAATTTTCCAATGAAAACAAACAAATAGACTTGTTTATATTGAATTGCTCATTTATAAAGACAAAACAAAACAAACAAGAGATAAATTCTATCTAGAATGAATGAAAAATTACTGGGTTTTTTTGTTGATTCATTTCAAAATTTCACAAAATATCACTATTTGAATTAACCAGTTTTTTTTCAAATTATTGTTCTGTTTTATCATTGAACACATTCAATTTGTAAAAAAACTTGAAGGCTGTAATGGTATTTTTTAGTGGTTTTGTTTAAATAATTGTTTTAAGTACGTAACTGACTGTTACATTCAACTGTTAAAAGATTATTATAAGAAAAGTCTGTTAAAATTCCAATGATTAATTAAATTAAATAAGAAGAAGGGGGTTTTGTAGATATTAATAGTTGAGTTCGTAAATCACTCGAAGCTAAACAATCATAGAAAACCTGGAAGCATTAGACTGACGTTTCGTCTTAGTATGGGACTCCTCAGCAGTGCGCATCTGCGATCCTGCCCCACGAGATTTGAACCCAGGAACTATTGGTAGTAGATCACTGTGTGGTGGAGCAAACAGTATATTAACCAAAAAGGAATAGCAACAAACTTATTACGTCTAAAAGTTAATATAACAATAAACAGCTCATAAATTATTAACGCAAAATAAAGGTTCAGGGACATTACTTAAATCAGCTGGCTGTTGCGTGTTCCGTTGTGCTTGGTACCAAAGATCCACAATTATAGATAATTAATCATTTCAATGAGGTAAATATGACTCCAGCCAGTTTTCTCGACGTCGAATGCAATAGGAATGTCATAACAGTCTATAAATATAGTTGATAGTTAATCAATAGTTTAGTTATTATATCCACAGGCATGATAGAACGAGGCATGCGTGTATAAGAGTGTATTTAATAATGCACAGTTAACAACGTCGTGCTATGTGTAACTCAAAAAGGAAGTTAGTTGTCAAGGTCACATATTTAAACAACAAGTAACATCGTTCAGTGATAAATGTACAGATTATGGAAATAAACAAAATAAATGCAAAATCTATCAAAACAATTTACAAAATAGGTTTGTTAGGCCTATCTCCACAACTGAAGACAATGGTGAACGGTGGCGCGATTTCGTGGATTGGTTGAAGTTAGACATTAACACGGTTGGTCCAGGGATTACGCGATCGCGCGCGAGACTGAAGGTCTTGGGTTGAATTGCACGTGAAGGATCGTGGATGCGCACTGTTGAGGAGTCCTATGCTAGGACGAAACGGACGTCCAGTGCTTTCAGGTTTTCCATGGTGATCTAGACTCAACTCAACTATTAAATTAAATAAGAAGACTTTGTAGTTGATAGTTGATGGTGACAAAATTATGTTAGCGATTAAGTATCTCTACTCATGATAAAGTTAACTTCACAATATTTTGAAGTGGACATTTTTGAATGGGCACTCGATTGCGTGGATTAACCAAATTTCTGAAAAACAAACCATCAATATCTTACTTATTCAATTTCAGTCTTACTTCCATGTTAAGAAAAATTTTCACATTCATACTAATCAGCTATCCCTTTTTCTTCGATTTACAATGAAGAAAACAGTCTGTGAAGAAAGTTATTTTCAATAAGTGATTTCGTGATCCCAATGCTAAATGCTAATCCAAAAATTTTACTTTACATATATCGAAAGGTGCTTAAAGAATGAGGGATTTTCTGAGCTTATTGGTTTTAAAGTTTCTCAAAGTTGTAAACCTGAATCCCATGACAGACAGTGTATATGAAGAAGTCATTTACAATATCAAGTCAGATCGAATACTATCGACGAAGTTTTAATGTGGCCACCAATCTAGGTGATTCGACATTGAGAGCGTTATTTTCAGATAAGATGGTGGGTGGAGGACACCTTGCCGAAGAGGGCCAAGTAGTATGAAACCTAGGTCCAGGGTATCCTGTTGACTACTTCTAACCACTATCTTATGAGAGTCAGTTTTTATATGACCACTGTTAAACAAGATAGCCATTTTTCCAATTCTTTGATGTTAATTATGTATATATTTTAGTTTTAAGAGACTGTAGATTGACTAACCACTAGTTTTGGTAAAAATTCTAAAAAATAAAACAGTTCAGTGTAGAATAACGATTCAAATATGAAATGTGAAGTACTAAATGTTAACCGAATGGTCCTATAGATATGAACCTTCCAAAATGCCTGAAAGTCATGAGTTTGAACCGTGGTAAAATTGTTGATGTAGACTCGACGTATTTTATATGCTTGCATACTGACTATAAACCTTTTCTGTTTATCTTTACAGCCTTTATATATAAACAGTTTAATATTCGTGATACGAAACGTATGTTTCTAAATTGATTTGGGTGGTGAAATTGAGTAGGTTAATGTAAAAAATGTACTATGCTGAGTCGAAAATGATTTTTTCTGAACTACTTTGTTTGATTTTAAAATTTGAAATCTAGAATGAGAACTTTCACAAGTAATGGCTTTTTGTTAAGGCTGTATAACATCACAAGATCTTTACTTAAACAAGGTTACTGTTAAATGGTTATTTAATTTATTTCCTATACCCTAGAATAGTTCACTTGGTATTGTTTGCTTGTATAGGACTGCAAATGATCAGCCTCTTGTTGGCATATGTGTATCCTGTGCGGTCTGCCTCAAGATTTGTAAGCAAAGACGGACAGTGGTTAGCAGTGGAATCCATGACGCGTTTCGTCGCATTTGGGAGTTATCAGCTGGATGTACCTTCACCCCGTTGCACAAGTAAGTGGCTATCAAGACTCAGTAGCTGAGTGGATAACGCAATGGCGTTTGAAGTGAATGGTACTGGGTTCGAGTCTCGGAGTGAACATCGACTCTGAGATGCAGGCACATCCAGCTGACGAGTCCCAAATAGGAAGAAGTGCGCGTCCTGGATTTCAAAGCTAGCCACCATCCATCTTTGCTTATTAGAGAATAGTGTTTGAATGAAGTCATAAATATAATAACCATAGAACTTGTTCACTGTTAGAATAAAAAGAAGCAACCCAAGAGTACTAAACTCAAACTTTTGAAATACTAAGATCTTTATGTGTATCAAATACAAAACAATGTCCTAGGAACATAGCTATTAATGTCGCGTTTAGATTTTAACATACTTTAGATTTCCGACATATGACAAATAACTATGTTGTATTCATCTTAATAAATTACTATTATTTTTAAGTAAAATACTTAACGGAATGAACAATGCAAACTTTGCACATAGTCGTAATTAATCCCGGCTTAGTCTTTTTCTCAATGGACCTCAAAGGGAAAGTTGTTCTGATTCACGGACACATCATTCATTTCACTTTGTTCCCGTTATTCTGTACATTTATACTTTCGAACACTGTTAAAGGAGATACAAGGTAGGTGTACTCACTCTTATAAATAATTATGATCTTTTAACAGTGAACGCATAGGCGTCTGTGGGTATTTGTGTGACTTACCTTGTCACATTAAAGCTAGATATTTGATTTTTCATTAAAGGCACTTTTTATATGCATATACGATGACTCATATACATGTACACTTATTCATTTTTATCCTTTCGGTCTATCTGCTCGTTTGACTGGAAAATAAATATGTTCGCAACAAAGCTTATCCGACAATACATAATGTTGCGACTTAGTTGTTACCATACTGGAAGACAAACGCATTACGGAAAGAAGTTTAATTCAAATAACTCGTAGAAGTAATACAGATAAGTTATTAATAGGAACTTCCAAGAGAAAACATTATAGTGGTGAGCGCGATTTCGAACAAAACTTGGCATTTAAAGTCCCATGCATTGACGAACGAATGCAACGCAACTAACGTAGTTGACTAGCAATAAAGATGGCTCAACATCTCGAATCCGATGCAGGCAATGATTTCAATGCAACAAGGAAAAATATATTCACAAATTTTATTTTTCCGTGTATCGACTCTTATCACTCAGTTATTTCGTGGATTATCTCATTATCCCCCAAAGTTGTGGGATTACTATTATACTCGTATTGACATTATATTATAGCATTTACGTATTTCTATTACGCACTCATCGATCAACAATATTATCAACACTGTATCTACACGATGATACTCACAATTAATTCAACTGTTATTTTGTTCAATAATGCAAAGTTGTCCCTCTTAAAGTGAGTTCGTCCATTTTTTTCATGTCAGCTCTCCTCGCTATTATATTCCTATCCGCGTAGCTAAGGTCACTTTTATAATGTCATGTCACATATGCGTTTTGTCTTTTCGATCAAGTCTTTCACTACGTTTGTGAACACCTGTAATCTTATTAATACCGATCATCTTTATTATGGTTGGATTGTCGATCGAAGGAATGGCTTTATGAGACTAATTATTCATTATCATCCACTTTCGTGTCTATATTTCTGACATATTTGCTAGCCATTCATGCATCGAACCTGCTAAGTAAACTGGATGTCTAATGACACGTGATTCGTTAGTCCGAGTCGGGCGAACCTCCTGCATGCTGAGAGTAGCATGGTCGCAACTACCCCAACACTCTCGGTAGTAGCACCTTATCGCAATATGCAACTGGTGTTCGTTCAAAACATTCATACAAAGCAATCGTCGTTAAAAATTCCTCAACGATAATCTTAACCGAACGTCGATCATAAATATGGGGCTGCTTAGTTTTACAACTTGAGTTTTGATATTACATTGATTTCCAATCATTAAACTTGATATGCTCTAAAACATTTTCAGATGCACTGATCATTCCTACATTTTGTCGGAATCACAGATAATATTCCGTCACTTATTTACACGATCTCCTCAGTTTTCATACGCATAAGCTTTAGATGATTTATCATGTTTTAATAAACACTCAAATTGCTCATGAAAATACTTTTCTTTTCGCCCATACGTTCACAAAATAAATACGTGCTCATTATTTTGCTCATAATCACATGTGAGCACTTACATTTGTCTGCAAACATACGGTATTTATGCTTTTTCGCACTAAACATTCATCTTTCCTTTATCATTGCAATCTACCGGATATAGTGTATCTTTTTGCTACTTACTGTTATACTTCCTTCACATACCAATTCAGTGTTATTTTCAAAATGGCTTTTTTCTCAAACTAATGTATAGCTACCCACAAAGAGGTTGTTATGGCATTTTGGCACCATTTTACGACTGTGAGGACTACTCTAGATTTTGAAGACTAATCTAACCTCTTTGTAACCGCGTCAGTTATTTGCTTGTGCCCATGTTTTTATGTGAGAGCATAGATGTACTTGTTTTTTTATCATTTTACTCACTTCGTCACATGATTTTAGCTTAGTTTTCCTTGACTTAAAATACTGAGTAGCTCTTTATTAGATTGAATCGGCATACTTGACTTTTCTGATCGTTTCTATTATCATCAATCTGGGTTAACAATGAATGAAATATATTTATACGAGAACAATTTGATGTACGGATTTAGTTTGTCCTCTCAAATCCAAAGTGAGCACTTAATTGCGTAACATGACGATAGAAGACAGGATCGATACACTGCAGAAAGAGATAAATATTTTGATACGGTGGTCGCGGGACAGATCACGTGCCAGAAGCCGATCGCTCTCTATCGAACACCTTATTCCTCCGATTTGTCGATATCATCAAAATACTACAGATAAGCTAGTAAGTGTATACCCCTTTGAAGGTCTAGGAATATACGCCAATGTAATCATCAGGTGAAGCTATTTGTTTTCCGTACAAGACCAAACTATGTTCGTTTTTAATAGGTAATTATATTGATGCGTATCTCTGCCTATCACGAAGAAGGCCAGGGTTCAATTCCATCAGTTTATAGGCCCTCTATTTGACTTCCTGATTATTGAATGATTTTAACGAAACATATATCCCACATAACCTCCTACATTTTCGCTGACTTAAATCACGTTAGTGAATAACGTCAACACTAAATTTCTTTGTGCGCCGTTTCCATATCAAACTGATTATCGTTTACAAGCTGCACGTGCTGCATAAATCAAAACCGGTTCTCTCTTAAATGACTGCCATACAAACAAACCTCCAATATACCTGTTACGTACATTTAAAGTTTGATTCTGAACGTTATCTTGGTCAAGAATACGTTATTATATTGAAGTATATCCCATATTTTGGAATAACCAGTCATCTGTCATAACTATGGACTTACTTTCCGACCTACCAAATGCACAACTATTGATTATTTGAAAGTATCCTCTGTATAACCTACATATTGTTTAGTAATTTTATTACGTTTTCATTTGGATAAAATCATTGTTATTTAAGTACTTGGATTTTGGTCTAACAAACTTATTGAGTGAGCCTACGTTTACCTCGATTATATAAATATTTCTACATTTATATTGCTATATTCCTTATCATTATCACATTAATTTAAAACGCTTATCTATTAATAACATGAGGATTGAAAATACTACCAGAGATCTTCTCAAACTTAAAAAGAAAAACAGAAACAGGTAAAGACCATGTAAAATGAAATTTTCGAGTTCAGGCTTGCAGCGTACAGTGCAAATAATCCAAGAATCTAGTTCGCTCAGATAGGAGCACTTCTCTTTGCTTAAGGAATACGATCCCGGGCTACCTGTTATACAGGGTCACTACCAGTCGAAGTTTCAGCTACGGTCTGGGACCTCATTGGTCAGGTACCGAAAGAAGCTCCATATGATAGGAAATAAAAGCCGAGGTTATGCAGCACACGTGTCTCAGAAGAAAAGAAGCTACTACTGACTGTTTGTGATTTTGTTGACAGAAAACCCTCCCAACTTCTAAGATATATGAAGCGGATAGCTGGTTTCCGTAGGCCAGACGAGGATGTGAGGATAAATTTGGCTGTAGCAACTGTCGTACAATCTACGGCAAGTATTGAGTGTGTTCGGTATATCAGTTAAACTCTACAATTTATCAGAGATGGCAAACAAAATGATGCATATCCAGACGCTGACAGTGTCAACATTCCATATACAGCGGCGGGAACTAGCACTGGTGGTTACCATATAGAAACACTACAACAACAGCTAATTGACCTCAGAAATAGACTTATTATGTCACAAACATCAATATCTAACTTTTAGATGAGACGTAAATGGTCATCATCCCGAAAAAGGTCGTCCATAAAACTGCGTTTTCAGTCACCAAAAATATTCGGAAAAGTATGCTGGCACAATCAAAGGCAAGAATTTGCTGCAAAGACATGGAAAAGACAGTGGAATGTTTCCACAAATCATAAAGACCCTCAGTGAGACATTGCCAACCAGGCAGCAGTGGCGAGAGCTGTCACTAACCACCCATCGAGCTACCTAATCCAAGCGATTAACAAAAAATTCGGTGCCGTTTCAGTAGATATTGGTGCCGAGGTCAATATTATTACACCAGTGTTATCAAAGAGGTGTAATCCGGTCAGTAATATGTTACTTCAACCAGTCAACAAAACCACAATCTGCACGTATAGCAGACAACCATTTATATTGAACCTCGAGTCGCGTCGGAATTTTCGGGGATTTTTGTAGCAGCAACGTAAAGATAATAATAATAATAATAATAATACGGAAAAGAGTAAATATTCCAGTCTTCCACCTCGTGCTAAGACGGCTACTCGAAATGTTAAATCAGTGTTACGAAAAGACAATGATGTTAACATATCTGAGTTTAAACCTTACGACTCATCTCATTATACGTGTCGACGCTTAATAACCACCAATGGTAGCAGTTTCGCAACAAGTAGACGATGCAATAACATGGCAACAATTTTTGACATTTTATAACATGTAATACAAAAGTTATTTATCTAAATTTTTAACATGGCTTTTTTAAAATTATAAATAAAAGCTACGCATATTTCTTTAAGTGTGATCTTCAATAAAAAGACTACTGAATAAACTTTTATTGTTGCCGATATCTGTGTTCCAGTGATGGAAATCAACTGTTATTATTCTGTAGACAATATAGAAAATGAACAAGTTAAAAGTCTCTAACAAGAGTAGAGATGTCTGAGAACCGTGTATCCAAATTAGCGGCTTCGGTGAAAACTGAACCAAAACACAAAAATATTAAGTTAAGTTTTCAACAGTCAGTAAATTATTATTAATCAAAAGCTAATGTGATTTTATGCGAAACAGTTAGAAAAAAATGTTCATAAAAGCATACAACTGATAGAAATGGAGAAATGTAAATGGAATTACTGAAGTGGTCGATGAACTACACTACTAAGCAATTATCAAGTGATTTCAAAATTCAATGGCTATTGAGGACCAGTAAATCATGATAACTGTTGTCAAAGCCAAGTTTTTGTACATAAAAACAGTTAATATGATCATTTTTATTGTCATGGCTTCGGTTTCTTTCCACGTTTTATGGTTCGTTTTCACGCAATAACTTTTTACATTGAAAAGATGGAAGAATAGTAGGATGATCAGTAACTCGATTTATTTAATAACAGTGCTGAATTATGAGAAAGTGTAACTGAGTAGTTGGAAAAGTGTTATTAATCATATTCCTTATCCGGTATATTTTGAGGCTTTTTATTGCACATAAACAGACAATGAAATAAGTCAAGATATAGCCCTGTTATTAATCAATCAGCCTGTACTTTGGAATGGATTATAATTGCATTGGATTGAAATTCAACAGTTCTACACAATACCTTGAATGAGGTGCAATACAGTGGCTTTTAACGCCATGAAACAGCCTAGAATATAAGACAGCGATGGTCACATTGTAATTTATATATTTCTAATAAATTCTATACTTCATCTTTCAAATGAACGATGATGATAATTATGTTCTCGTTTATAATGTATCTTTCAGATTTTCAAAAGATGATCTTTTAATTGAAGACTCATAAACCTGGAGGATACAAAGCTCCACTGATATGAAATGTATGAGATTCTTTGTATCTAAATACCACTGCTTTGTTTGGCTTTGTGAGGGCAACAAATTGCATGTAATAACCCACAATTTAACTGCTACTCAACATTCGTCGTTCTGGTACAACGTACAAAATAAAACTCAATGCAAAATGGTAGGATGTAATAGTGTATTACTGGATTATATTAAAAATGCAATTTATCTTCTGAATACAGGTCTAAGCACTAAGCTTTGAGTTACATTATTTGCATGAGGGAACTAGGGATACATACTACTCGCCTGCTGAAATTGAAGTAAGTAGATTGAGGTTCGAATCCGCAACCGACTATTGGGAAACCCAGTCCTGTAACCACTAAACCACAGCTCTACATATTATTGGATACAACATGAGGAGAAACCCATAATTTTTGAAACCTTATATAAAAAATGAAAGAGTTCTTAAAGAAGATTACGCCAATACATAATTAAAAGTTTTTGTATGAATATTTATCACTAAACGATATGAATGATGTCGTATTCACCAACAAAAGCGGTATTTTTCCTTACAAACTTACCATCGCGAAGATTAGAAAGATGATATCCAACTGAAGAATCCAATGACGCAACCTCAAACAATGATAAAATTTTATCGATTCTTTTTAAAAGTTCATCTGAAAAACAATTAAAACCATTAAAACTATTGGTAAGAAAAAATGAAGCAATTAATATCTAATGATTCATTGTATAACCAAATAGGAATGTTCCATGAAGAAACAAAAACAATTTCATGTTGTACTGTTGTAGTTATTGTGTTCAGTTCTTCCCAACAACTTTTGATCAAACAAAAATTTCTTAGATTTTATAATTAAAATAGATGATTACTAGAGATCGAAATCTCATAGTTCTATCTTATTAATTTGATTAAATTGTCAACTGGTGTAATCTTACTAGTCTGAGAACTCTCTTACGAAATACAAGAATATTCTACCATTTATTCATTCTGCTAACAAGATCAGTGAAGAGGTAATAAAATAAAATATATTACTCCAAATTATTATTTTTACTAAACTGGACGCTTTCTATGATTATATACTTCATTTATGAATGGTGGCGCAACTTCGTGGGTTGGTTGAAGTTAGACATTAACACCGGTTGATGCCGGCTCATTGGTCTAGTTGGTTAAGCACCTGGCACGAGACTGATAGGTCCTGAGTTCGAATCTCGCGAAGTGCGGGATTGTGGACGCGCACTGTTGAGGAGTCCCATGCTAGGACGAAACGGCCGTCCAGTGCTTCCAGGTTTTCCATGGTGGTCTAGCTTCAGTTGACTCATGATTCCAGTCAGTGAAATTTATGAAACAGTTAACTATATTTAGAAAAAAACATCCTACCAGTATAGATTTAAACAAGAATATTTTAACAAATACTGGAGTTTTAATTGAAACTTGATCGGTTTTTTTTAGGTATCGTTACTAAGGTTTGACTTGATAATTTCGAATAAATTGAGCATTGGGTAGACTGTTATAAATAAAAAATATATTTGTAATATCCCCATGAGTAGAAAAACTAGATAGTTTGACGTTTCGTGATTCAGTGTGAGCCACTTCTTCAGAGGATAAATAATCAAATCAAAATTAGTCCAAGTTTAAATAGTACAACGGAACAACAAGAATATTATGTGATCAATCAAAAAACAGGTCTGAACAAATCAATCTCACATCATTTCGATTAAGGTGATTCATAAGCGACATGTATGTAAATTTGTGTGTGTGTATGTGTGCAATGTTAAGGATGAAAAATGTGTGACCTTCATGGGGAGAAAGAATAGAGTTTAATTTATATGATAATAGTGTTAATTGTGAATAATATCAAACTAGGTGGCTAGGATAGATAGTCCAAGTAGGATGTATAATAAGGTCTTCTTTTCTGTTGAGAGCAGTAGGATGAGGCATTATATGGAACGTTTCAGCTACTCTCCTTTCTTTGTAATTGGAAAAACCTTTTTGTAATATTTTGATATTTTTGAAATTGATTTAATGGTCGTTGAAAATGGCATGAACTGCTATTGCCGATTTAATTCTGTGAAGACGTGGCTTACACTGAGTCACGAAGCGTCAGAAAATCTATTTTTTTCCTACTCATTGGGATATCACAAATATATTATTTATTTATTGAACGGTTTTTATTGGTTATATGTGTATCCTATGAGGATTGTTTCGATATAGCTATTTTGTTACAGATTGCATTGTAATAGATGATTTTTTTAATTAGCAGTGAAATAAAGTACGTGTGTTTTGTCCTATTCTGAACCCTTGTGAACAAATAAACGCTAGTATGCAGGTACATCTAGTCTAGAAGTCTCAAAAAGAATAAAACGAGAAGCCAGAATTTCAATTTTGTCCATAATTTATTTATTTTATATGATAAATATTCTGATTAAATGCATGAATCGGTTTCTTAAGATGTAAAATAAGATGAAACATTAATCTCTTGAAAAATTCTCAGTTAAAATTTTCTGTCTATAAAATAAAATCTCTTAAATATTTATATCTCAATGGTTAAGATCATGAGTCAGTTGAAGCTAGACCACCATGGAAAACCTGGAAGCACTGGACGGCCGTTTCGTCCTATTGTGGGACTCCTCAGTAGTGCGTATCCATGACCTCGCCCCCTGAGAGATTCGAACCCAGGACCTACTGGTTTCGCGCGCAAGCATTTAACTACTAAACTACTGATATCCTTTACAATTACTTCATATTGAATTTTGATTGAGTATAAACTTAAATTCAGCACTGTTGAATTGGTTATAATAGATAACTATTATTTAGAATTGTTAGGTATGCAGAGGAATGTACCAATGATTATCGTGTTAAGTCGAATGGTGTCCTTGGACGTTAAATGGACATTCCCTATTGGCCATTGTTTATTTCACTCGTTAAATATTGTGTAAATGTTGTTTTCATTTTTATGGTACGATGTGATCTGTTTGGTTAGTATATAAATAGAGTATGTTTGAAATACAATGATTCATAACTCAGAGGCTGTGACTTGCGTTCTAGACTCAACTGGCTGGGCTAGACAGGGAAGCGGGACCAATCGGATCTCTAGGTCGACCTTACGTGTTTTGCGCGTTACTGTGATCGATCGATAAAACGCTGCGTATCATAAACTGCAGTCCAACCGTTACAACAAGAATAAACACATACACAGAAACAACTAGTAAAAATTGATTCATCTTGTTTATAGGGGAAATCTTGTTTTTCATTGAATTGTCAATAGGCATAACAACGTATGGATTGTATAAATGATGGGAATAGATTTGAAAGATATATTTTATTTTACTAACCAGGAATAGCCGATAGACATTTTTTCATTTGATCACATAAATTAGAACTGAATAATTTGGACCATTTGCAATAAACTATCCATATTTTAATAACTGTACAAATATATTCTATGCAAAGAGATGGTTGATTTACTGAAAATTAAATAACAGATATACATATCTTTATCAGACTTCGTAACAGATAAATAGTTATATTTGTAAACATAAATGAGAATATTGAAGTAACCAAGGCATTTTTCTTAAAAATCGATGATATAGATTATGTAACGAATTACGAGGAAGGAAAAAAGTGAAAATTGTGATAGTATGATAATGTTCAATGTGTGTTTTAATTATCTTGATCTGAAATTTGAATATTACAAAAACATTTACTAGTTACTTTAAAATAAATAATATTCCAGAATCTATTTTCACTGGAAATAATTAATCATTGAATAATTTATGTTTTGTTTTAGTATAAGAGTACTTAATAATCGTTAGTCTTCAGATATTAGAGTGAGCTTGGTGATCTCAGCTTACTTTGATTAATTTTCTTTCATCAATTTTACGTCGTGACGAAAACTATTTACAACTTACAGGAATCTTTACAAATCACTCAAACACTGAACGAATTTTACAGATATGCTGCTATAGATTAAACATAGTCAGTTGGTCAGTCATAAGCAACGTAAAACCTGATGCATATGTGTATCGGTTCGAGTTGTCACACCATACCAGCGCATCGACGTGAAATTTTCAAGGCGAGTCCAAGAGTAGTACTAGTAGCAATAGTATCAGTAGTAGTAGGAGGGGGAGGAGATATTATGCATAGAAGATAAGAATAGAAAGAATGAATGAATTTGCGACATATCAAGTAGAAGTACTTCGGGATAAAAAGTTAATGTATCTGAGCCACTACAATTGGTCATTAGCTATCCCGCCTAGAACCCCTCACAAATAGTTACGATAACTGAGAGGTCTCCAACTAGATAACCTCCATATACCTACCTAAACGGCTTGGTGAAACATCCAATAACTTTGTCGACCGATGTCATGTCTTGATTTGGCTGCTCCGAGCATTTTTTTCCAATCTACTCCATCCTAATTTCACTTAGATTGATCACGGAACTATTTCAATCCTATTCATAAAATACTGAACATGTGACATTATTTCAGTTATCCTTAGTGACGTTATATTTAGATGGTAATCAGTAGTATCAGTTATATAAATGGCACCGTAATCCACAAAAGGTAGTTTTAAAGATAAGCATGAATAAAATACTTTTTTGAGACAAAATCTCAAAATCTAACTTTATTTAGAACAGAATAAGATGCAAACGATTTTTGATACACAAGTACGGTTAAGAGATTGATACATTGATATGACAACTGGAAACCCTGAGTAAAACAGTGTTAGTTCAAGACTGTTTCACGCCACAACACCAAACACAAGAAGGAAACCAACAGAAGTATAAAAGTCCCAAAGAAAAAACCAATGTGAATTAAGTGAAACTACAAAAATGAGTAAAAAAAATTTTGAATTTAGAGAAACAGCAACAAAGTACGTTGTTTTTTACTTGGTTTTAACTGACAGACAGTCCAAAAGATCATTGGTTGTTAATATTATTATCATGAGGACCTCAAACAGAAAGAAGTACTTCGTAATACCTAAAATAATGGATATGTTTAATGAATGAATTGGAATTAGTTTTCTAATCAACTTATATTTATTTCGAACTAATGAGATATATCCATTACTCTTAAAAACTACTTAAAACATATTTAAGTAACTTGAATATATACAATTATAAGATTTTTATCTATGATTAAATCAGAATTTTAGAACATGACCCTTAAAAACTCTTATTGCATCATTTCTATGTGAAATTTGTAACTCATTCAGCATACCATTAAGAACCAGGGTGTAGTGGAGAGCCATTTCAATTTAGCAAGGAACTGCTGAGCATTAAGTGCTCACAAGCCCTTCAGACATTAGATCGAGGAACTTACGTTCTTCCGATAAACGCTGAACTGTTAGAATCATTGAATTGGCTTTCAAAGGTACATGTTTCCAATTTCAGTCAACTTGTAATATAACGAGACAATAATTTTGCGCTACTAATGACGGCTATTTCACTTCAAACGTACCTAAACTCCATTGGTCACAACTTTCCACTAGCACCGCAGGAACTCACATGGAAGAAAGTCATTATTGAACTGACTATGATAGTTTAGGTGAAGCAGTTTCGTGGAGATTATTCTGTCATGAAAATAAATTTTAGGATATTCCATTGAAACAAATAAAAGTATTTAAATAAGCGTTACACTAACCAATTAGAGAATCTATGAAAGAGATCCAATTACCAACAAAAAACTTCAATAATTCACCAGGACTCAAAAGCCACATAAGTAAATTGGTTTCCTGTATACTGTCCTTCGTGTCGAGTAACAGCGTATTCAACAGACATTTGTTTATAAGTTCCAAGATGTTAGTAACAAGGGTAACGAATGAACACATATTAGATTTCTGGGCAGTTACAATATTCGCGCAACAACTCTCTTTCAACCATTTGCAAACCATATTTCCACGAAATGGTCTACCAGTCGAATTATATCTAAATAAGTTAGCAGACGAGTCAGTATTTGAAGGGATTCTATACAGCTGAACTAAAATAGTTGAAATGTTTGCAACGGATTGAACGATTTTCGAATTATCTGTAGATGAAATTTGATGCGAGGCAGTTGACAAACGATGATTTTCAAAGAAATTTGTCCTAATTGAAAAAAGTACAATTGCGACTTGAAACAAACAGTATTTAAAAATGTATTGATGATGACTATCACTATAGGGTTAAATAATCTGGATTTTCGCAACAAACAAATGTATTAATAGCTCATCGCCAATAGTGGTGGAGATTGATATAATTAGGATAACCGAGTGGTTTACATCGAATATAAGAAAACGTAGTGCAAGAAAATAAATCAGACAAAACTACAAAACGAATGAAAATGAAAAGCTTAATCAAATAAAGATTTTAACATTTAAGAATCTACTGTCCTTTATTCTACGAAGCTAAAAATTAAATCGATAGTCCAGCAAGATATGATGAACAGTGGCTGTATAGATGATATCGTCCTGTAGAGGAAAACATTCAAATGTAGCCAATCTAATGCAATTTTTGAAAGAATACTCAGTGAGTTCTTGCAAGCTCAATAATATCTCACTACAATGATAATGATAATAATCGAGAGCTCACTAGAGGTTAGTTTAAAGATGCAACTACTGTAGGACTAGTGGGAAGCCTTCGCCACTGGAGTTCAATCGTGTCGAGTCTGAGACAGTTATCCACAGCAGGCAATGGAAGATGGTCCTTCAATGTCGTTCATTAAATTAAGTTAGACATATATACCGTTGGATGCCGGCTCAATGGTTTAGGGGTTAAGTGCCCACACATGAAACCAAATATCCCCAGTTAGATCCCCACATGTGGAGTCATGGACGCGTAGTCCTGAGGAGTCCCACATTTGGACAATGCTCCCTGGTTTTCAGTCGTTATCTTGCTAAGATTAGTTCGTAATTTAAACAATGAAGAAACCTTATTTAATGAAAATGAGGTCTTGAATCTTATCGAAATCAATTTTGAATCTGTACATGACAGAAAAATATTTTATAAACTTACATCAGTGTATCCAAAATCGGTAAAACTGGAGTTAAATATTTATTGAATAGTTCTTCAAAAACAGACATGATTTCAAAATTCTTTTCTAATTCCGTACAATGCGTCTTAAAGTATAATTCAATCCAACTGAAATATGTTTCAAGTAAAACTGTACCAAGTGGTTTAATTTCATTAACCGACTTATCCCATAAAAAGTGTGTATCAGTACATATTTCACAACTGGGATCCTAAATATTCAGGAAAAAAAATTCTTACATTAATAGAGAAAATAGAGCATTTTCAACATTAATGTTTATTAATCTAACAAAAACCTTAGTCTAATTTTTAGAAAAATATGTACAACTAGGTACAGTACAGTGTAAGTGAGCCAATAAAAAAACTTTTAACATGTTTAGTAGTTAAAGTAAAGAGGGTGCTAAATTTGATTTTCGAAATAAAAGTACAAATGAAATTTGAAAAAAAATAAGGGAAAAATGAAATTGAATACTTGATGGAATCAAAAGGTTACTTTATATTAACGATACGATAGGAGAGAAAAAGATTTGTACCTATTAAACATTTGGTACTACATAAAGCTGCTTGAAAGAACCCTCTTAGAACCCGAAACAAGAAGTGAGAAGTTGAACATGTAGGTTGATATAAAAATGTACACATGAGGCATAATAATCATATAATAAAAACCACATATTAGTACTGAGCGAAATGTTTACCAAACAAAAGCCACAGAATAATACACAGATAAATCACAAGATATGACTTTCATAGATTTAGACAAAATATCAGTTTATATATAATTTGTTGCGATATGAAAAATTGCTAATATTACCAGCTTTATTATACGAACAAAGACAATGAATATTGTGAATTAATTGAAGTTAGATATATAAACAATTGGATTCCAGCTTAGTGGTTTAGAGGTGTTAAGCGTTCGCCCACGAAATCGTAGGTCTTGAGTTTGACCTGCAAAGGGCCATGGATACGCAATTCTAAAAAGCCTCATACAAGGACGAAACAGTCATCCAGTGCTTCCTGATTCTTAATGGGTAGTCTAATTTACGTCAGTTTGTGACATCAATAATACTTGATAATGTCGACAATCCGCCAAACTCATAATGGGCGATTTTTTGAAAACAACGTTGAACTATACAACGAAATAAGTTTTCTTTTATTAACACACAATCGCTAAATATATACATACTATTATTTATCAGACAGATTTTTTGTAACACTTTCATAGATGATTCAAAAGTATTCACAAGAGCTAATTTTCGTTATAGAATTATTCCATTAACCATAGTTTTCAAATCAATGACTTAAACACTTTATCTCTACAAATCGTCATAACGTGTGCAATAACAATACAATTGTTATTTCTATGCAATTGGTTTCCTTCACAAATATAAAGAAGATAAAGAATAAACGGCAAAATAATCTGGATTTATAGTATTTTGTTGCGTTTTCCTCAGCTAGATGGAAGCCAATATATTTAGTTATTTTCAATTACTAACGAAAATTTTTAATTTAAAGAAATGTTTTGTCTATAAAGAGCGATTTGTTCAGAATGTGAGTTGATGGAAATTTGTAATTAAAATTGTTCCTATTTTATTTTTAAACTGTTACATTCAATCTGTTGCATTAATAATATCTTATCTTACTTGATTTTTTATAGAAGGATTAAATGAACTCAGTAAATTTCGTAACAATTCACCAGTATCTAAACATTGTAACCAAATATTTTTCACTGTATCGTCAGTAGCATATGAAATTAAGGAGCGATAAGAAGAATTGTCACTACATTTATTAACAGTATCTAACTTTTAGAACAGACAAAATAGAAACAAAAGTTATACAGAAGTGAAAAATTATCTATCAATGTATGTACATGAAAAAAAACAGTTTTATAATTGACAGTGACAATTCACAATAAGTGTTATGAACGGTTTAAATCGAAAACTATTAAGAAAAGGGTTAAAAAAGCGACTATTTTCTAGATAGACTCTGGCTTCCTGAACTGTATTATTACTTCTGAATGTAGCCAAACTTTTATGGTATGAGATAATCATTCAATTGGCCACATAAATGAAGTTAGGACATGAGATTTATGTGTCATGTTATTGAATTATATTGTCCAACGCCTGCAACCATAAATTACAACTATAAAGAGAGCTGCAGCCAGGATGTCTATATCGCCTTAGACGCCTAAAGCTAAACGTTAACGACTTCACAAACTGATGCTATGTATAGTTTGAATGCCTTGAGTTTTCTCTAATCTACTTCAAAGCCTATCAACATAGTGTTTGGGTTGTTTGTGGCTAGACATACGTAAAACATACTTGAATAACTCCAATCGACGAAAATCTATAACCATACTATCCGATTTATCATTTGTACTTAGTAACTTAAGCGTAACCCTCGACATTGTTCACTTAGTGAGTGTCAACATGTACGAGAACCGCTTCGAATAATTCAAATACTTATAATCAAAACAGGACTTCTACTTTTTGTAGGACACGTTTCACACCCATGAAGCATTATGAGGTAGAATGCTGTACTGTATACTGGATAGGCGAAAGTAACGTAATTAGACGTATATAGGCCAGTCACAGCTAAGAGTGTCTTAAAACGTCTAAGACTTCATTTGCGAAGGTTTTTAGTTCCGCGCTGTTGGTATTAGGACTTTAACTGGTTAGTTTCTAATGGTATTTATGGATACTGGGAGGAGTGCCTCAGTATTTGCCAGTTAGTCACACGTTTTCAGATCTAAAATTCCAAGTATCCTTTTGTATACTGAAATTACGCCTTGGGTCTAGAATCAATGCTCTTTACAATAACCACTACTATTCTTTTATCGGTTACCTTATACTTTTATGTTCCATGTTTTTAAAGGTCTGTTGCATATTACATATACTTATAAGTTCTCGAATAAAGAAAAGTTTCCTTATTATTACAGCACACCCGGAACTAACGTCCGTTTTTGGTTTATTCAATGCTGAACAAATCATCATTTAATTGCTAAGGTTTTGGAAAATAACATTTCCTAGAACAACTGACTTCATCATTTACCATTACTGTGTGAATAATATATGCCACATAGTGTCCCAAAAATATGAGTTTATTTCGCCAATTAAACGTAAGGGAATAATACAGACTCAATTTTACTGGTTCCTATTTTAAATTTAGACGACTGATAATTTCCCTAATTTACACGAATATCAAATGCTGAAATTTGTACACCGGTAATTAGACAGAAACACCTCGAATGAAAGTTATGCAACTGAAAAAACTCACATTATTATGATCAGTGTCACTCTTCTGTAACTCTTGTAGGCAATATTGAAATAAAAGTAAACATGCTTCTAATATATTGCAATTAATTACTGAAGAATCCTTGTGAGAAAGAACGAAAGAAAAAAATATAAGAATACAAAACAATAAAACTCATTGATCAGGAATTGACTAACGGTCAGTTTTCAGCTACATATAAGAGCTAGAGGCTATTGATACTTCATGGTCATCTAAACTGCAGTAGGCAGAGTAAAGATTGAACCAAATTCTACAAATAAAGGAAATGTCTAGATATTATTATTATTATTATTATTATTATTATTATTATTATTATTATTATTAGCTTTATTCAATATTATAATTTTGGTACAATATAGAATTCTCAGCGCAAAGTATTTCAACAAGTTTCCGTTTCTTTCTTCTTGGTCGGTCCTGGCGATAAATATTGAGGAATCGCCAGTTAGATGTTAGCACTTCAGTGAATGAACAACTGAATAATGTACATTCTTTTCGTTGTACATTGCCAGCAATCATATTGTCTCTTATTGAGCTTTCTGTAACTTTGACAACGAAAGGTTGTACACTTTTCAGAAACGCAGCAGAATAGGTTATGCGATTAATAAACATAATGATATATTAAAACAAACAACAATAGATAACTTGTTGAAATATCTAGATGGCAGGAACAGGTAGCCCAGATGCTCAAGCAGGCCGCCCTTATGTAATCTAACACACTTAACTTAAAAAATGTACAAACACAACATACTCAATGGTCATTTAAAATAGATCAAGTAACTAGCGTACCCACTAAATACATTAGTAGCATAGTATATGACACTTCGGAGTTCGAAGTGGTAGGTCGTGCGTCCGAGTCTCACGGTGAGCATCAACAAGGGTGCAAACATATAACTGACTACCTGTAAATAGGAAGAAGTGCGTCCTACAATCCACAAATAGCTCAAGTTTGAAGACATAATGAAACCTTCGACTACATGCAATATCAATGAGGTCCTCTCAGAATGAATATATGACAACAGAGAGTGATCTAAATTTAGTCCAGAGTATTGCATTTTTAGTTTCACCTACGCTACCCTGCTGACCCAACTGAATTAAATGGAACTCAAACTCATAACCAAGTGGATACAGATCAAGTGCTTTAAACATAGAATGACTGCGAAAACCATGCTAAATCAATGAATTTTTCTTAATTTCGGTGTTCATAATTATTTACAAAAGGTTAATGAAGCAGGAAGCTAACCCTAAATATCATGTTCTAAACCAAAACTGTGATACACTGCTTTAAGTGCTTTTCACCACCAATCAACAGGTCCCCATATTTTACCAGATATGTAAAACAGCATAATGTATTTCACAAAATAAATATGTTGAAAAGGCAAATTACCGAAAATGGATTTGTTTACTGAATTCGATTACACTATCATTAACTCAATATCACCAAATGAAAAACCCAGCAATAAAATGATATTGTCTCAAAGAGATTTAAACAATATATTTGATCTAGGACATTTTACTACTTTATTTAACTGATTGGATTGAATGTAGCTAACTAATCACGTAAACGTTCGTGTACTTAGCCTTGAGTCACATTTGCGTGACAGCCTAGTGATATTACCCGTCTGCCCAAATCAAAATATATGGAGTCGAATTTGAATTGACTAAGTCTTCATAACTTTTTATTGACCTATTTTCTTATCAATTAATAAGTATGCAGTCAAAGCAATGTAGATATTATTCTCATGCTTATGGCTTTCATGAGAAACTGATAAATGGATATGAGACATATGACTGGCTCAAAATCTATTTACAAACCAAAATTTGCCTACAAATAAAGTATTCAGAATAAAGGAAAAAACATACTGAGCAAATCAATATATCTGTACAATTTTCTGACGATGTCCTAAAATTTTTCTCTTCCTCACTGCCAGAATTCAAAACGCACTGAACATTATTGTTATCACTCTTACTCTTATTGTTTCCTGAGGATTTCTGAGTCAGATATAATCGTAGTTCAATAGTAAGGGTTGTAACAACAAGAGTAAATGGTTCACCATGATTAGTTTGATTGCAAAAATTTTCCAACCATTTTAATGATTGAAAAACGTTTGACAAAGCGACCAAAAATTGGAGAACTATACAGAATTGTTTATTGATGCTGTAAAATCCTATAATACACAGTATAATATAAAAATAAAGTTATTTAACTGAATGCTACTTGGAAGTAATATAAATTTCAAAGTCACTTCATATTCAACGTAGAACCTGACACATGTTCATTGGTCGTCATATCACATTAGCACAGCGAGATAAAATAACTTCAAGACAAATTCCACAGAAGAAGAGGTAGTAACAATATCAGTAGAAGTAGAAAAAGATCATATATAGAGAAAGGAAGACAAAAGCAAGATTTTGAGACTCAGGTTCTAAAGAAAGACAGGGAGTGGATGCACTTCCGCCATTGTGAACGATTCTGAGCTACTCTACCCAAAGTCTTTAACCATTGATTGTGATAGTTGTGCAGGCCTCAACCAGATAGTCTAAGCCCATTAACATGGCTTAGTTCCACTTTTAGTGACTTCATAAACTGCTGCCATATCTTGGTTAGGCACACCCCCTAGTTTCCTCCCAATTACACTATACATACTGACGATATACATATCCGATGGCAAAGATATTTTGAGAATCCTAATTAATTATTACAATAGTAATAAATTTAATTATAACTTGAATCAGCAGTAAAAACTAACACCAGAAGTATGAATTAAAAATGGGTAGAAAATCTTTGTGAATAATTTGTTGCATCTTAGTTTAAGGTTAACTAACAGTTAAAAGTTCATGAATCTTCAGTGTATGGATTCGTTTCTTCACATCCGGTTTATTGTATACATGAAAAGTGAGAATCGTAACATAAGTAGTATACTTTTTAAGCCGGCAAAATGACATTCAATACAAAGTTAGAGATACGATTCTCGGAATGCCATAAATTAACAAAATTATAAATCTTTAATTAATCTCGTCAAACATATTGGGGAAATAAAAACCATAAAAATAGGTAAAAACTTTGAGAACTTCATATACATTCAAACTACTGTTTCTTCAAAGGTATATCAGAAAAAACCTCGTTAGTTATCTAGCTACAACCTATATAACTACAATAGGTAATCTTATTATAGAACCGTATATATAATAGTTGTAAGACTATATGTGAATTTTCAGTAAGTTCATATGGCGTCTACATAAAATTAGATGTAGTCGTATCGGTTGAACACATAAACGTACACGTACTTGGTGAATACACGATTGCACATAAAGAGGTATTGCGAGAAGATAAATAGTTCTTTATTGATCGCATACAACAAATGCTAGAAAATATTCATCGTTCAGTAAATTTTAGTGACTGATATCGAGTAATGATCATTAGTTATAATTATAAGTCGATGCTGTTTGGTAAGAACTCCGCCTGGAGTCCCTCCGGGGGCTACTACCGGTCCCAAGCCCGGATAAAGGAGTAGGGTTGGGCATGGGGTTAGCGTCCCCATCCCGTAGAAAACTAACTCGCTAAGAAAACGCTAATCAGAAAAAATTATTAAAACCATTTAAACTCTGCCGTGGGAGTCAGAAGGTCTTCATTTAGAAGAACTATGACGCCTCATGATGAAAGCCGAATTCCTTCGGAAGTTGCGAGGCCGATGCCCCTTCTGACAACCAGAGCGACCATTTATATAGGTACATGGAATGTTCGTACAATGTGGGACACCGGGAGAGCCTTCCAAATTGCTGCAGAAATGAGGAGATACAACCTAGAGGTACTTGGGATCAGTGAAACACATTGGACACAAGTTGGACAACAACGACTAACTTCAGGAGAGCTCCTGTTATACTCCGGCCATGAAGAAGAAAATGCACCACATACACAAGGAGTTGCATTGATGCTGTCCAAATAAGCACAAAATGCACTTATAGGATGGGAATCTCATGGACCAAGGATCATCAAAGCCTCATCAAAGAAAGGGGTTCAATGAACGTCATCCAATGCTATGCGCCTACCAACGACTACAATGAAGACGCTAAAGATCAATTCTACAATAGGCTGCAGTCAATAGTCGAGAAGTGCCCAACAAAGGACCTGACCATTCTGATGGGAGATTTCAATGCCAAGGTTGGAACGGACAACACTGGATATGAAGACAAGGACTGGGAGAAAGGAACGAAAATGGTGAGAGATTTGCAAACCTATGTGCCTTCAATAAGCTGGTCATAGGCGGCACCATATTCCCACATAAACGCATACACAAAACCACATGGACTTCACCGGATCACTCTACACAAAACCAAATCGACCATATTTGCATCAACAAAACGTTCAGGAGGACTATAGAGGACGTGAGAACCAAGAGAGGAGCTAACATAGCATCAGATCATCACTTGCTGGTCGCCAAGATGAAATTGAAACTCAAGAAGCACTGGACAACGAGGCGGACAGTATCACAAAAGTTCAATACGGCTTTTCTCCAGGATACTAGCAAACTCAACAAATTCAAGATAGTCCTGAGCAACAAGTTCCAGGCCTTTCATGATCTACTCAATGAAGAAGGAACTACTGTGGAGAGCAACTGGAAGAGGATCAAACAGGCAATCACTTCAACATGTCATGAGGTCCTGGGTCACAAGAAGCACCATCACAAGGAATGGATCACTGCTGATACACTGGATAAGATCCAAGAAAGGAGGAACAAGAAAGCAGCAATCAATACCAGTCGAACAAGAGCAGAAAAAGCCAAGGCACAAGCTGAATACACAGAAGTAAACAAACAAGTGAAGAGGAGTATCAGAACCGACAGACGTAAATATGTGGAAGATCTAGCAACGACGGCGGAAAATGCTGCAAGAGAAGGAAACATGAGACAATTGTATGATACGACAAAGAAACTCTTTGGAAATCGCCGCAAACCTGAACGACCAGTCAAAAGCAAGGAAGGCGAGGTAATCACCAACATTGAAGAGCAACAAAACAGGTGGGTAGAACACTTCAAAGAACTCTTGAATCGACCAGTTCCACTGAACCCACCCAACATCGAAGCAGCACCCACGGACCTCCCAATCGATGTTGGCCCACCAACAATTGAAGAGATCAGCATGGCCATCAGACAAATCAAGAGTGGCAAAGCAGCAGGACCAGACAACATCCCAGCAGAGGCACTAAAAGCAGACGTAGCGGCAACTGCAAGGATACTCCACATTCTCTTCAATAAGATTTGGGATGAGGAACAAGTACCAAAAGACTGGAAAGAAGGACTTCTGATCAAAATACCGAAGAAAGGCGATCTCAGCAAGTGTGATAACTACAGGGGCATCACTCTTCTCTCAATACCGGGAAAAGTCTTCAACAGGGTATTGTTAAACAGGATGAAGGACTGCGTAGACGCCCAACTTCGTGACCAACAGGCAGGATTCCGTAAGGATAGATCGTGTACAGACCAAATCGCAACTCTACGGATCATTGTGGAACAATCAATTGAATGGAATTCATCACTCTACATCAACTTCATTGACTACAAAAAGGCATTTGATAGCGTGGACAGAACAACACTATGGAAACTTCTTCGACACTACGGCGTGCCTCAGAAGATAGTCAATATCATACAGAACTCATATGATGGATTACACTGCAAAATCGTGCATGGAGGACAGTTGACAAAGTCGTTCGAAGTGAAGACCGGTGTTAGGCAAGGTTGCTTACTCTCACCCTTCCTCTTTCTCCTGGTGATCGACTGGATCATGAAGACGTCAACATCTGAAGGGAAACGCGGGATACAGTGGACATCTAGGATGCAGCTGGACGATCTAGACTTCGCAGATGATCTGGCCCTTCTATCCCAAACGCAACAACAGATGCAGGAGAAGACGAACAGTGTGGCAGCAGCCTCAGCAGCAATAGGTCTCAATATACACAAAGGGAAAAGCAAGGTTCTCCGATACAACTCAGCATGCACCAATCCAATCACAATTGACGGAGAAGATTTGGAAGATAAAAAAACTTAACATATTTGGGCAGCATTATTGATGAACAGGGTGGATCTGATGCAGATGTGAAGGCGCGGATCGGTAAAGCGAGAGCAGCATATTTAAAACTGAAGAACATCTGGAACTCAAAGCAACTATCAACCAACATCAAGGTCAGGATTTTCAATACAAATGTCAAGACAGTTCTAATGTATGGTGCAGAAACCTGGAGAACTACGAAAGCCATCATCCAGAAAATACAGGTGTTTATTAACAGTTGTCTACGCAAAATACTTCAGATCCATTGGCCGGACACTATTAGCAACAACGTACTGTGGGAGAGAACAAACCAGATCCCAGCGGAGGAAGAAATCAGGAAGAAGCGTTGGAAGTGGATAGGACACACATTGAGACAAGCCCTCACATGGAATCCTGAAGGCTAAAGGAGAAGAGGAAGACCAAAGAACACATTACGTCGGGAAATGGAAATAGACATGAGAAAAATGAACAAGAATTGGATGGAACTAGAAAAGAAGGCCCAGGACAGAGTGGGTTGGAGAATGCTGGTCGGCGGCCTATGCTCCATTGGGAGTAACAGGCGTAACTTCGCAACTTCGCTTCGCTGTTTGGTAAGAAGTGATGGAAAATTCACATAATATAATCATGTTTTACTACAATACGCCTAAAGAATTAAAATATTTAGAAGACAAACTAATATCAGACAATGTAAACAAGATATATCTTAATAAAATTTGATTTCTCAAAAAGTGGACTCACGTTCAGTCTTCAAGCAATTCAAACAAAATAGAATTGGATGTTTAAGATGTTCTAATAAACCTATACCATTATCAATTGTAGGCATTAAATTTATTAATTTTATCATTAAAATTAAGTAATTCCAAAGCAAATCATCCTGAAATTAAAAAAACAAAATTTATTGTAATAATGCAGATGATTTACAGAGCATAATACCGATTTCATTCCAATTATATTTAAGCACGAGTAAATACAATAGGAAATAAATGAACAAATGTTTGATAATTATAACGCTTTTCTTTCATGGTTTACATTAAGAACAGGAGTGAGGTACTTAATATAATTTGTAATAACCACGTAAACACATGTAATGTAGAACGACAGTTATGACAGTGTAGTGAGAAGATGAAGCTCATCTGAAAAATGTGATGTGTTCACACCATTCACTTATCGAGGCACCAACTTATGAAAATTAATGAAGTCCTACTGAATAATAGTTCAAATAACAAAGTAACACATGTGTGCAGGATAATTTGTCTACTTTACGAGCACGAGAAAGGTGAAGAATAACTTAAAAGGACGAAAATTCGCTAACCCTATCGTCATATTTTCAACGTTAAAAATATTTACTCAAGCATAAAAACATATTTCTCACCCCTAATTAAACCAAACTAGCAAATTGGAAAATTAAGACTGTATGTTTTATGTTAAACCACGGCAGAATAATAATGGTTGTCATTGTAAAAAAGGCAACATGAAACTAATACTATATATACTGTATAGTTTAATTATCTGGAAAAATCTCTGTGCTATTGAACTTCTGGGAGTTACTGATACCTTCCGACTCCCAATCCATAGACAGGCACAGGTTTTGAAGTGATTTTGGTGAAATAAATTTGAAAATTATCTGTTTAAATGAACGTTTCTGATAAGTAGTTTAACAACTTAAGTCTATATCACTAATTGATTACGTAAAGCACTTTCAGGAATATTGACTACTGTAGTTTTATTATCTAATAAACGAAAAGTACAATTTAATTACTTCAAATAATGCGAAGTCCCAGTTATTCTAGTGAAACACCATCCCATCATATTTCCCGAATTATAGTGTGAAAAAGAGTTCTTTACACATAGACGATTTGACCGTATTTTTATGGTACAATAGCTCCTTAAAAAATGAGTTTCTACCGAGCTGAAGGTCAATTGCTCCTGTGGACAGCAAGCACGATCACTATTACAAGGAATAGAGGTCAGTAAAGCATGAATTGGAAATCTTAACGGGAAATTATCACTTACATAACACAAACTATTTCTCTGAATAAATCAATATTATAATACGCGGTTATCTCGGAAAACTCACTTTACACGATGGATCGAATTTTTCACAACAAACGGCCAAGCTCTTTAACAGAGAATCTTCCAAATCTATATTGTTTTTTACACCATACCGTAGAAGTTCACTCAAAAATAAAAGACAATCTGTTTCAGCTGAAACGAAATGATAAAATATCCTGGGGGAAAAATGAGACGTACGCATATATAATTCACATGTTTTTTTGACTGAAATAGTCAAAACAGATGGAAGGCTACCATTGAAATCGACAAAGGCATTAAACTGTATAATCTGATTTAATACAGGGAATACAAGTGATGATATAGTTCTGTCCGTTGAAGGGCTGGAATAAAATTACGAGGGATGAGTGAAGGGAAACAGAACTTACGAGAGATATACCAAATTCCACAAGCCAGGAAATAATAACTCAAAACCTTTTAATCCGATCTAATGCGAATTCATAAATTATTCGTTAAAACAGGTCTTACGATTGATGGATCGAACGCCATATTCGCGATACATTCAATGAGTGATAAGCGAAGGTTACTCGGAAGACTATCCTTATCTGGAGTAAGGAAAGTACATTAACGTATTATTAATAGACTAAGTATATATATAGATAGATAGAGATGCAGAAAAGTGGGAAACACTAAATTTAGATATCGATTAGATGGCTGCATTTACTTTAGAAACTGTACCACTCTGGAAGTGAAAGGTGTATTTTGCATTTTAAATCGATATAATCAGCTAAACGGTCTGGCATGATAACCAAGCCATCTTACACAGGTAAATCTACGGAAGTAAAGATACACGAATCGTGTGGACTGTACATCTCAAGAGTAAACTAACTAGTAATTATGACTAGCATTTTTCTACTTTGCGCGAGACCATCGAAGTTTAAAATATTCCTGAGAAATCACTAGCATTTGAAGTTTACATAACAAACAAGAAATTTAAAAAGAACTTTTAGTAGGCATATTTTAATCTAACTGGTCTTTCTACAACACCATATATCTAGCTTCTATCTAAAATAAATGAAGAAATGATTGCAATCGTGTCAAGATTCTGTTGGATGGTGGCTTAATGACTGAAGCGCTCCAACTACTTCCGTTTGGTCAACCTGATAAGATCACAACCCTTCACATTCAGAGTGTGACTTATATTTAGGTACGTGGTGAGTGAGGTAATTTATTTGAATAAAATAAATTAATAGGTAGACCAAATGGAATAAGACAGAACCAGGTTTGATGAAACACTTACCAAGTGCACCTTTGTTACATAAAAAATGGAGGATTTACCCACAAACCTAGATGGTGTTGCTTTTTTCCTAGAAAAGGCCTTACATAGCTATGTAAGACGACTTGATTAGTTTATCAACATCTTAGACAGAAATAAGTGTATATTTAACACACACAGAGATATAATGACCTCACTAAGATTAATGTACCATAAATACTTAAGACATGAAAATAGAAAACAGAAAGCCTATCTTAGTAACGAAGCTAGTGAAAGTACACTGTCGTTACCTGGACGATAGATATTCTCTTTAAAATGGATAGAAATGTAGAAAAAATTGATGAGACATGAATGCTTATCACATTTACGCATAAGATGAAATGTTGAAATCAAATAGTTCTATTCCTATTTAGTGCTGGTGGCGTGAGTGATGAGATCAGTGCACGTATAGTGAAAGCCAGAGCGGCTTATGCCAATCTGGGCTATCTTTGGCGCCTTCGTAACGTCAATCTGGCTGTAAAAGGTCGGATCTATAACGCGTCGGTGAGAGCAGTTCCGCTCTATGCTCGTGAAACCTGGCCTCTCCGAGTTGAGGACGTTAGACGACTCTGTGTTTGATCGTCGTTGTCTCCGAAGGATGGCTGACATCCAGTGGCAACACCATGTTAGTAATGCAGAGGTTCAGCATCGTCTGTTCGGGCACAGAGATGATAATGCAATCGCTGTCACCATCTTGAAACATCGACTTCGGTGGCTTGGACATGTTCTACGAATGTCGTCCCAGAGAACTCCACGTCGTACACTATTTTTCGATACTGAGACTGGTTGGAAAAAGTGGAGGTGGTTAGTGTATGACATGGTGTAGCGGTATGAAAGAAGGCTGCAAAGGACTGGCTTCTGTCGGTCCTTCACGACTACCTCGTTGGGGTCCTAGAGATGGTGCGACAAAGTGGCTAGAGACGTTATCAGATATGGCTCAGAATAGAAGCCAGTGGCGATCCTGCTGTAACTTTATTTTGCTTTCTTCATAAAAAGTGGTTATATCTTCCTTAACTGAAAGAATTCTTCTGGTTGTACCTTTTCGTTTCCCCCATTATTATTATTGCTATTATTATTATTACTACGTTACCTTACACTAGTCTGTGGTCGTTATTGTTCTTTTTTTCTTTTACACTCCTTACTTTTTTTTCTCTTACCATTCTTCTTATTTTGTGTGGAGCATATATATTTGATGCCACCTTGTACCAATATTTATGTGTTCAAATATATATACTGCAGTCCACTACGGTAAGATGGTATATTTTCAGTGTTTGAATACCATTATTACAAAATATGTCGTGACGATAAACATTTAAAAACATTTTACAGGAAAAGCAATATTATTAAGATTAAATAAGTATATTAGCCAATATTTGTGTATCTGTATCGTGGCAGAAACATCATTTTAAAAGTATTAATGAGTTAAAGCTAATAGAACGACATATCATGCACATAGACTAGAAGCAAGCTGTACAGATGAATGCACTCGACCTTTGAATATGAAAGATGAGATCTTCTGGTGGTTTAAACTGGTCTAACTGTTTAATTAGTCAGCTCTATGAGACATGTGAACGGGTACCCATCAGTTGGAATACAAGTATCAAATTTTCATAGATATGCTTGGAGCAAACAGATTATATTGCTTATAAGAAGATAACAATCTCAGATGTTTATTAGATCTACAAGCGCATATTAAACATCGTCAGACACTACCTTTTACAAATGCTTGAATTAGTTTTTACGAAATTATGAAATTAGAATGTACTCAGAACAATTTCAGTTACATACATTCATTCTAAATCCTTAGTATTTCAAACGAATACTCTTGAAATTTTATAACGACCGAATATTTAATTTTCCTATTTTTCATGTATCCGCGTACATGTATTTTTGACATTTACCAAGTGCATACATAAGTGATCACAATTTTATCTTGTTTTACTGAGACTTAACCCTTATTCCGTCCACTTATTTTGTATACTGAGTATAAAAACCTCGTTAGGCAATGATAAACCATTCCATAGGAAAGTATATACATAGTCATCAACCTATTTTGGACACTCCGTTGAAACCGAACTTCGTAAGCACTGTTTTGTTGCTCTTTTTTCATATGTACTTTTTCATCATCTGATTTCTCAGTGATCAGTCTTCCTGAAGATCCACTCACTGACTTGCAATAGTATCATGCTATAGTATTGTTTAATGAGAACTAACAAAATGTAGCCATATGAGCACTTTGAGTAATAAAGCAGATATTAATTTTTATTCCTCTAGATGCAAAATGTTTGTGACTGACTCTTATCAAATAAACGTCATTGCAGTAGATCTATGTATATAAAACTCGAAAGTTTGTTTTCTTTGTTTGCGGCCCCACGTACTACTAGAATAAACTAGTTCACACTAAAAAGTTGGTTATGGAAATAGAACGTAAGACTAATAATAATCACTTACCAAGTAATAAATATTGAGCAAGTCTCTCAAAGGGAATACAGATTGCAGCATTGTCTTTTCCCACAGTTTTGATAGACTAGAATATCAATATAAATCGAAGTTATTTAGCGTATACTAACATTCAAAACATTCAAAATGTCACCATCCATAAATATGATGAGATCTTGGATTGTTTCGCTAAAAGTAACAACCAATACAAATTACAGAACCACTGTTGACAGGAAGAATTCGAGCTACAAGGTGATCTGAAAAACACAGGAGTGTTCATCTGAATAAACATACTGACAAATTATAAAGCGAAATAGATGATTTAACGTTACAGAAATATTGCAACAATGACAACCAAGTAACAAAATGACGACAGGATATGCCAGAAGTACAACAAACTTCACTAAGCATGATCAAGAATAACTAATAGCAATTATTAATCCAAAGTGATTAACTTATCGATGTAGGTATAAATAATTTCCTAGAATAAATAGTTCTGTAAACGCCTGAGATTAATGCTAATCTTGTTCGTAACATTAGGTACCAGATAGCTTAGAGTAATTGGTCAGAGTAATACTAGACTAAGCTACGAGCAAGTGAAGAACGTTTCATACGCTTTAGCTGACCAGTTTAAATGGTAGGTTAAGTAATTTTCGGATACAGTCAAATAAATCCATCCTATTAACCATCATCCCCTTAGAACTTGCTTGTACTTGATTTCGTTAAGAATACTGGTGTTTTAACTGTCAACTCCGTTAGTAACCAATGGATTAACAAAAACATATGAGAGTATTAAGGATTGTTTGTTGAGAGAAGCCGAGAAGATATGGGAGTGAGACCATAATTCATGTGTTTAGGAACTAGAGTGAGTTTTCGTGGCGAACTGACGTCAGATATAGTATGACATTGAATGCGAATACGACTTATGGACAAACAAATAAAGTTCAAGATCTTAGGTCTTGTATGTCGGCTCATAATTTATTCATCAATATGTCTAAGTAGTATATACTAATAACATATATTAGCACTATAGCTTAAATCAGATCGTGACGAAAGAACACTAATTCCCAACCTTGAAGTCTAACTGTAAATCCTAATCTCAGTTTCCCACAAAAACAAAAACCATTTCAAACTTTCGCCGTCACCAATTCACGAGACTCACGAAACTAACCACCAACCTTAAAAGCAGCGCCAATACTGAATTTCCGCCTTCAAACTCAAGGTTATAGATTGAATTTAAAACCGCAAAAGGTTTCGTATCCTTATTTCGAAACAAGAGCAAGTATCCAACCTATCTATTTGGATCTAATATAAGTTCAATCTTGACAGCTGGAGTAATGTGGACACACTGTGACGTGCATGAGTTCACATCGCATACGACCATAAAAAAACAGTCAGAATAAATAAGCCAATAAGTGACAAGGTCAAAGTGTGGCTTATGAAGAATGAATGGGCTGGCTTGTTCCGAAGCTAGAATAAGCTATTTGGGCTTGACATAGCACATGACGTTACTTTATCCTTCACAGACTATAAAAGATGTTAGTGGTTAAGGTGTTATCAAACTCCGAACACTTTTTGTATCTTTATACGTATTAGTTAAGTGGCTATGCTTCACAGAATCTATAGTTTGTAACATCCTAATATAAATCATTTAGAACATCGGAAGCACCCATATAAAATTATCAACATACTATGAAATTATGTCACAGGTTTATACAAAGGTAGATTAAACCTGATATAAAGTAGACACTTATGCGGTAAGAAAACGAGCAATTTTGATCCTACCGATTATTTTGTAGATTTATTATATAGTTTTCTTGTGTACAGCTTTTAAATTTATACGACTTCGTATATGTTTGTCCATCATATTCATTGGCTATTCGAGTTACATAAACCCACTATACAGTCCACACTATGAGTGGTTGCTACATCGGGTCACATACTGCACTATTGGTTCATATATCAGTCTAGATAACATGACAACTGATTACTAAAGATGCCACAGGTATTCGGGGTTTGACAACGCCTTTACGCGTAACATATAATCGCAGTATACCAACCCGGGTGAGCCCATTGCTATACCCTCTTTCTGTCCGTAAAGTTGACCTCGAAATATGAATAAAAATTTTAACACCCTTAAAGAAAGATTGACAGCAGAAGCGCTGCATATATGAGCGAACAAGAACACCCTGAACCGAAAAGATGGTATTCAACTGGCAACTACTTGGCAAATTTCGTTTGACAAGTAAATTTGGAACCTATCTCTTGTTTAAACCTGTTTTTTATACCACGTGCATCGTTATTATTTTTGAAAGAATTCAATAAGTTTTTTAAACAATACAATTTATGTTTTGACATGAACATCGATATCTCATTATCAATTTTTCATCCTTGTACTTGAACTTTATTTATTCCGTCATATCAATCTCTCACACATACATACATACCTACACACACACATACTATTTGTTACTCAGTCAAGTATTTCCATGTAGTTGAATTCTTCACATGATTTTTAGTTAACTGACTCATTTTATCCTATTTCACAAAAAATCAACATCCAAATATGATTGGTTTTAACACAGTATAATCCTGATTGTTAAAAAGCTATATATTTCTTTGATAATTTTGATTTTGATTATTACCCTGAAGAGAAGTCCAGACAAGTTAGCTGGACGAAACGTTGGGATTAGTTAAATTTCAATCGCTGAGAATATTTCAAATATAATTTTCACATATAATGACTTCTCTATACTCGGCGCTCAATTACTGTCAAACTATTCGTTCTAATCTTGACGAATATTCGTATAAAGTTCATATCTGTCTTTTAATATCGTTCTACCAAGAGAATGCAATAACGTAGGGAGATAGGTATAGAAATATACTAAATCAACTGTATTTGAAATAAGACATTGTTCAAAAAGACCACTTAACGTTCACACGTACAAATTTGTGGAAATAATTTTGGAAAGGAAATAATTATTTTATATAAAGCTAGCTTTATGAAGATCCAACAATTCCGTTTACTCTGACTTTGTTAATGATAAGATGATCATATTCTTAGCAAACGTTTATAATATTATGTTTATTGTTGAATAAATCAAATGGTTGAAACAAATATTTATTTTAATCCAGTATATAACTAGACTCATTCATTCCTAATTAGGTCAGTGACATACTAATATATTGAGCTTATTAAAAATCTATAAGTATTCACTTCAATTAGGACACATACTACATTTAACTAAAACAATTAACTTCTATAAACTATACATTGTTAACATAGTAATAGGTTACATTAGAGAAATTCTGAATAAATCATGTATTACAACTGACTGTAAACTTTTCAATCGTTTAACACTGTAATTCATTACTTATAATATATTTTCACTTTATACTAACTGTCTTCTGATTGGCTAACAATTGTCAAGGTCATTTAAGATTCGTTTAAAGGTCGTCCCTAAATTAGAGTCTCGCCTATATATGAATCATACATTTCATGCAGATTCAATTGGATATATAATTTCTTTAATGTATTTATTTTATGAATCAATTGTCTTCCATTCTGCTTGGGTTTGGGCACTTGGGCAGTATCACAGCCCTAACACATATCAAATGAGATCTGTGTGGCACATATGTATTTGGTGCCTTCTTGTACCAATATCTATGTGTTAAAATAAAATAAAATAAAATAGTACTTCCATTCTTAGAAACCAAACAATAAATAAAATTCACTTTTTTGAAAATAATTACTGACTTATATTAGATAAGTAGTGTGCACTACTTATGTGGACGGATATAAGTAGTAGGACAACTGAATGAAGATATGCGAATGATGTATTTAGTGTATGATTTTCTTATTTAACAAAGGTAGTGTTTAATGTTGCATATGACAAATTGCTTTACCCCACTAAGTTTTTCATTTTATAAATATTTTTTTTAATAATTATATAACTAAACTAGCGATCAACTGAGTTTCTCTTTGATAACTATTCACCTCAATAGGTTAATTATTCGGTGCTTTGTCAGTTTTTTAACGGAAAATAAGTCAGATACTTAACTCTGTTAATGATTCAAATTGATTTTTACGAAAGTCGGATAGCACGAGCACACAGTTAGTATTATTATATATTTATTTATTTATTTTACATAAATCTGACAGCTGATGATTAAAACAAAGATGAGGTTTGGTTAGTTTTGCTAAGTGGTCTTTGACCAGCTACTTATCTCAGTAGGTTAACAGAAATCTGTCAAGTGTACAAGCAATTATTTAGAAAAACTACTTTCTTCAGATCATGTTATATCTACAGCTTAGATTATTAATATACCGCTTATAACTTGAGTACTCGAATGCTAGAACCATCCAAGTAGCAAACGAGAAGACAGAAGACAAGTGAAAGGAACACTATTCAAAACGGTGTCACATATGATACAAACCTCTCAGGTATTTATAGTTTTCAGTAAAAGCGTAATCATCGTTATAGTCCTCCGATCCACATACAGCGGGTTTTTAACATTTGTCCGATAGGGAAGCTACACGTAGAGATATTGGAATATTCTTCTAAAAGATGACTAGATGGAATATCTTCAGCTCTTTCTGAGCTTCTTAGAGCTTCCTTGAGTTTACCCATCAGCCGTCCTCACAGATCATCACTTAGTTTAAGCTAAAAAAATTACATTTATACTGGTTAGTCATTTTAGGTGTATGATTTCAAATATTTTGAGGTCATTTAGAATAATGTATGAAACAAAAATCGAAACCATCAGTCTTAATTTGGTTTTTCAGCTCTAATATTTCATGTAGATGTTATATAACCATTGTTTTCTTAGATCAATAACGATGTCATATTCACTGAAGAGTAATGTGCAAAATGTACAAAAAATACTACAGAAACAACCTCAAAGAATGTTGGAATGATATGTTGATTATTCTAGGTTTGAAGCTATCACGAGTTCACTTAATCTGCGAACGAGGCATAACAGATTAATTGTGCTTGGACATCACTTCTCTTAAGTGAATCAGTATTATTAATAAATTCTCTATTCGTATACCAGAAAACTTAACATTTTGTGCAGATATTTCAAATAGCCAATAAATAAATACTTATAACTGACTAAACTATATCTTCATGAAATGAAAATAATAGAAGACTCTCTCAGATACTAATGGACAGATTTAAAACTGTACTACAGTTATATAAAACTATATTATTCTAGGTTAAAAATTTCACTGTCAATTAGGATATCATAATTTACAACTATCTAATGTGATTCATTATACAGATTAAAACTAAATTCATAATTTTCGATTTGATCATCATCAGGGTTTACTCTAATATACAGTAATATTTATATGCATATACGAAATTATTATACAAATCAAGGTAGTTTATTGTGCAGTGTTAACAGTGGAATAAACTACATAACTAAACATAATAGGTGAAAAGTACAAGTAGACAGAAATAATTCATTTAAAGTTATTTATCGTATTCCTACTAGTTTTCCTTATGGGATTCCATTTCGCTTCTTAAACATAGCAGAAGCTATAGGAATTCGAGCCAACAATCCAAGTCTTTGTGTTCATAAGAAATTTGTAACACCCTTATCTCTCCCTTAGCTTTAATAAAGGATTTTATTTATTATTATTTTCCATACTCTTTGTTTGTTTATTTTTCTTCACCCCTTCCTACCATTTTCTTTTCAAATATACGTTTCACGGTCCAATTATCTGAAAACACCTTATTACATAATCTCATATTTTTTTATTAATGTTATTTCAATGTCTATATTTATCTAATCAGAAGGGGTTTTGTGGCGATTTTAGTAATTTCAATAGTTGAAATCATGAGTCAATTGATGCTAGACAACCATGGAAAACTTCAAAACACTAAAAGTCCGTTTCGTCCTATTGTCGGACTCCTCAGCAATACACATCCACAATCCCGACTCTCGCGAGATTCAGATTCACGAACTATCATTCACGCACGCGAGCGCCTAACCACTACATCACTGAGCCAGCCGGCATCCAACGGTGTTAATGTCTAACTTCAACTGATCCACGAAATTGGACGACACATTCACCATTGTTATCTGTGAGTTACTATTCGACAACAGACTCGCTTGGATTCCACTGGTCACTGCTTCTCACTAGGACTCCAGGAAATACCTCTTGGAGACCATCACTAGTGAGCAGATGACCTATTTTCCATTATGTAACATTGATTCAAGCCCTTATTATTCTTATCACAACTAGTACACCTGTCATCACACTACCAATTTGTACTTATCACTTATTATGTTATTCTAAATTACGATATGAAAAATTTTCAAAATTCATAATTATTATCAACATAGAAATGTTGTAAATTAGTCAAAAATTTATTGCCTTATATAAATTCCAGTATAATAATGGAATATATGTAAACAACTTTCTATATATCTTTTCGGACAATAAACACTAATTCACAAAGTGTTGGAACAGATTTACAGTTTTTATAAACTTACAACACATTTCGACTAATTCCAATTTATTTATATAACTATGTAGTACACTGAATATTTCTTTTTAATTATAAATAAACAACTAGCTTTGTTTGTTATTTTATATATATATTTTCTTTATCATAGGGATCGAAATTTTAAGTAAACCGTTTACGGGTAATTTTACAAAATAAAAGAGGAAAAGAAAGAGTCTTTTTTTTAAAAAAAGAATATAAATTTTTGATTGATATCATGAACCGATTGATGTTAGTCCACCATCGAAAACTTCGAAGCACTGGACGGCCTTTTCGGCAGTGCGCATCCACGATCCCGCTCGCGGGATTCGAACCTAGGGCCTTTGGTCTCTCGTGCGAACACTTAACCTAATGGACCACTGAGCCGGCATCCATTGGTGTTAATGTCTAACCTCAACCAATCCATGAAGTTGAGCGACCATCTTCCATTGTACTGAGGTAGACACCTGTTTCTACACGACACGGATTAGCTCCATTGGTCACGGCTTCTCACCAGAACTCCGAGAATTTTCTCAAGAAGCTAGCCACTATTGAGCACATGGTAATTATCAGTTAAGAGGTGGTGGAGATTGTCAAGTGTTTGATTGAGATAATGAACTGATTGAGGAGTTCCGCAATAGGACGAAACGGCCGTCCAGTGCTTCCAGGTTTCCAAAGGTGGTGGTCTAACATCAATTGGTTCATGATCTCAATCAAAAACTTAACAATCTCCACAACCACTAAACTGAAAAATATAAATATTGGAACGCTGATATTAAATGTTTTCAAGAATGATAATAATAATAATAAAAGTAATAATGAGCTTTAAATAAATAAAGGATTTAAAATTTACAAGATCAATTTAAACAATCCATTTTGATATATCTGTTTATGACATTGAAAATTAATTGAAGTGTATATTCTTATTTGAATATCTTTATATAAAATGTCTTAACAATAATTGAAATCTTTATATATTCAGTAGTTTTATTAAGTGGATAATCTTCTCTCATATTCATATACCTAAAATGATTGGATAACTTAATTCAATGAAAAAATGATGATTTATACAACAATGTATTAATTGGTTTATTTTAGAATGAATGAAACTATACTTAAAAAGTATTTATATATAGTTTGTATGCTTAAATGGTGTATTAGTTATATAATCAACTAGTCTATATCTCAAATAATAAGGAAAACAACAGGACAATTAAGTTATCTGTAAGTTATAGGATAATTTTAAATTTAACAGTTTAATGTTTCTATTAAATCATTCTAATACTTTGATGAATGACATTTCAAGTGCTGAATGATAAAGCTTAAATGTATTGTTTACGTGAAAGTTAGTTATACTTTGTTCCATTCAAAGTTTTAACTTTTTCAAGTCAACTGAATATAAGAACTGTAGACTTTGTTCTATAGACTGAAATTAATTAGAAAATAATTGAAGACTAAGAAGTATTGGACATCTGTTTCGTCCTAGCATGAGGCTCATCGATAGTGCATGTTCATTATCCCACCAGGGACAAATGCCACAACATTCAGGTTTCTGTAAGAACGCTCAACCTTAGTATCATTAGTTGGTATTCAATAGTTTACATTTCTAACGTCAATTTAACTCGTGGTACTGCGACACAATCTCTTAGTACCATTGGTGGGTAACTATTTCATTCGTGAAATAGCCATAATCAACTGGTCATGATTTAACGTGAGAATATTACATTGTTTGGTCCATCTTTTTTCTGTTGTTATTACTAAATGAAACTATCACTAATAAAAAGGTTTATAATTCTTTAATTAATTCTGTTTCTATCATGTGTTTTTTATAGCACTTAACAAGTCTATTAATGACAACAAATTGTGTTAATCCTTTTCCATAAATTTTATATTAGTAAGCGTTATTGAAGTCATCAACTTTTTTATCCACATTTCTTCTTGAAAAAAATGTGGTTGATTTTCGATACTTGTTGATACTGAACAAATATACACCAGCATCTGATATCACTCCATCCATACTTGGATGAAACATTAGATAAATAAAATTTGTTATATTTTGATTATCGTATACAGAGGATTTACTATAGGTAAGGTTATTCATTAGATACTTATCATTCTTTTGACCTGCCTTTGTTATATAAATAATGGGCTGCTTTGACTTTTATGGATCAAACGTTTTATATTATTTAATCATTATCTTTGATTTTAAAATAATATAGCTTGTAAGCTGCCGATGAAAACTTAACGAAATCAAGTGAATTCATAATACACTGCACCAATCTTTGTTTTTGCTCTCTTTAAGGTAATCAAGGGAACTATGTATATGAAATATTAAATCATTGTTGTCATTGACGTTTTCTTTAGAAAAAATATGATGTAAACTTAGACATTATTAATCAAAAATAAATTGTCATTGTGCTATGTTATCTCATGGTTAAATACTAACGATACAAAATCTTGGTCATTGCTTCAACTAACTTATAAATAAGCACTAAGCTATTGAACATTAACTATATTTACCTTCTTCATTAGTTTAGTTCAAAATAGACAGTAAAAACTAGGGTACATATGTACATAAGTTACAACATTTGGTATAAATAAACTAGTTTCTGTGTGTAGTAAACGAGAACACAAGTGGGAACCATCGAATGTATTAGAATACAAAATTACAGAACATTTTAGTAAAACCTGAAAACCGTTTAGTAAATACTTCATTTGCAAAATCTCAGTAAATCGTCTCAGCCCTCACTGTTCCTTCGTTTCCACACCAACAATTCTCCGTTTTTGTTTTCTTTTCTTCGATCTTCGTAACCTTCTGCCTCCAGGCATCTTACTTTCGATCGCTGATACACACTATTTATATCTGCCGAAATCAGTAGCACACACCACACTGTGTATTCTTACTATAAGTTGTTCATCTTTAATGAAACAAAGCATGCATCGATTTCATTTGAGCTTATACTAAATTATTTGGAAATAATTTGGATATATTTTAAAATCGGAATGAAAATAATTGAAAGCTACTCCACATAATAAATGAAATTTTTAGAAGAATTTATTATGTAAATATCTGTACTGATTTAGCTTGGTGTAGTAGTGCCAATATTTTGAATAGCTAGATATAAATTTCACGACGTCACACTAAACAAAGTCAGCTTTATTAGGTATACAGTAAGTTAAATCTAAAGATTAGCTAAGACCGAATACTTTCTTTAAAGTTTGACCATAGAAAAAAAAATCTTCTGTATGCTGTCAATAATTAGTATATTATTAATACTAGTACCGGTATTAGTACTTGCATGAGTAGTAATATTGAATTGAATTACACAAACTTCAGTTAATGAAGATGTGGACTGGTGAGAATAATTTTCTCATATTAAGCTTTATCGCTTTGCTAATTGATTCCATTTAATAACGATGATAAAATGTAGCTCCTTAATTAACTTCTTATACATAACTAAATCGTATTAATGATAACGAAAGCATATATTTGATACATAGAAATCAGTGGAGGGATGATGATGGATGGATGCAGTGAATAGAGACATTATCATCCAACTTACTAAAAATAAGTTTATTTATCAGCTTATATAGTTCGCCTTGTACATATAGACGAAAATATAGATTTATGGGAAATATACAGATGTAAGGGGTCATGATTGATTGTGTACCAATACTTACAATGTAACCAATAAGGTTACAATTGTACATGAGAAATTCAAATAATTGTTTGTATCAATCTGTTATATCAATGAACAATACAACTAAAAGTATCTAAAAGAATCTCTTAAACTCTGGAAATCGTTTACCTTATTAATTTATTCAAACCAATAAACGAGATTTAGATTTTCTCTATTAGAAAACAATACAATTTTAAATGAACAAGTAGTAATTATTCAAGTTTATTGTCATTCATGAAATTATTCTCTCTGGAAATTTAAACACTGTTTTTTAAGTAGTTACAATAGATTTAATTATAAAAACTTATAACTATATTCAAATATCAGAAGAGGTTTTGTGGATACTATATTAATTTTAATAGTTGAGATCATAAGTCAATTGCAGCTAGACCACTATGGAAAACCTGGAAGCATTGGACGGCCATTTCGTCCAACTGTGGGACTCCTCAGTAGTGTGTATCCATAATCCCGACTCTCGCGAGTTTCGAACCCAGGACCTGCCACTCTCAACATATGCTCACTAGCGACGGTCTCCAAGAGGTATTTCCTGGAGTCCTAGTGAGAAGCTGTGACCAGTGGAATCCAACCGAGTCTGTTGTCAAATAGTAACTCACAGATAACAATGGTGGATGTGCCGTCCAATTTCGTGGATCAGTTGAGGTTACACATTAACACCGTTGGATGCCTGCTGGCTCAGTGATGTCGTGGTTAGGCGCTCGAGTGCGTGAATGATAGTTCGTGGATTTGAATCTCGCGAGAGTCGGGATTGTGGATGTGTATTGCTGAGGAGTTCCACAATAGGACGAAACGGACTTTTAGTGTTTTGAAGTGTTCCATGGTGGTTTAGCTTCAGTTGACTCATGATCTCAACTATTAAAATTTGTATTCAAATAGTTTTTAGTCATTCACAATCGTAAATAGTATATATATATTATAGGATGGAAAGAAAATCCAAAATTCGATTGATTTAATAATTATGAGCTTGTTCAACATTCAGTATAGTATTTGTTTTCTTTCATCTTATGATATTTTATTCGGTATAATATACGATATTCTTATACTTAATTGACATGAACTATGCTCAGTATGTGATTTCATCCCAATTATTAAAGTGTGTGTACAATTAGTATATAAATTAGTTTATTTTCGACTAGGGTCGTTGACACTGTTTGGAATAACATTCCTTTCAGTAGCTTTCTGTCTTTTCATTATGACTTGGAAGGGTTCTAGCGTTCAAGTGCTTAATTTATACGCGTCGTATCAGAATATAAGCTTTAGATATGATATATAATTATTATTACTTTTATTTTCTGTAATAGTTAATCTGATATGTAAGTATATCAACAAAAATGGATTCCAACGACTTCACTTATTGGGGTAAACAAATGATTGATTTTATATCAAATTATTTACAAACTATACGTCAATATCCTGTTTTACCAAATGTGGAACCTGGTTATTTAAAACATTTAATACCTAATCAACCACCTGAACAATCAGATACATGGATGAATATATTTGACGATGTGAAAAAGTTTATTTTACCCGGTGTAAGTTTTAATCAATATCAATAGCAGTATATGTATTTATTTAAGGATCAATTCTTTGATATTTGTTTTATTAAATAAGTTTAAAACTGATTCTTCATAAAATAATTCTGTTTTTAAAAAAAGAACATCATTAGAATATATATTGAATAGTGAAATTTCACTATTAGTATCTCAGATACTCTTAAGTGAATAGAAAATCTTATCATTGAGATGTGAAATTCAATATATGGTAAAGTATCAAATATATGAAGGCTAGAATGTGTAGAAAAGTGATACACCTTAAATGAACTTCAGCTACAATCTATTCACATTTCTCAAAAATGATTTAATGGTAATCTTTAAATTTATGAAATTTATTCCTTTCCTTTTTGTAATTCCTTATAAAAGCTGACTCACTGGCAACATCCTCAATTTCATGCTTATTTTCCGGCAGCGAATTCAGTACCATCAATCATGGCTGATATGTTATCTACGGCACTAGGTTGTAATGGATTTTCATGGGTAAGAAGGTATTATGTGTTATGTTTTTTGAGTTAAAGTATAATATGATTTATCAATCTATTCACAAATAATTTCCTACACCGTTCCCTACATTTGCATTGTATTACATATATATATTTTAAGTTAGTATAGATCATAAATATGTCAACGTTAAATAGCCACTGAAATCTATTGCTTATAACTACTCTGGGCAATTATTAATTCATACACTGTCTTAAATTTCGAAGCGAATTCTTATAGTTTGATCTAATAAAGTGATCTACATGAAAGCTAAAAACATACATGAAGTTGTGTGTAATGTTGTGTTAAAAGTTAAAACTGTGTTAATCCTAATAAAGGTGTCTAGAATTTCGGAAATTATAGATTTACTCTTATTAAGGAGAACAAAAAAAACAGTAATAAAATAATTTATATTTTTGAGTGTTCGTTTCCCTTTTGCAAAATCTATTCAGAATAAATGAATGCTGTTAACTTATTGTTTGAAAGTAAACAATTTAACTAAACTATAACATCATCTATCACGGTGGCCTGCTTGAGCATCTGGGCTACCTGTTCCTGCCATCTAGATATTTCAACAAGTTATCTATTGTTGTTTGTTTTAATATATCATTATGTTTATCAATCGCATAACCTATTCTGCTGCGTTTCTGAAGAGTGTACAACCTTTCGTTGTCAAAGTTACAGAAAACTCAATAAGAGACAATATGGTTGCTGGCGATGTACAACGAAAAGAATGTACATTATTCAGTTGTTCATTCACTGAAGTGCTAACATCTAACTGGCGATTCCCCAATATTTATCGCCAGGACCGACCAAGAAGAAAGAAACGGAAACTTGTTGAAATACTTTGCGCTGAGAATTCTATATTGTACCAAAATTATAATATTGAATAAAGCTAATTATAATAAAAAAATAATTTAAAAAATAGATCATTCTTAATGGTAAACAAAAGTTAGATATACTTTAAAAATCACATCAGAACGCGGTAGGTAAATAAAACATCTATTAAACAAGCAACCTGAAAGTTGTATGAATAGTTTAACACTAGAATAAGTTGGATTAGATCATATATAAGTAAATTATGTAAAATCCCACTAACTATTTCAATAAAACAATATAAAATATTTCAATGGTTGAGATTATGAGTCAGTTGAATCTAGACCACCGTGGAAAGCCAGGTTTTCCACGGTGGTCTAGATTCAACTGACTCATAATCTCAACCATTGAAACTACTATAGTATCCACAAAACTCATCCTGAAATTAAAAAAATGTCAATTCTGAAGACTTGGAGTTACAGTTCTTGTTCACCTATTGCATACTAAATGAATCAAATGAATTAATAATGAATGAATTAGAGTCTTCTTTATTTTAAATGGTTTGCTCCCATTTTATATTTTCTTTGAGGTTGCAAGCCCTGCAATTACAGAATTGGAAATCTTGATGTGTGACTGGATTGGAAAGCTTTTAAATCTACCTGATACATTTTTACACAGTAGCGGAATCGGTGGAGGTGTAATACAAGTAAGGTCAACAAATTATTACAATAAATTATTCAAGATCATAAACCTTACCAGTAATTAAACTTGAAGCTTTGTCTATTCAATCCTTTTTAATAAAATTTAGTATTAAGTGAATACAGATAGTTTAATGAACCATTCATTCATTCAAGAAAGTTCTCAGTTATTAGATTTCAGAAAGGGGTTTTTGTGACGATTATAGTAATTTAATAGATGAATGCATGAGTCGACCAAAGCTAGACCATCATGGAAAACCTGGAAGCACTGGACAAAGTTCTAGTGAGAAGCCATGACTAGTAGAGTTCAATCAAGGCTATTGTGAGGTAGTAACTCACTGAAGACAATGGTGGATGATGGCATGATTTCGTGGATTATTTGAAATTAAACATGAACACCGTTAGATGCCGGCTCAGTGGCCTAGAGTTTAAGCATTCGCGCGCGAGATCTTAGGTCCCATGTTCGAATCCTGCGGACGGGATCGTGGATGCGCACTGCCGAATATATACACCACTCGATAATGACAGAAGGGCTTCATGGTATCAAGATCTTTACAAGATCAAAAACTCCTGGATTCAAACTTGATAGACATTTAAAGTACGAACTGATAAGGGATCGTAAACTCAGTAATTCTATAGATTATATCACTTTGTGATTTTATGGCTTATTTTATAGCTTTAAAAATCTCCAATGAATCATCTAAAAATTTAAAGATCTATTCTTATTTTTGTGAAACGATCAGCATCTGATTCCTATCGTGATGAAAATGATCGTATTTCACTTGTAAATTATGTCTTCTTTCAGTACACTACTTATTATTATGAATCAGATGTAGTTTATGAGAATAAGTTAGCGATTTTTATAAGGCAGCTGTTTCGTTCTGTGACTGTGCTCCACATCAGTGGACATCTGAAAACCTACTGGGAATCGAACTCACTATCTTTGGGTTATGCTAGTTACGTAGAACTATCTTATAACTATTCTTCGACTCCGTTCTGAAAATCTGTTCAAAAAAGAGAAAAGTCGGAGGAATAGTTTAGGCGAAAATGGGATTTAATTAATCTACTAAGGGAGATCAGGTTAAATGAAATAGTGGCTAATCAAAAAGTTTTATTTTTTTAAAAAAACTGCCTACCAGTGATTCAACAAAACGTTACACCTCAACTATATGTAATAAATCCTTCTACCTTCATCTTTCTGCTGAACAACATAGAATTACTTATTTTACACAGCAAAATCTACTTCTCTTCTTAAATGATCGGTGCAATCACTTTTCTCTTTTTAATACTTGTAGTCGTCGGCAAGTGATTGTATATTTGTATCAATGTTAGCTGCTCGTCATCAAGCAATTGAGCGTTATAAACATCTTTTAAAAATGATCAGTGATTTAGACCCTGAAATAATAGTTCTCTCCAAACTTGTGGCATATGCATCCACGTTAGTAAGTTTAACTTCTCATTCTCGTATACTTACTTTTATTGGAAGATATGGTGAAGTTGTGGTTTACTGATCATTCCTTTCTCCTTCGAACCCCTAAATACCTGGTTTGTAGATTTATGCACTTAGACTGGTACTAAATCTAATTTATGTGAGGGCTAGTGATTCTCTATGTTGCTGAAAGTGACGTACATGAAGCATGGTTCAGACCTACGATGTATCAGTTGAAAGCTGAGAGTTTAAAGCTCTAAGCCACTCAATAGCAAGTATAGTTAAGTGGTTAAAGTTTAACTTGGTTATTGTTACAAATAGAAAAATGGAAGAACCACCTTCATTCTAGAATAGTTCTTTACTGTTTAAAATTTTTTGTATAAATAAAAGGGTAACTTCTCTCGTATTTACACAAACACAAAGTCAGTTGACTAGCGTTTTTGACACAGACTTTGTCAAAAAATTATCTCAAGTATCTACTTAATTTCAAAACTATGTAAGACGCTAATTAGACGCATTCTGTAAATAACCATTTTGTCTTAAAGATAAGCTATTTGAAGCATTATTTATATTTTTTCCTACGCAAAATTTTCGATAGATCTACATACACTGGTATTGTTTACCTTTAAATGGTCAACCGAAGAAGCTTTCTGAAAAATCTTTGATTGAAATGAAATCATAGGTGAGATTATAATTTATGGACGACTTTTGAATGACGCTAAAGTGACCTTGTGAGTGTCCACCTATTAACAAGGACAAAATGAGGGTTATAAACCTGTGCGAGGAATTAAAATTATGGTTTACAGATGATGGTTAAGGTTAGGAATTAGATTTAGAGTTTTCATCACGAACTAACATAAGCTATAATGCTAAAACTCTATTTGGCCAAATGAACGAATGAATTTCGCTCAAAAACCCGACACCTGTTATCTTATATCTGATTGGTTTGTCCATAAATTATAGTCTTACTGAATTGTTTCTTCGGTAGAAAATGTTTTACTTGCCATAATTTCAAATCTTCGTTAAAAATTTAAATCATGTTCGTTAACTTACACATTTTTTCATGGCTTATAGGCTCATTCAGCTGTAGAAAAGGCTAGTGTGCTTGGTTTTGTAAAGTTACGACGTTTACCGGTCGATGAAAACTTTAGTGTTCGGGGTGAAACTTTACAACGTGCTATTAAAGTAAGATAAGTATTTTGTTTATAGGAAATCTTCACTTCTTACTCCACATTATAACGGAAAGCATTTTTTTATAATTATATAGTTATTCAGTTTTACAGAATAATAACTCAGTAGTGAAGAAAAGGAGCTCTCTGAGAGACCACTAGTTCATGTCCTTAATTCTGTGTTGGCTAGTATATACACAATGTTAAAGGATCCGAAATTAAAACGAAACAGGCGTCTAATAGTTTTTATTTTTCAATGGTTTTTCAGATGATTCTTACACTTGATGGAAGCTATCTATATACTAAATAACATCTCCATAGAACAACCTTACTTACTTACCTACATACATAAATACTTATTTACTTACGTCTGTTATCCATCGTGATGCATAGATCATCGATTATGAATCCCTAACTAACTCTGCGCTGCCTTTGCATTTCCACATTTTGCCAGATATCATTCATTATTTTGATATCTGACTCAAATTCTTTGCGGAGTGTGTTCTTTGATGTGCATCTTTTCCTTCTACCTTGAGGATTCCAAAGTAGGACTTGCTTTGTGATTCAGTTTTTGATGTATGTCTATCCACCTCGAGCATTTTTTTCCATTTTCCTCCCCAGTTAGAAGTTGGTTTGTTCACTGTCAAAGTAGGCTGTTGATCATAGTATCCGGCCAACGGATTTGAAGTATCTTGCATAGACAAATGTTTATAGATATATGTACCCTACTGATGACGGTTGTAGTAGTTCTCCAAGTTCCAGTTCTGTATAGTAGACTTGTTTCGACGTTTATGTTGAAGATTCTGACTTTGTTGTTGACTGAAAGTTGTTTGAAATTCCAAATATTCGTCAGTTGTAGGTATGCTGCACTTATTTTGACAAACAGCACCTTCACATCTGCACCAGATCATCCCTGTCTATCAAGGTACTTGGAAGTTTCCACTTCTTCTCTACCAATTGTGATTCGGTTGGTGCTCACTATGATGTGTTCTCCTTGTGTGTACTGATGCCTACTGCTGCCGAGGCTGCTGCTAAGCTAGGTGTCTTCACCTACATTTGTTGTTGTGTGTAGGATCGAAGAAATATGTCATTATGAAGTTTAAATCGTCTAGTTGCATGTAAGTTGCTTATTGTACTCCATTCTTTCCCCGAGTTGTGGAGGTCTTCATAATCCAGTTAATCACCAGGAGAAACAAAATTAACTATAGCATAATTCATTGTTACCATTTTGTTGACCATGTTTAAATGACAGTCAAATCGATGTTCCGAAACATCTATCCGCTTTGTGGTTTGTTTAAAAAAACATCATATCATCGCACCCTTCTGTGTTAAAAGTATAGTAGTAATGTTCCATTGTTAATATTCGGTCAGAAGGGGCAAGAAATATAGCTATTGAGAATAAATGCTAATTCAAAAGAACTAGTGATCTCATCTGTTGTTTCAAATTACAAGTGCCTAATGATGCTTTCATCAGTTTGTGTCCCACGTTTTTCATGATATCTTAGTCTAACAAATATTTGTTTCGAAATTATCAACGCCAAATTCTTTTATTTATCATCTTGTTTTCAGGAAGACAAGTCTATGGGACTTATTCCATTCTATGTAAGTTAGTAATTTTTTGGCTTCACTTATTAACCTTTTATTTATGTACTGCTTTCTATTCCTTTGCTTCATTTTATATCAACTACAATCGTATTTCAACGATTTCAAATTACTATCACACCATCATATGCAGATTTTACTTATTACAATGTTTCATCTCTTCATTTATATTTTGATACTAGCATCCCAATTCGCTAATAGACATCTGATCATGTTTATTAGTTGACTTCCATTTCTTCGTTTTAAAGTATCTTCTTAGTTGTCAGTATGCAACTAAGTATATTTTTTCGTTCTTATATAGCCTGGCAGAAATCAAAGTAATCTAGTGGATTAAATGTAGGTTGCAAAATTGGTTCCTGTGATATTATGCGTTTTCATGGCTATGGGTAAACAGATTAACAAAACCTTATCGTGCATCAGTTTATGTGAACAAATAATGTAAATTCTGATTTTTACATTTCTAGTAGGTAGTCGTCATTCAGAAATAAGAATGGATTTACTGAGATTTTAGAAGGCTTGTCTAGAGCGCGTCGAGTATTGTCTAACTAATGTGACCCGGAAGCAATCTAGTATTTCATGGATAAAATAGAAAGATCAATCTATGTAACTATCAACGAGATTAAGGCAGTGATTAAACATTTTTAATCACTATATAACCCAAATAACTTGAATATTTAAAGTGTAAACCAATTCTCATTGCGCATAGTGCGAGATAGTTGTAAAATTGAGACTTCTCTTTAAGGATATCATCCAAAGATGAATGGAATCATATTAAAAATTAATTATGGAAAAAAATGGAATTAAATACTAGATATTTATTGTGTTATTAGACTAAGTTTCATTACTAAAATTGTAGACAAACATTCTACGTGTATCCATCTTCATTACCAACCGATGTATAATTGTAATAGAACTGAGACCTGAAAAGAAATATTTCCTAGTTTATGATTTTGTGGATTTAGATTCAAAAACGTCATCAGATAGAAGGTAAGAAGTTCTTTCATATGATGTTTACTGAACTTCAGCGTCTTATGGTATGGACTCCAGACGGATAGTTTCATTTCATCCAAATTTAATAAACATTTTATTTAATGTAACTGCAAAATTCATATGATGTTTTTCATGTACTTACTCATGATGGGGTATGTTAATTCAGAAAATAATTTTCGAACAGTGTACGAATTTACAAGCATGACCGTCTGACCTTTGATACGTACAAAGATTTGTTTAGACAATTTTCAACTGAAATAGGTTGTCATCAAATTCAACGTAATGGTGAATATCAGCTTCAAAACACCTGTTTCCTTCACCATAAGCACTGTCCTTCCGTAAAAGATAAAAAAACATCTGAAGTATCAAAATGACTTTTTATACAATGAAGTGTTTGATCGGAATATTTAAATAACAATGAACTCATGAATTAACTACCCTGATGGAAAACACATTAGGACAGTAAAGTTTGAAAATTGCGCCACCGTTTTCTGAATAACTTCTATAATGATGTTTTTATGATGTACCCAAAATTTGACGATAACTTTGCATTTTGCCCCTTTAGATGAATGAATGATCAGAAATTTACAAATTTCGTATTCATCGTGAAGTACACTTCGCAAGTTAAATTAAATCAGTTGTATAAATCGAGATATTAGAAACAATTGACTTACTAGGTACAATATATTGTTAGGGAAAAACAGTGATTTGAGACTGACACCTTAGTCTTCCTATGAAAGTGTGAAAGAGACTCAACAAATGCATGACTGAGCGAAGTTGAGTTACAAGAACTCGACGTCGTAAAGTAATTTTGAACGATTTTCTAATAATGATATGCAGATGAAACAGGAAAACAATCGACTAACATTTAGAAAATTTCTTTTGTTTTAAGATGTGTGCAACACTCGGAACAACATCATGTTGTTCATTCGACCATTTAAAATCTATTGGACAAGTATGTCGTGAAAACGATATCTGGTTACATGTGGACGCTGCATATGCTGGGAATGCTTTTATATGTCCGGAGTTCAGGCACTACTTAGATGGAATTGAGGTAAGTTAGGTCTCCAATAAATTTCATTTAACGCATCCTTTACTGAATCTGTTACTAAACGTTACTATCTGATAAATGAGAAAAATTCGAATTCCAGTAATGATGTATTTTCATTGTGTTTGAAACTACTTCATTTGTTTAGAAGGAAGTGCAATATATTTTCATTTAATTTTCACATGACAATTTATGGATTACAAGTGATAATCAATAAATTTTTGTTCGTAACCATTGCCTAAATTGATAATTGATATTCCATGGTATTCACAATTGATTGATCACTGGGTGGTGCTTGTATAGTCCTTATTAGTACAGATCGAATGCTATCGATCACTTTGCAATGTGGCCACCAGTCTAGGTGACTCGACACTGCGGGCACTATATATTGACTACCTCCAACCACCATCTAAATTCCATGGTATTAGAAGGCAGTAAATTATTCTTCTAACTAAAATCAACACCCATTTGTCTCTGTTTGTTTGGAAACCTGGTCATTATTGATCATTTAGTAGCATTATTATTCTACTTTTGGCAATAAACTTATCTACGCAATTCTAGTCATTCATTCTTGTATATATGGTTTGTCAAGCATCAGGAATATATTAAACAGCAAACTGGACTTCAGGCATGAAAGTACTATTGTAATGAGCGAGAACAAGTGGGAACCATCGAATGTATTTGAAGACAAAATTACAGAATCTCAGTAAGATCTGAGAACCATGTAGTAAATACTTCATTTGCAAAATATCAGTCAATCGTCTCAGACTTCATTAATTATTCGTTTTCAAACTAATCGTTATCCGTTCTCGTTCTCTTTACTTTGATCTTCTTAACCTTCTCTCTCCATGCATTTTCTTTCGATTGATGAAACACACTACTTATATCTGCGACATCAGTAGCACACATCATACTATCATACTGACTTTCCTAAACTGTTTGTTTACTTTATTTTCCGGTTACCACTCAACTTCTAAATGCTGGCTAGTTCATCGTCATTTATCAAATTTCGTAATTCTGAATTATTGAGCGTGCTCTTCTTTGTATTATGATAGCCTTCAAGCTTTAAATCTGAATGTCATCTAACACCATTCACTATTTACATTTTTATTCTCTTTTGCTTAATTTTATTCCAGCTCTTTCGTTTGAATCTTAACTAACTATTTTAAGTTTGCGTTATCTTTCTCCATAAACACTTGGTTGTTTTCCACTTGAAGTAACGAGGGCATTATCGGCTAGAATAGCTTAGTGATATGGTCTCTGATAATGCAACTGAATCATATTGATTTTTATTCTTAAGTATAGGTTTTTCGGAGTCCAGGAAACTTCCTGATATGTATTACGAAGAATACTGAGAAGAATCCCTTCATTTCCTCCAGAAGAGATTTCAGATGTCGAGCTTGTTACTTTAGTGCTCAGACTACAAAATGATCCATAGAATTTCACTATTAGATTGTATGACTATGATTGCTATTCAATGGACACTTAGTAATATACATCAACTATTGTACGAAATTATACTTTATTGGTTATGAGAAATACTTTTTATCTTTTTCATCAGGATGTTTGGTCCATCAACATCAATCCAAACAAGTGGATGCTAGTCAGTCATGATTGCAGTCTTATGTGGTTAGTTTGACTGACGTTTTTGAAATTTTACAAGAAATACTACTATAGTGTCCGTTTATACAACGATTATTCAGTGCACTCATATGATATATTACAACTATCCTAACTGGTACAAACTAATCCACAAATATTAGTATACGTCTAATTAGCTTGAAATAGGACATTTCACTACGATCTTTGATATTTATGCCGTAAGTACTTTCACTGAACAAAAATATACAAAGCAGTTTTATGGACTTATTTTAATATATCACTTTGCCCTACGATTGATATGTTTTTTTATGTACAGAGACCTCCTTTATTTTGAGATTGCGTTACGTACTGTAAAAAAAGGAAAGATATGTTAAGCGTATAACCTATAAATTCAATATTACCATATTCATCTTGTTGTATTCGGCCGATTCAAAAAGCTTAATCACTTGACATTATTTCATATTAATCCACCCGAGGTGTGTTTTAACTTGAAAAAGCTATCAAGGGTTTATGCCACACGATCACTACATAAGAAATTTGTTCTTAATTACTACAAAATTTGCAAATTCAAACATAATTTTCAAAAGTAAATTTACTTGTAAAAGGAATTCAGTGATAAAAAATGTACTAGTCTACCACAGATTTTGTCAATTTAAGAATATCAGATAATGGAATTTTCATCTCAATCGCCTTCTTTCACAATGAAAGATAATTTGTGTTAAAAAGCTTCAAAATATGTGCATCAACCAGGCCTGGATGGAAGTATACTAGAAATATATTTGCAAAAGATTAAAATTTTTGTCTGCATTGACACGTTGTTTGTGTGTAGTGCTTTTACAGTTGACAATTTCACTAACAGCCACACCATTAAAACTACCTGTTTCTCTATACCAGTGGTTAATATTTTCAGCAATAGTTAACAAATGAAGTAAAGTGGAATATTTTGTTTTTGTCGAATACAGGGTACGTGATTCGAAAGCCCTCACTAAGAGCATGATTGTCAATCCGTCATATTTGCAACATAAACATAACAGTAAGTAATATTTGTATCGCTCTTTTCTTTTATTGGTATTGGTACATAGGAATACCAAAATAATTATGCGCCACATAAATAGGAAATGAGATTGTAAGGAGATTGAGAAATAAAGAAGAGTATGATTAAAAACAATTCAATGAATAGAGAATAGTGAACGATAGTAGTACAAATTGAGAGAAGCAGTTCAATTAAGAAAAATACAACCGGAAAAATCCCTTCGATTAAAGAAGATTGTGTCAATTTAAAAAAAGGGAGAGAAAGTTACAACACGATTACCATAGACTTCTGTCCTGAGCCACGTCTGATAACGTTTCAATTCACTGGGTTGCATTATCTCTCAGACACCAACTGGGAAGTCGTAATGGACTGACAAGTCCCAGTCATGTACATACTTTATCCATACCCTGACACCATGCCATGAACTGACCACCTCTCCGCTATTACCAACCAGTCCCAATGTCGGCAAATAATGCACAATGTGTGATTCGTTAGGATGACATTAGTAGTACATGTTCAAGCCACCGAAGTCGATGTTTCAAGATGGTGACACCAGTTGAATTATCGTCACTGTGGCCGAACACACCTTGCCGAACCTTCACACTATTAATATGGTATTGCGATTGAATGTCAGGAATCGTTCGGAGACGAAGATGAGGAAAAACAGAGAGAGTGGCTTAACATGCTTAATTTGGAGAGGCGGAGTCTTATATGTATAGAGTAAAACTTCTCTTAGCTTGAGATTCCTCAGTAGGACGAAACGCCCATCCAGTGCCTCCAGAATTTTCATGTTGGCCTAGCTTCATTTGACTCATGAACTCAACTATTAAATTCCATTTGTGTTAATTTGTTAATAACTTACAAAATTGATTTTAATTTATTAGTACTTTATGACCATTTCGTTAATAATTTTTCTTGATAAATAATAACTTTATCAAATTATTCTTTCTTATTCCTAGCGCTTGATTTGCGGGTGAGTTATTCGATTTTAGTAGTAGTAGTAGTATTTTGTTATTAACACTAATTGCTTACTATTCATGAATACGATTTTGATCTAGAAAACAAATAAATTGTCATTATAGTTTTGACAGTTGTAAACACAAGAATATAGTTTACATCTTTCATTTTACATGAGATTTGACCAGACTATTAATGTTGTTATCTTTGCTGATTCATTTGTTGTTATAATATAAATAGCTCAGTTTGATTATTTTTAAAGGTTGAAAGAATAGTGAATATTTTCTTGCTGCCGGAAGGTGTTTGGATTCAATTTTACTTGTTGATAACCAAAAAAACTATGTGAAATAGTAATAAGATATGAAAATGTCACCCCTAATCATATTAAGACATCAATACATGAACGAAGAATATTTTTTTTCAATAAGTTCTCTTCATATTCTACAACTATATATCTAAATTAACAATCCATACTAGGACGAAACGGCCGTCCAGTGCTTCCAGGTTTTCAATGGTGGTCTAGCTTCAACTGACTCATGATTTCAATCTGTGAAAATCCTTAAAGTGACCAGGTTAACGGTAAAATACGTAGTTTACAATTACATCATATGAATAAAGGATTGTTGATAAGATGAAATGAAATTGTTCATTTTGAGATGACTAATAAACAGTGTTAACTTGAATAAACCTTTACGTGTGAATAAATATAGATAAGATTATTTTGTGCAATTAACTTGAGAACCATACTATACTTCATTGACTTGTTGCCTGATTAGAAAAAAATTTGAACAAAGAATTAAAACAAGATTTCTTGAAAGTGACTTCATTGAATCAGAAAAACGTCTCAACAAGATTTTATTTTAGAACAGCGGAGAGTTATTTAACTACTCGAATCATTCGGAAATTTTTTCTTAATCCCTTTGGATAATAGTGACTATGAATATACTCTTCTAACTACCTAAGATTTAGATAGTTAACATAAACATTTAATTCTTAAATAAATTAAATGATTAGTTTTTATAATCAAATGTGTTTAGTATTCGCCTTTTCATTTCAATCTCTTTTTGTAAGTCACTGTTAATAAGAGTTCAACATATCGTCATTCTAGTAGGATATCAAAATTTTGTATAATTCACATATTAAAAATCAACATGAATTCAATAATCATAGGTCTGTAACTGCTGTGTTTGAAGAGATTACGAATTCACCTAGTCTGAGAACGGAATGAACAATTAGTGACTCAATAACAAAATAAACTAACTATTTCAATGCGTCCTAGCATCACTAACTACAGAGTGAAGTCCAGCTTCAGAAGAGAGAAATGTATTCCACAAGCAGCAAAAAGAACGAACAACACACACAAACACAATTCAAGCGTACACATACAGCATAAAAATGTCCTTTGGAAAAGTCACAAAATAGCATATTGAAAGAGATAATGAACCAATGACATTTAGGGTCTTTTCAAGTGGGAATGTGATAACGACATAAGGGTGAGAATGAGGGCTTTTGGTGCGAAAACAAAAAATTAGAATTTCCAAAATAAAATTGCAAAATTAAGGTGTTTACCAAGTGAGTTCTGAAGATCTAACATCCCCAACAGTAACGAACATGTATTTGTTATGTTTTAATAATGAAGTGAAATTGTACTGTCTTAAGTTACTCAATATTAGCTTGCTAGTATTGTTTTCTTTCCTGAATTTTAGCATTGGGGAATTCCTTTAAGTCGAAGATTTAGAGCGCTTAAATTATGGTTTGTTGTTCGAATATATGGAGCAACAGGTTTGAGGAATTATATTAGATCAGTACGTAAGCAACTGAATTACATTAATCTCTTTAGTAATAAGTATTTGGTTTAAGGTAATCGTGAATTCACTGGTTATTATTTTATTAAACATTTCATACACAACAAATACAATCAAACTAATGTCTCTTTTATATTTCTGTGTTGAATAATATAATAGTTTACTGATAAAGCATCTTAAATTACGAAATGATGTTAAAAGTGAATTTAATTATCAGTCTTAATAACTAAATTGAGTAATAAGCCTAAAAATGTTTTACGTATTTTATTGTATTAGTAAAACGTTCACCATACTGACTGTATGTAGACAATCGGACAATCAATATTTCGAGGTTACTCAACGTTACCAAGTTTATTTGTACTTTAAATCACTACCCTTGTGATTGGTGTACATCATGACACTAGTCATCAAAAGGCACGTATAACTGACTTATGTAATCATTCCCTATTCACTTTCCACAGTTATGTTGGAACCATATATGTAAAGAGGTTATCTCTTATTTTCTTTCTTGAGACAAAAAAAGGTTTCTCCTGAAGTCTAACCCTTCTTTTGTTTTACATGAGACTGTAATAGCTGTGTTTTATTCATTTTATTAATCTAGTAGAAGTTCCGCTCCCGTATCGATATTATCTCCATGGTTTGATTAACACTTCAATAAGAGCAGCATAATACAACTAGACATATATTGCATTACAATTTGCTTATTCTGTTATGCAAGGAAATTAAGCACACATAAGTGCTCATTACTAGACTAGATGTTTCTAGGTTCGATCACAGATAAGATCATGTATCCGGATCATTGAGAAATTCCGTACTAAAACAAAATAACTGTTCAATTCTTCCTAATTCCCACTGATAGTCTAACTTCAATCAATCTGTGATTTAATTTATCCAAATTAAATAATCTTTACAACTTCCCCCCAATACTAAAAATATTTATATTTAAATATTTCAGCATGTACAACTTGCAAAATATTTTGTGAATAAGGTGAAAACAAATAGCGCTTATGAAATTGTTGGTAATCCAGTTATGGGACTTATATGTTTCAGATTAAAGGTAGGATACTAGAATTTTCATTTTATTTTCATTCTAACTTGAATAGATGTTTTTAAATAAATGTTTTCATTATTTTCCATATCACGCACCATTAATAATTACTATTTATGGTAATGAATCAACTTCTTATTTTTAGAATAGAATGTTTGTTTGAATGTTTAAAGGGATGTTTTCTATTATTATTATTATTATTATTATTATTATCATTATTATTTCATTATGAAGTTCAGCAGTAAACTTCAAAATGAATGTGAGACAAAGAATTATTTTTTTAGATGAATTGAATTTCTGGTTAGCGTTATTTTAGCAAGTTAGTTTTCAACGGGATGGGGTCTCTAAAACCCATGCCTAACCCTTCTCCTTTACCCGGGCTTGGGACCGACAGTAACTCTAGAAGAGTTACAGGCGGAGTTAAATGAATTGAATTTATTCTACAATATTCTTACTTATTATTATAAGTTCATATTAGAAATTTAATGACTGATTGTAATCACTTCGTCATACATACTAATTATCGTTTGTAAAGAATTTCAAGTATTTGAAAATTTCCATTTAAAATTAGACTGTTATTAATAATCAAGATAACTGAGTGCAAGAATGTTATATTCAAGAAGTATTCGTGTAGAAAGAGGTTTCATTAATTAATCTTCAATGAAATGGATTTTTACAGTAGAAACAACTTTTCTATCACTAATTTGTTCAGATATGAAATGGAAACACTAAGAAATTCATTGATGCTTTCTGAAAATCTGCTGGTTATGAATGAAATAAGGCATATCTAAGAAAATATCTGATACAGTAGTGTGTATAACAAAATTCTAGTTCGATAGAAATCATTGCATAATTTCTTTTATTCAGTTTAAACACATTATAAAAGTACTATGTGTAATTAACATGAATGTCTGCCGACTTACATTGATATCTTTTTAAGTTATGTATGACCTACTGAATTAACAGGACGTATATCTGCAAAACTAACTGTTAAGATCAATATCTTATAATTATACTTAAAATACACACACAGAGAATGAAAATAATCATAGTGTAAATAACTGTATATGACTAATTTCCACGACCCCACCTCGCGCACTGCTGAGGAGTCCCACAATAGGACGAAACGGCCATCCAGTGATTCCAGGTTTTCCATGGTGGTCTATCTTCAATTGACTCATGATCTCAACTATTGAAATTACTACAATCTCCACAAAACCCCTTCTGATAGTTATCTTTTTCTCTGATGTCATATATGTAGATATTACAGAAAAAATTAATTTATATTCACTGGAGATAATCAATCTATTAAACTGGAAACTTCAAGTGACGTTTCTCACACGTAGTTCCCTTTATTAACTTAAAGAGAACAAGAATTATGATTTGAGAAAGATGATATAAATTCATTGTATTTCGTAATGTTTTCAGGTTTTTGAAACCTGTATTATTTACTAAACACATTGATGTACTTGAAAACATAGAAGCTGTTTTGATTGGAAATTAACAAATTAGCATAACGTAGCCAAAATCTAAATAAAGTAAATAAAGCATTCCAAACATATATATATCGTTTTCATAAGAACACTGTGGAATACTGACAGTACCAAGGAACTAATGAGCTAGAAATCAATGGTTATGTAGCGAACAAGCGATAATTATGAGTAGAAACTAAAACTAGTAAAGTTTAATTAACTAAACAAAGAATTGTCTTGCTAAAACGGAGTGAAAAAAAATGATGGAGTAAAATGGTTGAATGAACAATATAGTTGAAAAAAATGTTACCATAATAAACACAAACTGACAAAACTCCCCTTTCAATCATATAATGGGTTTCCAGAGCTTTGTAGTAATCGTTTCTGTAAATATGAGGTTAGAGCTTGGTTACTTGGTAGTATCCACCTGATATCCTTGTATACAGCATAGGGGACTACTCAACTTCTTCATTCCTCTTGAGTAAAAGCCCTTTGAAACATGTTCAAAAGTATGATCTCATATTTGTTATGTTAATGTAATCATCTTGAAAAGTACAAATAAATCTAGAGATATGATTGGTACTAATATAAAATGGATGCCATCCATCCGTTGATTAAGTTACTGAACATGTCATTTTATACAAGATTATTCGTTTGACTTCTGGTTAAACTCCAGTCATTCTGGTGTTAATTCTTCTACTGATTATCCTAGCACAAAGATTACCTGTAGATTGGAGGTTAATATCAGTGAATATGACCAGTGAACTTTCGTGAATTGGAGTGATTCCTTAATAAAATACTTGAAATTTATCGATTCTTGAAGTTTGTGCGTAGTACGTGCCCTATCTACACTATGAAATAGTGTTTCGACGTTCTTGTCACTGATTGAATGAAAATCACCAAAGTTCAGACATAAATTACTTAATGTATTTTGTAGGTATTAATGTCAAGGTTGGACTTGATATTTTCAAATAACTTGAGCATTGGGCAGAAAGTTTTTCATATATCATACTCACATTCCAACGAAAAAATTAATTATACAGTGACAATTCATACAAATTCACACTGACCAAGAATAACTTGATATTGACACTTTCAGATCTATTATGATTTTGACTGTACTAAAAATATTCTGCATCGTTTTGATTGTACTATTTAAATTCATGTTAATTTAATTCGGTTATTTATTTAATTCGAAAAATTGGTTTACATTAAGTCATGAGACGTCAGAAATACAGTTGTTCTACTCATTGTGATATTGTAGTGAAGGAGAACACAAGTGAGAACAATCGGATATAAGTCAACACAAAATTACAGAATCCCTTAGTAAAACCTGAGAACCATACAGTAAATTCTTCATTTGAGAAATATCACTCAGTTGTCTCAAGCTTCACTGTCCTTTCGTTTCCACACCAATAATTCTCTGTTCTCGTTTACTTCTCTTTGATCTTCTTAACCTTCTGCCTCCAGGCATTTTACTTTCGATTGATGGTACATACTACTTATATCTGTCGACATCAGTAGCACACACCACAGTATAACAAAAAATATATTTGTTACTTGATATACTCTTTTGACAAAACTGAAAACAATTCTCATCAGCTATTGGTGCACCCAGCTGACAACATTCGAAGAATGTTAAAGTTAATACTCAGGCTTTTAGAATGACTTGGTCTAATACTGCAACATGTTACATCATCCAGAAATGTTTTTTAGTATTAATCTTCTAAATTTGAAGTAAAGAATATAATTATGTACTAGCTTTAGAGCAAAACGAACAAAACCCACGGTAAATAAATTAACCAAAACTAAATTTGATTATTTAAGTAGCTTAGTGAAAATTTTACGTTGTATACCTAGTATATCAACTGCGGTCTTTAGCTATTTGATATTTAGGTCACACTTTTAAGAAATTTCACAAGAAACATTACTTTGACTAATATCAATGCAATCATTTTTGAAAAGAAAGTATCATAGATTATTGAGATGGTAGAGAAATGTAGAAATTTTGGATAAAGGGAACTCCAAAAACACCTGAGAGTTTCTATAAGCTTGGCGCTCAAGTCAGTCAGCAGTCAGCCAGCGCATTGAAATCGACCCAATTTATCAATCAATCAGGAAAATTATGTACAAACATAGAAACAAAAATCAAACTAATGGAAGATACAACCAAAACAAAAAAGTAAACAATAACAGCTTTAAAGTTAACAAGAACCAATCGACATGGAGGTCTACAGGACAATGTGTGAACCACATGTGGAAAAATTAGAACACTTCGCTCCTACCTGAAGTTTGTGCTGATGATGTCGTTTAGAAGAACGATGAAAGCTCTACGACCAAACCATCCAGCTCAGAGAAAAAAATTCCATCCAAATCATAGATTATAATATAACTAATCTGACTAATTGTGCTTAGTCTATTTAATTGCTAATTATAAATAATATGACAATGTTGTTTATTTTAATTCAAAGGGATCCAATGAATTGACTCGATGTTTAGTCCATCTTATTAATAAGAGCCGGGAAATACATATTGTACCCTCGATGGCCAGAGATATCTACTTTATTCGATTTTCTATAAATTATGAAAAGGCCCGTATCGAAGATATTGATTATTCGTGGTCGGTGATTGAAACATCCCGAAAAATACTAACCACTCAAGTGAGTATTGCTTTATTTTTAAATGAACGTAATTAAGGAATAACTTTTGAAAGGTCTCAAGTTCTCTCTAGACACAAAACACTTGCCTATCAACTTTAGTAAAACTGTGATGAACGAGAACACAAGTGGGGATGACCGAAAATACTTGAATACACAAGTATGGAATTTCTTCGTCAAATGTGAAAACCATATGTTCAATACTTCATTTGCAGACTGTCCATCAGTTGTATCAAGCATCATCCTACCTTCATATCCATAACACCTACTCTCTGTTCCCGTTCCCAACCTTCTACCGCCAAGCATTTCATTTCTAACAGGTGTTATATACCACTTATGTCAACACTAGTATCACATACCACAAAACTATATCAGTAGAGTAAGTTAAATAAGAGCTTGTCAAATAAAAGAACCTCTGCTTTCTATGTTGATAGAATTTCTGGTTGAATGTCTATTGCTAAAGTATATACAAGTAAATACGAGCTCCATAGGCTCATTAATTAATGATTACAACAGAGATTAATGTCAGCATCAAAGGACACCTCTTCTTCTAGTATCAATGACAAGACTAGTTTCAACAGTACACTGTCCGTTTTATTCTGTAAGAAACCTGTCAGTAAGCATGCAACCGAAGAATTGTCCTATTAGAATAGAAACTAAACAAGCTGTAGAGACAAATAACTCAAAACAGTCAAGTCGGACGAATCACTATGAACGATGAATTTATTATTTTCAATATTGGCTAAACGTGATATACTATTTTTATGAAAACTAAGGGATTTTATAAACGGAATTAAATCGTGAGGAAAAATGTGAAATAATAACAAGAGTGAAGGTCTGGGGGAAGATGCTGAAGGGATTAATTTCTTCTAGCTAAGTTCCCAATTATCGACTACAATTATAAAATGGACCTAAGCCATTTTAACCCTTTTCTCAGACAAACAGACAATATCTTCAAATATTGATTTCGTCTTGATTTGACAGTACCTAACATTCTCTTAACTTACTCTTCTGTTATCACTGTATTTCGGAGTAGGCAGCGAATCAATATACATAACACTCGTTGTAACCATACCAATTGATGAAGGTTCATAACGCTAATAGATTTCTCATTCTTAAATTACAGTCTACGTTTTAAAATCAATGTTACTCTTCTAGAGATTTCAAATTAAACAAGTAAGGCTTTAAAGCAATCTGTGATAAAATGTTAACAGTCTAGGCATATCCGTTACCTCCATCAGCCAAGTTACATAGCCGGTAGATACCTCGTCCATCGATTAAATCAGGGAGTATTTTTAAAGATGAAGCTAACTTGTTGATTTGGTCAGCTGGAATTTGATCATACAAGACGTTTTGAAGGAAAATTTGAATCAGTAGTTTGTGCTACTTAAATAAACTCCACCAACATATTTTCGAAGAAAAGCAAGAATAAACTTATAATAACTGAATAGACCATAATCAGTCCTTATGTTAACATTCATGGAAAACTTTTGACAGATGATCCTGCTATGTTTGAAGAGATTACTAATTCACCTAGTCTAAGAACGGAATGAACAATTAGCGACTCAATGACAAAATAAACTATTTCAATGCGTCCCAGCATCACTAACTACAGAGTGAAGTCCAGCTTCAGAAAAGAGAAATGTATTCCACGAGCAGCAAAAAGTATGAACAACACACACAAACACAATTAAAGCATAGACATACAGCATAAAAGTGTCCTTTGGAAAAGTCACAAAATAGCATATTGAAAGAGATAATGAACCAATGACATTTAGGGTCTTTTCAAGTGGGAATGTTATAGCGACATGAGGGTTAGAATGGGGGCTTTTGGTGCGAAAACAAAAAATTCAGATTTCCAAAATAAAATTGCAAAAATAAGGTGTTTACCAAGTGAGTTCTGGGGATCTAACATCCCCAAAACCTCTCCTTTTAATAGAGTACGTTCCTGGGGTCCACATACATCTTGACCCTCTGTCGCCATTGTCGGAGTGACCACCTTCTGGATCGTAAACCGACTTGTTGTATTTCTTCCTGTGTAGGGACTTCAGGTAGACTAAAAGTATCTAACGGGATATCGAACGGTAGATTTCCTTCTGTCACTGGGCGAAGTGGGGCTAGCCGCTTACGTATCTGGTTTCGATGTTGAGTCTACCTGTCCCTTCCCGCCTTTATCTGATATATGACCTAGCCTAGCCTTGCGACCACACGTGCTTCAGTCCAAGGACCATGATTTGGTCTGTAGTCCCGAGCGAACACCGGACATCCAGCCTCGTACGTTGGCAGCTTCTGAGACTTGTTTATATTGGTGATACGCCAAGTAATAAATGTCAGTGCTACTGAGTGCTTTGCTTTTTACAGGCCTCTAGTAAACTTTTTTAATATTTTGTGGTTAAAAATGGTACATTAATTGCCAGAAAGTTATTATTTATCTTTATCAATCGATGACAAATTTTTCATTATAGCATTTCTATAAACAACATCTATCTATTATGAACATGAAGCGAAATTCATACATTCCAATAAAAGCTGCATCATTTAGCGATGATCATACATCCTCAAACTCCGCCGAACTTCAACGTAGACATGGATCTACATCTGCAGAGGAGTCAGTCAAAGTTGAGTGGTGAAATTTTCCAATAAACAAATGAGTTTCACTGGAAACATGGAAGAATACTACACTTGAAAAATGACGTAGGGACTAATTCTAATAATAGTTCTAATTCTAATTCTAATAATAATAATAATAATAATAATAATAATAATAATAATAATAATAATAAAAAGGTCAAGTGACTGTTGACAAAATGATGTTAGTAATAGTACAGAAATATCTATACTATAATAATAACAACAGTAATATTGTTGTATGAACTTTGTTGGACATGAAAGCAACGTTGATAAACTTTTTCATTTTAAAGACTTATTTGTTCACCAAGTTATCACATGTTAATAATCATTCTAAGCATGAACTTCCTATTCCTTGTTGTCACACATAAAACTTTTCATTCAAGATTAATTGAGTTCAAATGAATACTAATAGTGAACTTAACAATCTCACAAACTTATTTCATGTTGATATTCAGTTTATCTTTTATTCTTAATCCATGGTGTAGAGCATAAAATTTGAAAACATTTTTGATCCGTTGGCTATATTTATTTGTCATCATTTGAGAAAGATAAATAATATACTGTTATGAGAAACTTTTTATATAATTATCACAATTGTTGACTTATTTCGGTTCAGTTGATTGATTGTGGTGATTAGTTCCAAGGACGAAATTAGCTTACATCACTCCCAATACACCTAGCTACAAATCAAGGAGCAAAAAACAGTTCTTTCTTTTTAGTTTGAGATTCCTTAGTAGCCCACACTTATGACTCCAACAGAGCATTCGGACCTCCCAGTGAGACCCCAATAATCATTTAGACGACCGAGTCAGAATTCAGCTTCCAACTTGCACTACAGCAGAACAATCACCTAGCGGTCCTCCAGTTGATATCCATCAGTGACTAAACCAATCTCGCTACTCAGGTTTTGTCAGTTGGACAACAACACAAAAATACACGTTTAGTAAAGAAATATGAAAAAGCAAACATCTGGTTTAATACTCTGTCTCAAAAAATAAAGCCAAATGTTTCAAGGCTACTCCATTGCCATTATATACCGGTTACTTGATTATCCAACTTTGGAGGTTATTGCTTAAACCGTCTTACAATCTAAAGATTGAGTGATATTAAGCTAATTTCCAGGAGGACTGAACAGTATGACACCAGAATTCTGAAATACTCGAAATAGTATTTAACTTCTATTCATGAATAAAATTCAATAATAATGTTGAACGTTGTGAAAAGCATATGAAGTACATAAGATCACTGAAATATTTCTTTACATTATCACAAGCCAGTCACTGATCCTTACTTAAAAAACAGTAAATGAGAATGAAATATTTTAACTGTCAGCGTTAAGTACCATCTATTTTACATCCAATATGTACATACAATTAAAAGTAAACTTTTAATTAACAAATCCTTAAACAGTCAGATTATTGTTACAATCGTGATAAACACTTAATTTAAAACCACAGCTTATCAACTCAATGTTTCTCAGTAAATTGTCAATTATATTGGAAAATGAACAAACTTCTTTTGAGTGCTAAAAATTCATTGTGACTTACTGAAAAGCTGTTTATTCTAACAATGTGCAAAATAACCTGATGTAGGCATTGATTTCTAAAATTATGTTGAATGCAAATCAAAAGTAGGCTTACATTTAGCTTATTATAATAATGCACAAGTGTAAAGAAAACCACCAACTTCGAGATCAACAAGCTGGATTCCGTAAGTATCGGTCGTGCACAGACCAAATTGCGACACTACGGATCATCGTTGAACAATCGATTGAGTGGAACTCGTCACTGTACATCAACTTCATTGATTATGAAAAGGCATTTGACAGTGTAGATAGAAGAACGTAATGGAAACTCCTTCGACACTACGGAGTTCCTGAGAAGATTGTCAACATTATCCGGAACTCATACGACGGAATACAGTGCAAGGTCATGCATGGAGGAAAGCTGACAGACGCATTCCAAGTAAGGACCGGAGTCAAACAAGGCTGTCTACTCTCTCCCTTCCTCTTTCTTTCGGTGGTCGACTGGATTGTGAAGACCTCAACATCTGAAGGAAAACACGACATACAATTGACAGCTCAGAACCAATTAGACGGTTTGGACTTCGCAGATGACCTAGCCCTCCTATCGCATACACATGAACAAATGCAAATAGACAGTCAGTGTGGCAGCAGTCTCTGCATCAGTAGGCCTCAATATACACAAGGGGAAAACCAAGGTCCTCAAATCCAACACGAAGAACAGCAATCCAATAATCATACTTGATGGCGAAACTCTGGAAGATGTAGAGTCCTTCGAATACCTGGGAAGCATCATCAATAAACAAGGAGCATCAGATGCAGACGTAAAGGCGAAGCAAGGGACGCATTCCTTCAATTGAAGAACATATGGAACTCAAAACAACTTTCAACCAATATCAAAGTCAGAATCTTCAATACTGTTGAGAAATACAACGGAACCTCCAGAAGCCCTAATGGAGCAGAAGAGTTTCGGCCAATCAGAGCATGAGGGAGTTTTCTAGAATGTTACCGTGGTATGCTACTATTGGTCAGTAGCATAATGTCTCTTAGCGAATTGGCCAAAATACAATGTTGATATGACAAATGCTTATAATTTATAAATACCCGTGTTTTTCTGTACAAAAATGAACCTTTCCGCTTAATTTGCGCCTTTCCTCTCGTGTTAAGGTCGCTGCGTAGTTCTAGCTTGCGGGTTACTAGAATAGCTTAGGAACCGAATAAAGCGTTCAAATTAGCAAGACTTATCATTGGTGATGCGGTGAAAAAAATCCCGAAACTTTAATTAACGAATCAACGTCAGCCTGCAGTTGGACGAAATTCAGTGTAATTATTTCGAGCAATCAGCATACAAAATTCATACCGGTGTCCTTCAACGACATCGATTGCTAATTAGTCACATAGCATTTTTCATTACCATGCTGATTCAGAAAATGGCTATCTCTTCCGATCAATTACAGTTGCTATTTGAGCGACAACAGCAGCGTTTCAAGAAGAGCCAGTTGAATGTTTTAGACAATTTACGCACACGGCTGCTAAATCATCCATGTTTTTGAGATATGACCGAGGTTGATAAATTAATTTCTAATTTGCATACAGAGCTGGAAAATGGCTGTAGAACACATGAACGTGTAGATGAAACTCTCCGCGAATCCTTGGTGAGCGGTAATGTAAACGAATTAGTAGCAGTCATTTATGATGCGCCCAGAGACATGCCCTGCCGTGGGTTCAAATCCCATTGTCCCCGAAACACTATGTGCAAACATTGGATTGTCCAGCTCACAGAAAGATGATGTCTTATTAAATGCTCATGAAATTATTGCAGTACCCGCCCACAAAGAAACAGAAAATGAATCAAGCATCATAATGAAGACAGTTGCATTAAATGGAGCTCATCATTCTACGACAAAAGTTTCTGATGAATGTACTTATTGGGGTTCTCTAGTTGTTTTACTAGATATGAGTCATCTTAATGACTCACATGCCTTTGATCAAATTTCTTACAAGAATGAGGAAAATTTGTCGGATTTATCAAACGATGATCAAGAACCTAATAAAATCTTGATAGATGCTGATTATTCTAGTGATCGATTATCTACTAATGGAATTTTCAAGAGATCTGACGAAAATGTTTCACAAGAATCAGACCTTAATGACTTCGTATCTAGTGTCGCTGATCCTCACCATCTAGTCAGTTCTAGTGGGTTCTCTACACAATGCGGGAAATATGCTTTAAATAAAGTAGCTTGGGAATATGGGGACCCAACATTATTTCATGGGGGAGGATGAAGTCATAAAATTTAAAGATGGATCTCAATTTTGAGTCTTCATTATGAGCTTTGTTCAAGATTAATTCCGTTTTGATTCAATGTAATGATTACTGAATGTAGTATTTCTTTTCTTTTCTCGTGTGATATTTTATTCTGCATAATATACGATATTCTTGTATTCCATTGACATGAACTATGCTTAGTATGTGATTCGTTATAACTCTAAGTATTTTTCATAAATGTGATTTCATCCTAATTATTAATCAAAATCGGTGTACAATCAATATATAAATGAGTGTATTTCCTACTAAAGTATTCATGTTTTTAGGTTAATAAATCATCACTTATACCAGTCTTTGTATTCTTTCGCATCGTGGGAATTGCAGAGGTTCCTCGTTCCGAGTATAGGTGATAAGCGTTTGTGACATAACAATCAGCGACGACCAAATACAAAAAGTAGCATTAAAAGAGCCAAGATAATAAGCATTCAAACGAAAAGTTATAACAAATACCATCAAGGCAGTTCTACTGTACGGAGCTGAAACTTGGAGAACTGCAACAATCACCATCAAGAAGGTACAAATATTTACATTTACTGAACTACTTATAATCCACTGATTACAATGGATAGTTTACGCAATATCGTCGGATTTTTACAAAATCAAATATTTGAACATAGAACAGTTAACCGGTCAGTGAGGCTCAATCAATATTGAAAGTGTTGGAGATACTAGATTCCCAGAAATCACTTGGCAAAAGTCACGTTTTTGTAGTTTTAATTTCGGAATTTGAATTTCCCATTTTCGCGCCCTCTTTCACCTTCAGTTTGTATTTCCCACTTGCAATGACCTTAAGTGGCATTTGCTCGTTTCCCCTTTTAATACGCGATTTTGTGACGTTTTTCGAGAACATTTTTATACTATACATATATATGCATGGGTTGTGTGTTTGTTCGTTCGTACTTCCGACTGCTTGTGGCATATACATTTCCTTCGGCTGAATCTGGTCTTCTTCCTTTAGTTAACAAAGCTGGGGCGCACTAGAATAGCTTAGCTTGTCCTATCGCTGTGTTGCTGACTTTCGTTCCGCTTTCCGATTTTTGATGATTCGTAATCTCTTCAATAGTAGCACAATTTGTTAGATCTACTCCTATGACTATAATAAGTGGTACAATAAACGTGAATAAAATTAAAACTTTAAAGTATCCGAAAAACTGGTACCGGCTCGAGAACATTCAGACGAGTAACAAGGTTAGATTGAAGATACAAATGAAAGTAAAAAATATTGACTGTAGCTCCATATCGTGAGTATATCTAACAAAGATAAGTATATGTCCGGTATGAAGTACAACATGTAACCAACAAGTTTTTACTGTTATTAGGTGTATTTATGAGATTATTTTTGAAATACGAAAATGTTTAGTAAATAAAAACACTTTTAACCAACAAAACTAAACAAGATCATATACACTTTCTGTGCGCCTTGATAAAAATCAATTACTGGACTTTATAAATTAAATAACACGATATAGCGCTTCCAGTTTTTTCAAGAAACCATATTAAATATATAAGGGTATGTTATGAGATAGAAAACATTTGTGAATGAGTTAATTTAAAACTGTCTTTCATATTTCGTTCATCTAGAACGATATTATTTATTCTATGCTTTTTGCAGTTACAATAGGAGTGTGTTAACTGAATATACAATTCAAAGTAAGGAAAGACAAGACATTTAATAGCAGCTTAACAGTAGTATGTATCACAGTTGTTCTGTGGAATTTCCATTCCATCGGGCTTGTTCATCATCCGAACTATCAGGCATGTGCGAAAGACGAGCAACATTACCCTATAAAAGAGATTAAATATAACACAATCAACGATGATATTATAAACACTATATGTAGTTAGAATTATAACATCAATTCCGCCTTCAGAATGATCTTGAACTTACTTGACGTCTTACAGAACGATTTTGTTTTGAACCACTTGGAGGTACAGTATTTCCAGGAGGATTACTATTAGATTGCGGAGTGCGAGAACCTGTCAGACTGGATACAAGACTCTGTCCCAACGAATATAATCCACTTACTGCCCAACCAATTAAACCATAAGTAGTGCTGAAGCCTGAACTGATAATATTGTAAAACTGGGACACGATTCCATCTATATGAAAAAAGAGAAATTATTAAAGGATCTTTAACAAGTTCTATATCTTCTGATCATAAAAATTTAACAAAGTAAATAAATTATTTTATAACAAGACACATAAGAGTTTCATTGTTGAAATAAACACAATATCTGCAGTTAATATCGGATTATGATTCACGATGAAATCTGTCAAATATTACTCATCACTTAAGGATTTAGGAAAGAAATGACTATACGAAAATCCGAAAACACTCATTCAAAGAATGAATACCAAGTATGCTAAAACCTGACTCTTGAACTATCAGAAAGTATTTACATACAATCTCACACTCCAAATCTTCGTAAACTAGTTAAAGCAGTGAAATTTTAGGCTTTTCATTTATTGGTAATGAACTAATTCTATTTACTGCTGATGACAACTGGATATTTGTAACACTTACTTAAAACCCGTCCTAGTGATGTTGCTAAGAATGATAATAAAAGCTTCGTAACTACATAATTCATCTGAAAATACCCAAAATCATTAAAATCACTCAGTATATTTTGTAAATTAAAGTTAATTAATTAGAAATAAAGATTTTATTTTAACAGTTGAATTCACAAGTTGGTCTAAGCTAGATTACCACAGAAAACCTGGAAGTACTGAACAGACGTTTCGTCCTAGTACGAAACTCCTCAGCAGGGCGCATCCACAATTCATACGCAAGACTCGAACCCAGGATCTTCAGTCTCGCACGCAAACACTTGAGTCGGCATCCGACGGTGTTCAAGTTCAACTTCAAACAGAACATGATCTTGTGCAACTCTTCATCCATTATCTGAAGTGGACAACTGTCTCACATCCGATGTGGACTGGACTCCATTGGTCATTGCTTCTCACTAGAACTCCAGGAAATCCATCTAGTGAGCAAATGATTACTATCAGTATAGGGATTTGTGGAGATCGTAGTATTTTTTTACAGTTGAGTCCCGAGTGCGGGATCGGAAGTGAGCACTAATGAGGAGTCCCATACCATGACGAAATGGCCTTTTAGTGTTTCTAGGTTTTCAATGGTGGTCTAGCTTAGATCGACTCGGGAATTCAACTGTTAAAATGCTACAATCTTCACAAATCACCATACTAATAAAAAGTTTATTGTTATCATATTATCCGAATGTGTTTAATTTCCAAATATTAAATGGTTATCTAATAGGGAAATAGAAATTTACTATTACAATTATTCTTATCCGAACACCAAACAATACCTTCGGAAGCAAAGTTAACTCCAATGAATTTTATGTAAATTATGAGATTAATTAGACAAATTGCACAATACTAGTAATGAACTTATTCATTGTGAATTGGATATCACGACATAAAAATAATTAGTAAATGAGAAAGTAAAGTATGAAAAATTTTAGAAACTGTGTAATATTAACAATAAACTAACCATTTGAACGCGTGATAGCTTGATTAGATTTGTTTAATACAAGAAACAATGCAGCTGATGGATAATAACCAAGTTCTCTTAATGACTGAGATTCGTCTTCTGGTCCCAAGATCCTATATGGAAAGTATCAAAAAATCGCAACATTATTAAAGTAAAAAATATGGGATCGATATTTTTTAAGAGTACACAGTAGTAAGATATACCTAACATAATATTTAGGGATGTACTTTGAAACTAATTCCAACATTTTTAAGATAATATTTGTGTGTAACCATATTATCACACCGTATAACAAATCAAGATATACTATTAATTTTTTATGCATCAATTAAAAAGTACTACCAACTAGCGGTTTATGAAAACCTCGGAAGAGGACACCTTTATGAGCCGATTAAGGACTGATAAGTTTCCTGTTACTATACAATGAAGATGACGTAGTGTGAAAATAGAGCAACAGAGAATGTTTACTCTATTCGATGCAGATTTTAGTCGAAGCATGAATTAACTAGAAATAGTCCATTTTCTTCTGTTAGAAGTTAGTGCGAAATCATGTCACTTTCGACCCATTAAATGATGAGGATGAATTGCCTAAGAATTCTGTTGCTTTCTGATAATTCATCGACTTTTCAAGGAGTCTATAAGTAAATTTTGTGAAAAATCATCGATAGAAGCTTTTACGATACGATAAAAGATTCGAACATACACTGATCTTTATTCAAACGAATGAAAATTTACTGTGAAAGAAGTTTATTTCAAGATGACAAAAAAACCTATTATAATTTTTTAAATACCTATGTTGAACAGAACTACCAAAATACATTGTCTTCATTCATCTTCTAGTCAGTGACATTCTTGATTTTGATGATCAATTATGATCGCCAACCTCGCCTGGAGTCCCTCCGGGGGCTACTGCCGGTCCCAAGCCCGGATAAAGGAGAAGGGTTGGGCATGGGGTTAGCGTCCCCATCCCGTAGAAAACTAACTCGCTAAAAAGACGCTAACCAGAAAAAATTATTCAAACCTTTTAAACTCTGCCCTGGGAGTCAGAAGGTCTTCATTTAGAAGAACTATGACGCCTCACGATGAAAGCCGAATTCCTTCGGAAGTTACGAGGCCGACGCCCCTTCTGACAACCAGAGCGAATGGAATGTTCGTACAATGTGGGACACCGGGAGAGCCTTCCAAATTGCTGCAGAAATGAGAAGATACAACCTAGAGGTACTTGGGATCAGTGAAACACATTGGACACAAGTTGGACAACAACGACTGACTACAGGAGAGCTCCTGTTATACTCCGGCCATGAAGAAGAAAATGCCCCACATGCACAAGGAGTTGCATTGATGCTGTCCAAACAAGCACAAAATGCACTTATAGGATGGGAATCTCATGGACCAAGGATCATCAAAGCCTCGTTTAAAACAAAGAAAGAGGGCATTTCAATGAACATCATCCAATGCTATGCGCCTACCAACGACTACAATGAAGACGCTAAAGATCAATTCTACAATAGGCTGCAGTCAATCGTCGAGAAGTGCCCAACAAAGGACCTGACCATTCTGATGGGAGATTTCAACGCCAAGGTTGGAACGGACAACACTGGATATGAAGACATCATGGGACGACACGGACTGGGAGAAAGAAACGAAAATGGTGAGAGATTTGCAAATCTATGTGCCTTCAATAAGCTGGTCATAGGCGGCACCATATTCCCACATAAACGCATACACAAAACCACATGGACTTCACCGGATCACACTACACAAAACCAAATCGACCATATTTGCATCAACAAAACGTTCAGGAGGACTATAGAGGACGTGAGAACCAAGAGAGGAGCTGATATAGCATCAGATCATCACTTGCTGGTCGCCAAGATGAAATTGAAACTCAAGAAGCACTGGACAACGGGGCGGACAATATCACAAAAGTTCAATACGGCCTTTCTTCAGGATACTAACAAACTCAACAAATTCAAGATAGTCCTCAGCAACAAGTTCCAGGCCTTTCATGATCTACTCAATGAAGAAGGAACTACTGTGGAGAGCAACTGGAAGAGGATCAAACAGGCAATCACTTCAACATGTCATGAGGTCCTGGGTCACAAGAAGCACCATCACAAGGAATGGATCACTGCTGATACACTGGATAAGATCCAAGAAAGGAGGAACAAGAAAGCAGCAATCAAAACCAGTCTAACAAGAGCAGAAAAAGCCAAGGCACAAGCTGAATACACAGAAGTTGACAAACAAGTGAAGAAGAGCATCAGAACCAACAAACGTAAATATGTGGAGGATTTAGCAACGGCGGCGGAAAATGCTACAAGAGAAAGAAACATGAGACAATTGTATGACACGACAAAAAAACTCTGGAAATCGCCGCAAACCTGAACGACCAGTCAAAAGCAAGGAAGGCGAGGTAATCACCAACATTGAAGAGCAACAAAACAGGTGGGTAGGACACTTCAAAGAACTCTTGAATCGACCAGCTCCACTGAACCCACCCAACATCGAAGCAGCACCCACGGACTTCCCAATCAATGTTGGCCCACCAACAATTGAAGAAATCACCATGGCCATCAGACAAATCAAGAGTGGCAAAGCAGCAGGACCAGACAACATTCTAGCAGAGGCACTAAAAGCAGACGTATCGGCAACTGCAAGGATACTCCACATTCTCTTCAATAAGATTTAGGATGAGGAACAAGTACCAAAAGACTGGAAAGAAGGACTTCTGATCAAAATACCGAAGAAAGGCGTTCTCAGCAAGTGTGATAACTACAGGGGCATCACTCTTCTCTCAATACCGGGAAAAGTCTTCAACAGGATATTGTTAAATCGCAACTCTACGGATCATTGTGGAACAATCAATTGAATGGAATTCATCACTCTACATCAACTTCATTGACTACGAAAAGGCATTTGACAGCGTGGACATAACAACACTATGGAAACTTCTTCGACACTACGGCGTGCCTCAGAAGATAGTCAATATAATACAGAATTCCTAAGATGGATTAAACTGCAAAATCGTGCATGGGAGGCAATTGACAGACTCGTTCGAGGTAAAGACCGGTGTTAGGCAAGGTTGCTTACTCTCATCCTTTCTCTTTCTCCTGGTGATCGACTGGATCATGAAAACGTCAACGTCTGAAGGGAAGCGCGGGATACAATGGACATCTAAGATGCAGCTGGACGATCTAGACTTCGCAGATGATCTGGCCATTCTATCGCAAACGCAACAACAGATGCAGGAGAAGACGAACAGTGTGGCAGCAGCCTCAGCAGCAATAGGTCTCAATATACACAAAGGGAAAAGCAGGATTCTCCGATACAACACAGCATGCACCAATCCAATCACAATTGACGGAGAAGATTTGGAAGATGTAAAAACCTTTACGTATTTGGGCAGGATCATTGATGAACAGGGTGGATCTGATGCAGATGTGAAGGCGCGGATCGGTAAAGCAAGAGCAGCATATTTACAACTGAGGAACGTCTGGAAGTCAAAGCAACTGTCAACCAACACGAAGGTCAGGATTTTCAATACAAATGTCAAGACAGTTCTACTGTCTACTGGGGCAGAAACCTGGAGAACTACGAAAGCCATCATCCAGAAAATACAGGTGTTTATTAACAGGTGTCTACGCAAAATACTTCAGATCCATTGGCCGGACACTATTAGCAACAACGTACTGTGGGAGAGAACAAACCAGATCCCAGTGGAGGAAGAAATCAGGAAGAAGCGCTGGAAGTGGATAGGACATACACTGAGGAAAGCACCCAACTGCGTCACAAGACAAGCCCTCACATGGAATCCTGAAGGCCAAAGGAGAAGAGGAAGACCAAAGAACACATTACGCCGGGAAATGGAAATAGACATGAGAAAAATAAACAAGAATTGGATGGAACTAGAAAAGAAGGCCCAGGACAGAGTGGGTTGGAGAATGCTGGTCAGCGGCCTGTGCTCCATTGGGAGTAACAGGCGTAAGTAAGTAAGTAAGTAAGTTATGATCGCCAACATGGGACATAAAAATCTAAAGGTCGCTAAAGTGCAGTAGTATTAATGTGGTTGTACCAATTCTAATTTTGAAACAAAACAATATTTCAAAGGAAAGTAGTCGCAAAATATTATTGTGTATGCTACTTATATTGACAGATATAAGTAACATACAGCACCAATATGAAATGAAATGCCTGGCATCAGAAGATTGCAATGAAAAGAACAGGAAGGAACTCTGAGAGCAATCGAAATAACAACAGAATTAGAGGAGTAATGAGGTATGTAAAGGACAACGCAAAGATGTGCAAATGATGTACTTAATGTCTGGTTTTCACATTTAACTAGGCCACTGTGATTTTGCGTTAAACAATGAATTGGTTATCCCCATCAAGTCTTTATTCACTAAATTATGACAGCGAAAAAGCTAAAGTAAAACATTTTCGGAGTGTTCACTCTTACCCAGTTAGAGTCACGCATTTTCACGAAGTAGACATTGAGAAAATTATCCAGGCCATAGTGCTAGTCCTCTCTTATATAAGCAATAAACGAAAGCACTTCTGTATATTTCCGACAGGATTTGTATGAAAACGCCTATTTATTTTTTTTAAGATTTATTAAGCATGTGGTCTAGGATTTCATATTTTCCATTCTGTCAACCCCATTTTAAGTGGATTGTTAAAGAGGAACACAATTCAGAGGTAATAAACATCTAGAAAATAAGTATTAACGTGTGGATACGGGTTATACAAAATGGCTTTGTGGCTTCGCGAAACGTCCCGCATATAAGCACTGGTTCCTTACAACTCATTGAAGCCCGTCGGTCTACTCCGAGTGACCGTGAGTTTGACCATAAACGAAGAATGTTACGTAATGAAATTGGGCAAAGCTTGCGTAAGGACCGAGAAGCCTGGTGGTCGAAGCGTGCTTATGAGCTGGAATCAGCAGCTGCATCTGGTAATTACCGGAAGCTCTTCCAACTCATCCGAGCCACTGGCAGCGAGAAGTCTGGTGTGAGCGAAACAATCTGCGAGGATGACGGTACACCAATCACTAACATCCATCGACGTCTTGGACGATGGGCAGAATTTTTCGAAGGGAAGTTCAACTGGCTTGCTTCTCCGGCAACATCGGTCAGATTGTCCTGCCCTCTATGGCCGGTGAAGACTGATCCACCAAGTCCGCAAGGAACAAATCACCTGGCCCAGATGACTTACCTCCGGCTCTTTTTAAAGATGGTGGTGACTTTCTGACTAGGGAATTGACGACGCTGTTTACAAAGGTTTGGGAGCTAGAGAGTGTACCAACGTCATGGAATGAGTCGATAGTTGTCCCGATCTTTAAAAAGGGTTCGCGTCGTTCCTGTAACAACTATCGGGGGATAAGTCTACTTCCGATTGCGTCCAAGCTATTGGCTTCCGTCATTCTTCGTAGGTTGTTCAAAACCCGAGAAAGATTGACTCGTGAGGAGCAGGCTGGGTTTCGTTCTGGTCGAGGATGTATTGATCAGATCACCCTCCGCCAAATGTTAGAACACCGTCATACTTATCAAAGGCCAACAATCGTAGTGTTTCTTGACATCAGGGCTGCCTTCGATTCGTTGGATAGGACTGTTCTCTAGGATTGTCTATTGAAGAAGGGTGTGCCTGAGAAGTTCATTAACATCTTAAAGGCCATACAACCACCTCTCTCCATTGTTCCATTCAAGCAGGGTTGCCCATTCTCACCATTTCTCCTCACCTTTGCTATCAACGACGTTCTGGAAACAGCTCTGATGGATGTAAGTAATCGGGGTGTGAATCTGTTGCCTGCAAAAATACTTCTCGACCTTGAGTATGTGGATGATATTGTCTTACCGTGCGATAATACACAAGAAATGCAATCCGAACTTAATCAGTTGGCAATCAGTGTCCGTAGGTATGGTATGTGCTTCGCACCTTGAAAGTGCAAAGTACTTTTATAAGATTGGCAGGACCCTGATCCTACACTCACCATGTGTAGTGAGCAAATAGTAATCGAGAAGTTCGTGTATCTAGGTAGCTGCATAAGTGCTGGTGGTGGCGTGAGTGATGAGATCAATGCACGTATAGTGAAAGCCAGAGCGGCTTATGCCAATCTGTGCCATCTTTGGCGCCTTCGTGATGTTAGTCTGGCTGTAAAAGGTCGGATCTATCACGCGTCGGTGAGAGCAGTTCTGCTCTATGCTTGTGAAACCTGGCCTCTCCGAGTTGAGGACGTTAGACGACTCTGTGTTTGATCGTCGTTGTCTCCGAAGGATGGCTGACATCCAGTGGCAACACCATGTTAGTAAAGCAGAGGTTTGGCATCGTGTGTTCGGGCACAGAGACGATAATGCAATTGGTGTCACCATCTTGAAACATCGGCTTCGGTGGCTTGGACATGTTCTACGAATGTCGTCCCAGAGAATTCCACGTCGTGCATTATTTGCCGACCCTGGGACTGGTTGGAAAAAGTGGAGAGGTGGTCAGTGTATGACATGGTGTTTCGGTATGAAAGAAGGCTGCAAAGGACTGGCTTCTGTTGGTACCTCACGACCACCTCGTTGGGTTCCTAGAGATGGTGCGACACAGTGGCTAGAGATGTTATCAGATATGGCTCAGAACAGAAGCCAGTGGCGATCCTCCTGTAAACTTCTTTTCCTTTCTTCATAAAAAACGTAACTTATTTAAATGGAAGAAGTCTCTGTGGCTGTACTTTTGCTAATTGAACTGTCTCTCGGATTGTTGTTATTTCATTATCATACACTAATTTCTGTTCATTGTTACACCGCTTTTTTTTCTTATACGCACGTTACATTCTTTATATCTTTACGTTGGGATATTCAGGAAAATATCTCAAAAATTATTCTATTAAGTCTAATGCTATTCTTGGACTTGGAGATGGTATTATTTTCTTATTGGTCAGTACTTATTTCACGTGTCATTTTTTCCTATTGGTCAATATTGTACAATGTTATTTTCTGTTTTATGGTACGATGTGGTCTGCTTGATTAGTATATAAACAGTGTGTTTGAAATATAATAATTCATATATCCGAGGCTGAAACTTGTGTTCTGGACTCAACTGGCTGGGCTAGACAGGGAAGCGGGACCAATCAGAACCCTAGGCCGTTCTACGTGTTTGCGCGCCTTTGGTCCGATCAATAATTCGCTGTCCTCTAATCTGCCGTCACAGTTATAGCACTTTACATCCTCATTATGGTATGACGCATAAGTATCTGGTGCCCCTTTGTACCAATATTCATGTGTTCAAATAAATAAATATACAAAGTAGTCAAACTGACATCAGCACGAAACACTGAGGGTTACCTTTTAGGATATAACTGCAGAAACCGAAATCCTTGCAAGACTAAATTTTTAAAGTTAATACGGTCAGTTTCACTTAAAACTTGAGAGTTATCCACCATTTGGAAATCACAGGACACTAACTCTTGAAGCCAATTTCGTACATCGTAAATAGTCGCCGTAGAGGGGAATCGATGAATTACACGACCACCTTCTAATGATTTTAACTGTAACCGAACCTACAGTAGGAAGTGGAACAAAACATTCAATATAAAATAGTTATCAAAGTTAGCTTCTCAGAATGATCTAAGCAGTTACGTAATTCATCGGCATGCAAAACTAGGGCTAAATTATCACTGTGATTACTCAGTATATTAACATGCAATATGTGACTGAGGAACAGAAACCCTGGAAAAGATAATCATTCCGTGGAAATTTCGTTTTCGTGAGCAATAAAGAATCAGTATAGGGGTTGTAGAGATCGTTAAGTTTTTGATTGAGATCATGAATCAATTGATGTCAGACCACCGTTGGGAACCTGGAAGCACTGGACGGCCGTTTCGTCCTATTGTGGGACTCCTCAGCAGTGCGCATCCACGATCCCGCTCCCTGCGAGATTCGAACCCAGGACCTATCGGTCTCGCGCGCGAACGCTTAACCAACTAGACCACTGAGCCGGCATCCAATGGTGTTAGTGTCTAACATCAACCAATCCATGAAATTGCGCGACCAACTTCCATTGTACTGAGGTAGATACCTGTCTCTACCCGACACGGATTAGCTCCACTGGTCACGGCTTCTCACTAAAACTCCGAGAATTCCCTCACGAAGCCAGTTACTAGTGAGCACATATTAATTATCAGTATAGGGGTTGTGGAGATTGTCAAGTTTTTGATTGAGATCATGAATCAATTGATGTTAGACCACTGCTGAAGAGTCCCATACTAGGACGAAACGGCTGTCCAGTGCTTCCAGGTTTCCAACGGTGGTCTAACATCAATTGATTCATGATCTTAATCAAGAAATAAAGAAGTTTCATTGCTCTCGAGGAATCAATTTTGGAATATAAATTGTAAGTTAGCCATAGAACGTTTAAAAATTTATCTAAAGTTTGAAAAACTTAATGTCTCATTATTTCAGTCAACTAGTCGTAAGAACAACGTAAGACCTGGCACGAATCTGTGCATGTCCAAAATGTTACAGTATAAGTCATACAAGGGACAGAAAAATAGCGTTTTGTTATGTCATCAAAATAGAATGTCGAAAGTCTAACGGTTATAGGTTCCTACAAAACATAGGTCACTAACTTAATTCGATAAAATTTAATGAAGTGATGCTCAAAAGAGTAAAAGCGAATAGAGATCTATGATTGAAAAGACTTTTATTTACTGGATAACTGACTGACAAGCTAAAAAAATACTCTGAAATATATTTAAATATCACATAAGTCGGCTACTTTGCGTAATCCAGTAACCAAGTGTAGTTTCTAGTATTCAGATTAGAGTTGCGCTATTCACATGATGGTTAGTGATACAAATGGACTGTACAAACAGAATCAAGTGAGATAAGGTCCGGATATGTAACTCAAGAGTTGAAATTCAACAAGCGTAACTATCCAGTTACACTGAATAATACAGAGAAAATGCAGGAGTTATAGTAATAACTGTGAAATGATTCAAATTTTCAATTAGGTCGAGGTACAAAACTCAAAAAATGTACACAACTAAACAAACACGATTTATACCTCATCTGAGTAAGATGAACTTTTAAGAAATTCTTGTGGAGGATGAACTGAATTACTAGATATTTTAGATTGCGAACCATACATTCGTGACCATTTTTCTTCCCTTGCTTTACGATCCTCTTCGATCTGTTGACGCAACTGTTCCAGTCGTCTGCGTGATTCCGCCTCGTCTTTACGACGTTCAGCTAGAATTTCATCAATTTCCTTTTGCTTTTGACGTTCCTAAAGCAAGAACAAAAACGTCCACAAACGAATAGCACTATACAGAATCTCATAAAGAAGATTTTACGTGATCTTTCTTCAATGATGTCTTTAATTAAATCTCAAACGGTAGTGAGCCGTTGAATAAAATGTAGACGGAATTATACAAACCACAAGAAAATGAAACACTAAAGTGGGGATTTCATCATAACATATGAACAGTCAAACTGGTAATTGAAAGTAAATATGATTTCTATTTTTATGCATTTATTCTATGGGAGCCATGATACTGTTTAAGACAATTAGAAGAATCTGATGGATATTTGAATGGATTAACCATGAGCTTTCAATAGAGGGCATTTGTCATGAACCACTGAATGATTCCAAAAACTACTGAACCCAGAAACCCGGTGATCAGAGCGTGGAAACGAGCTGAAAGCAGCAGTTGTAGCTCCCGAAAGCTCTTTCAACTCATTAGAGCCACTCGTAGCATGAAGTCTAGTGAGTAAAACAATCTGTGAATCTGGTTGGACGTCCATGAATAGTTTAGCTGGTTTGTTGCTGTAGTAACATCAAGTAAACCGTCTTGTTTTCTATGGCCGGTGACGACTGACCTACTAAACGGGGCGGAAGTCAATGAAAAACTGACTCCTGTGGTGCTATAAATCATCAGGCCCAGACAACTTACATCTCGCTCTTCTTAAGTATGGTGGCGAACTTTGGTGACGGAACTGACTGAACTGTTGGAAAGGTTTGGGAATTCAGTCAGTCAGCTACAACGTAGGACCAGGCACATATATGCATCGGTCCAAGTTGCCATACCTCATTAACACAACAAGATGGACACCGGATTCATAAAAGTAGTTAATTCAGAGGTGGTAATATATAAAAGAAAGATTGCATATAAGGATATAGTACAGGAAGAAAGAATTAGTTCGTAGAAAGAAAGATACGAAGTAATTTTAATCTCTTAGTTTAAGGGAAGATAGAGAGTGTATACACCAACACCATCGTGATCGATTCTGAGCCATGTCACCAAGAGTCTCCAACCATTGGTTACGATAGTCACGCGGACCCCAACCAAGTAGTCTGCGTCTACCAACATGGCTCAGACTAGAAGTTAGTAACTTCAGGCACTGATGCCATGTTTTGGTTTGGCCACCCCTAACTTTCTTCCAACCGTCTCCAACACCGGTTAGCATTGCACGTCGTGGTAATCGGTGTTCATTCATACGTGACACGTGGCCCAACCATCTCAGTCGATGAAGATTCACAACCTCATCAACTGATTTGCCATAATTCCCTAATACCCTGTGTCTAACCTCACAATTACTTACCCGGTGATCCCAGAAGACGCCAGCAATATTTCTAAGGTATCTTTGGTCATATACTAGTAGCTTACGAGTATCTTTTACTATCAATGGCCATGTTTCGCTGCCGTAAATTAAAACAGAATGGACTGCCGCGCAGTATACTCGTCCTTTTGTTGATATACGGATATTTCGCCTTCGCCATAGGTGACGTAAGTTGACAAAAGCCAAACGAGCTTTTCGAATCCGTGGTGAGATTTCATCAGACACCAAACCATTAGGACTGATCAGACTTCCAAGATAAGTGAAGTTGTCAACGCGTTCGACTACTTCACTCTCTATCCTTAGTTCAGGTGATGACGCAGACCAGTACTGAAGCAACAACTTGCATTTAGAGGGACAGAAGCGCATCCCAAACATTCTGGCATTGTTGCTTAGTGCTACCAGAAGACTGCATTTTATCAGCGTCTTCACCAAACAGGACTATGTCATTTGCGTATTCTAAGTCAATAAGTGGACCTCCTGGATGGAGATCAATACCCGAGAATTCAGTCGACGAGAATGTTATTTCCATCAATAGGTCTATGATGAAGTTAAACAAAAATGGAGAAAGTGGACAGCCTTGACGGACACCACTTGAGGTTGCAAAAGCAGATGACAGTTCGCCATAAGCTCTGGCTCGACTAGTAGTGTTCGAGTAAAGAGCCTTCACAAGGTTTATGTACTTCCGAGGTACGCCTTTCAATGACAGACACTGCCACGGAATCTCGCGGTCTACCGAGTCAAATGCTGCTTTTAAGTCAAGAAAGACTACCACTGTCGGACGCCGATAAGTATGCCTATGTTCTAGAACCTGACGAATGGTGAATATGTGGTCGATGCAGCCACGACCAGGTCTGAAGCCAGCTTGATTCTCTCGTGTTTGCAGTTCACAAGTCTTAGTTAGGCGTCTGATGATTATCGAGGCTAGTATTTTAGATGCCATGTTAGTCAAACTAATCCCTTTATGGTTATCACAGGATGATTTCGACCCCTTCTTATATATTGGGACGATAAGTGATTGAGACCAGTCAGATGGGATTAAGTCCAACTCTCAGATTTTAGCTAAAATATTAGTCAACCTAATCCCTAAAATTGGACCACCATCCATAAAGACCTCTGGAGCCAATCCATCTGGACCAGCTGCCCTTCCTCGTTTCAGATTAACTATAGCCTTTTGAACTTCAGCAAGAGTAGGGGGACCTACTTCAATGTTCCATTCACACTGTCTGGGAATGGAGGGTAGTTGTAGAGTAGCTGAAGGCCAGCTGAACTGTTCTCTAAAATGTTCCGCCCATCGTTCTAAACGTCTGGACTGGGAGCAGATGAGAGTGTCGTCTTTCCCCGAAATAATCTGACTTACATTTGACTTATTAATTCCAGTTTCTTTTACTAGTCTGTAGAGCTGTCTTGTGTCCCCTATAGCCGCCGCCTTTTCCATCTCTTTTGCTTTCGTTGACCATCACTGCTCACGGTCGTTCCTTAGACTTTTGCTTAACCTAGATCTGATTTCTTTATGCTCTTCATCGTGTTCAGTGCCTGATGGGATGAGTTTACGAGAATCCATCAGTGCAATAGACCTTGAGGAAATCCATTGGTTCTTTGTAACCCAGGGGTTTAAATCACTGATAGATTTCACTGTTTCGCTGTTTCTCTCACACCAGACTTCTCGCTGCCAGTGGCTCGGATGAGTTGGAAGAGCTTCCGGTAATTACCAGATGCAGCTGCTGATTCCAGCTCATAAGCACGCTTCGACCACCAGGCTTCTCGGTCCTTACGCAAGCTTTGCCCAATTTCATTACGTAACATTCTTCGTTTATGGTCAAACTCACGGTCACTCGGAGTAGACCGACGAGCTTCAATGAGTTGTAAGGAACCAGAAAAACCCAGTGCTTATATGCGGGACGTTTCGCGAGCCCACAGCTGACTGTACCCGCCATTTTCATGGCGTCATGCAATTGCAACCAATGCTCATCCATACTTTTCGGTGGAATGGTAGCTAGCCTAGAAGCTAGCTCGGTTCGATATTTACTTGCAACAGAAGTTGCAACCAGCTTGCTAACATCAATCCGTTGGTGACGGTCACTTCGTTGTCCACTGAAAAGTGAGGTAAGATTGGCGCAGACCAAGGCATGGTCAGAGTCCAGATAGGTACTCCTAAAGGAGCGGCAGTCTTGTACACGACCACGCCAGCGGTAGCTGATCGCGATGTGATCAATCTGAGTCCAGGCTTGAGATGCAGAGAGTGGATGCCAGGTGGCGCATCGGCGATGACTGTGCCGAAAGTTAGTGCTGGCCAGAAACAGGTTGTGGTCTCTGCACAGTTGCAGTAGACGGTCCCCGTTATCTGTCCTGCGACCAACAAGTCCCCATCGGCCACCTAAACGACTCTCTTCTGTGCCTAGACACCCGACCTGAGCATTCAAGTCTCCGGCTAGTACTACAATATCTGTCGAACGCACTTTCTGGAGAAGAACAGATAACTGGTGGTAAAACCCATCCTTGATTGCATCCGGGCTGCAATCTGTCGGGGCATAGGCGGAGATGACGAAAAGACATCGTTTCTCATGCCGATTTCTTCTCATTTTGATGGAACTCTCTAATCTAACAGCACATAACCGGCTGTTAATGGGGATCCAATCGACTAGTGCTGCCTCAGCTCTAGCGCTTAGTGCGACACCAACGCCAGCAAGACCAGACGAAGATGCCACAAGGCCCCGGATAAGCGCATATAAAACAAGCTTGCTGGACAGGACTCTTCTATGAGGTTGTTTGTAGAAGAAAGTTGTGCCTGAGGAGTTTAATAACACCTTGAAGGCTCTGTGCACGAACAGATTAGGTAAAGTGTATACAACCACCTCTATACATAGATTCATCCAAACAGTAGGGTTAGGTAGAGTTGCCCAATACCACCATTTACCTTCAATTTTACCATCAACGACATTATGGAAACAGATTAGATGGAAGCAAATCTTTTATCTGAGTAAATCCTTCTCGACCTTTAGTATGAGGACAATAATGCCTTACCATGCGATGATACTCAAGCCACACAATCGCTATTAGTCAGTTAATAATCAATGTCTATAGGTATGGTATATACTTTGTTGATTCTAAATACAAAAAACTTTTACAAGACCGCCAGAACTCAGTACCTTAACTCACTCTTGGTGGTGAGCAGTTAAAAGTAATCGAAACGTTCGTGTATTGGTAGAGTTGTGTGAGTCCTGGTGGTTGCGTGAGTGATGAGTTCGATTTAAGTGCAGTGAACCAGAGCGGTTTATGCCAATCTTCAAATCCTTTCATACAATCGTGATGTTGATCTGGTTAAAAAGTGTCGCGCATAAAACGCGTCGATTGGAGAAGTTTTACTCTACACCTGTAAAACCCCACCTCTCCAAATTAAGCATGTTAAGCCACCCTCTCTGTTTTCCCTCATCTGTCTCCGAACGATTCCTGACATTCAATCGCAATACCATATTAATAGTGTGAAGGTTCGGCAAGGTGTGTTCGGCCACAGTGACGATAATTTAACTGGTGTCACCATCTTGAAACATCGACTTCGGTGGCTTGGACATGTACTACTAATGTCATCCCAACGAATCACACATTGTGCATTATTTGCCGACATTGGGACTGGTTGGTAAAAGCGGAGAGGTGGTCAGTTCATGGCATGGTGTCAGGGTATGGATAAAGTATGTACATGACTGGGACTTGTCAGTCCATTACGACTTCCCAGTTGGTGTCTGAGAGATAATGCAACCCAGTGAATTGAAACGTTATCAGACGTGGCTCAGGACAGAAGTCTATGGTAATCGTGTTGTAATTTTCCCTCACTTTTTTTTAAGTGACACAATCTTCCAACCAACATAGCTCGATTAAGTCAGTACCACAGACAAGCCCTACCACCACGCCAAGGCAGCAGCTACGGTCGAGCCATATCTGTTTAAACTGCTGAAGATACAAAGTCGAAGCTAGATGGATAATTTTCAATCGATAAGTGAGATCTGAGGGAACCCCTAGGCTCCAGTAATTGGAAAATCGAATAAAACTTAAAAGTTTCAAAGACTTCATTACTCAGAACAGTTCGTAATCTTTGTGACATGGACAAAAACTGTTTCATGTGGAAAAACCATATTTACACTTTGTTATTTAAACATTTTATCTTTCAATTACAAATGTTATGAACTGAAATACTGAGGATTAGAACTATGTAGTTAGTGAGAATTCTGGATCACTTAGAGAAAACGCTCATTACTAACAGACAGCAACAAGAGAGCTGTTGACAGCGAGGTATTGAATACAGAATATGTTGAATTGACCTATAAAAGATGCTAGAGTGACGTGCATGAATTAATCATACTGGAAGTCGAAAAAACCTGATATGTCATTTATTTATTTATTATTCATTATGTAAACACATAAACAATGGTACAGGGGGGCACCAAGTACATATGCGCCACACAATAACAATGAGACCAGTAGCAGTTATCACTGATTTACGTGAGGGCTCTGATACTGCCAGGGTGCCCAGACTAAAGATGGTTTTCCTAGGGGGGCAACGCCCAGAGCCTTTGACCTAAAGGTCTGGTCCACAAGGCAGTGGAGTAACTTAAGGAGATGCAGTCCCATGGTAGCCAGTGACTAACAATAGGTTCATACTCCATTTGTTTCCTTAAGATCCTGGAGCCCATGTGCACCATTGGTTTAGAATCAGGGTTTTCCAACTCCTCTAGATGGATCCTTCGGAACCGGTTAAAGCGCCGGACATTTGCTTGCCGTCTTCTAAATTCCGTAAATAACACCCCTGCCGCGAGAAGGCAGTGAATAGGACCTCCCTGGCAGTAGTTGTATGCAAGTGGCCATGTGAGAGCATTTCGAGAGGGAGCGCTGACTCTCACCACTCTCGGCCGTACCAGGGCATTAAAGAGCATGTCATTTATCCACCTTTGAGTGGGACTTAATGAAATAGATTGTAATTATCGATCACGATTTACGTCACGTAAATCTGAGTAATTAAAATATAAATTATCATTGCGGAAACAAACAAAAAGTGCATTTTTCACACTAAAAATAGTGACAGTTCTCCAGAAGCAGTAAGTTAAGTAAAGAATCATATGTCTAACATCTGTTCAGCAACTTAAAAACGACTAGTGTTATGATAAATCTAAATTTTTCACCTTAAACTCATTCATGGCTTTTCCTACTTCTCGGCGTTTAATCTCGGCTTCAACAGACTTTTTACTAATTTCCTCTTCTTTGCGTTGTATTTGAGTCTGAATTAGTTGATAAGCGCGTTCTATTCGTTCTTCCAAAGGTCGTTCACAACTTCTAATTTGAGTCTCCGACATAGATGACACTGATGGCTCTATCATATCTGATCTAAAAGCCTGTTCGGTGTCATCATGCAGCTCATTCTCGGATATATTGCTTGCAGTAGTTGAGTTCACGTCTGAAAATAGTTTGAGAAAATGAATTGAGATATTAAAGGTTCAAAATTCAGTTATGTAAGAATGTGTGGACCTATACAAGTATATTTCTTGCTAGAAAAATAAATTGCTTAAAAGATATTATACCATGCCTAATGCAAATTTCAGTACTCCGTTTTGAATAGAAGAAAAAGTTCATCTTCAATATCATTTAAATCTTAGAAATATATTGATCATTTGAATTTAATATTATAAATAAGCATTTGTAGACTGACAAGTAGTGTGGTTACAAACACATTTTCTAAGTGTTTCTGACAAAGAGTATAATCCAGTTGATTTTACTAGATAGTAGTAAAATAGAGCCTATTTAAAAAAGAAACTTCAGTTCTTATGACAAAAGTTTAGCCACCCACAGTTATCAGTTATATTACTATAGAGAATTTGATAAATGGACGAGGTTTGTAATTGTTAACTAATGAATAAAATGTCGATTGATAGATGAAATAGAATGATACGCTATCGCCATGATAGCCGCTCACGAGACCGAAGTATTAGTTCAAATCCCCGAATAAACTGATAACAAAAACAAGAGAATTAGCTAGAATAGGATTTGTTTAACAGATACAGTAAAATACTCAGATACAAGTAATTAGTCGGAAAATTAACGTGATTAAATTTCATAATTCATTGGAGGAAATCAATTTGTTTAATCCCTAGCTCATCAGTGAATTAAGGCCCTATTCTTGTCTTTTACATTATCGATCTTAGAACAGAATGACTGATCTGTGTTGTTGTTCAAAAGATTAACGACCGCAAGAAAGATATAACCATCCCTAAGAAAGTAATTAATTTGCATAGACATCCATATAGGTTCAAGTTTACAACAGTTATCGGTTGTCATGAGCTACACTTTCGATATAACTAAGGCAAATATGTAGCAAAGTGTACTAGAAAGTTAACTCACTCACCAGGTACTTGGGTATGAGTCGCACTATAAGTGTGTAGAGTAATAAGGCTATCTGGTTGCCCGAATCGAAGTAAGAAGAGGGGGTTCGACCCAGGGACTTAGTGGATGAGACATGTGCATCAACCAGGCATGGATAAAAGTATTCTAGAAGTATATTTGCAAAAGATTAAAATGTTTGTCTGCATTGACACGTTGTTTGTGTGCAGTGCTTTTACAGTTGACAATTTCACTAACAGCCACACCATTAAAACTACCTGTTTCTCTATACCAGTGGTCAATATTTTCAGCAATAGTTAACAAATGAAGTAAAGTGGAATATTTTGTTTTTGTCGAATACAGGGTACGTGATTCGAAAGCCCTCACTAAGAGCATGATTGTCAATCCGTCATATTTGCAACATAAACATAACAGTAAGTAATAATTGGGTCACTCTTACAATTGGCGGATTTCACTGACTGACTATCTGGTTGTGTGGAATACTGGTTTTCTTAACATAATTCTATCATTATCATTACAACCAATATTTATACAGTTCCCAGTCACGTGTCATCGCCCATGCAATTACTGTTCAAGTTGAAGTATAGGTAATAATTTATACTAGTTACTTAGGACGGAATGGTGAGCAGTTGCTCCCAGATATATTAATAATTTATCCTTTCAATCAATGATTGAGCAATATTTTCTAGAGTCTACAACCATAGGTTACAATTATCTAGTGAACTCCAACCTGGAAGTCTGAAACCCCTAAAGTAGCTCAAAGTGATAGTTAATTTTCAATAAAGTGATAACATATTTTTGTCCTGGATATCCTTGGCTATTTTACAGCCTACTCTAAGGCTAACTAAAATCGCAACAGGTGAGCAATGGGTGGGGAGTCTAGATAAATGCGTTTACATACAGCTTTACGGTTAATCCGTTTTTTACCCTATTTACATAGTTGGACACTTATCTTAAGTGAAAATATTGTGTTTGTTGAGTATCGAGTGGAGTCTACAAGATTACGTGTGGGATAATTACAAAACAATGTCTACTTAGCTAAGTTAAGAGTGACAAACGTTAAATTAAGCCAATATTAATTTGTAAAACACAAATTGTTTGTTGCAAACTAACTTACTATTAACTGGTCCAAATCCTGACTTTTTTATCCAGTCCACTAAACTTTTACTCTCAATACGACCAAGCTTTATATCTATTACTTGCCCAGTGGAACCAATGAGGTAAATACAAGGAACAGTAAGGACTGCATAAACTGCTGAAAACTGAACAGCAGCATGAGAAGAAGCTTCTAACTGAAGGCCTGAAAAGTTATTAGTAAATCTATTTATTAGAGTTCGAAAACGTACAAGACTGACAAACAGCAATATAAATTGCACAATAATGAAAGACGAGATTTTTCAGTTGGGACAATTAAAGTTCATCAAAACCACAAGCAAAAACCATGTTATTTTAATCTACGTGTAGGTGGATTGTTTCTAGTACTAAAATTATCAGCATTTAGGTACTAGTTATCTGAGTAAATAGGTGAATCCACTATGAGACAACTACAGGTGAAAAATATCTTTTGTTTTGCCTGGCTGTCAGGTAATATGAATAATGAATATATATGAGTGAATTACTGATGAATTATATCCCAATATTATTACAGAGAATTGATGTATAAACATTAAAAGCCGAACTTTAATCTCTAGTAAGTGGAACATTTATACCGTGGTAATAACCAACATAGTAACTAAAACGTGAGCCATTTCGATCCAGGAAATGTACTAAACTGAACTTCATTTCTGAGTTTCCATACGTGGAACACAGAAATGAGAAACCGGATTGATGGTTAGAAGCAAATTATATGTTGGAGTAGTATTACAAGTCCATACATAGTTCAATCACCTAAACTGACACACGTACATAGGTCCTATGCCTAAATACAGTAACCCTCTAAGACAGCTATAGTCACATATTAGCAAATTCTAATATTCTGGATTCTTCATGTCCCTCTTTTCTCCTTCTCAATTTATTTCATTGGATTATACTCCTTGAATAACATCTTCAAACCCTAATGTTTCCGATTACTGTTTATACTCTTACTACCTCTACCATTACGGGATTTGAACCGACAACTGAATCTCTGTGTCAATGTGGTATGGCAACTCAAACCGATGTACGTACGTACGAAGTCCCACGTTGTTACTGACTGACTGACTGAAAGAACACATTTCAACCTCCAGAGGTAATGTCCATACTCATGAGGAAATATAAGGAAATGATGAACAATAATCATTGTTTGGTAGGCAGATGAGCATTACAGATGCACGACAAGTGGTAAGAACGAAGTAGTTTTTGTCCAGATTTTGTCAGTCACTAACAATTTAGTGTTGACTATGCCCCACTTCATGAGTGAAGTGGTCGATGTGCTTAACTACTTCACCCTAGTTATACTAGATGCCAGCCCAGATCCAAAACGAGAAAACATATTGCATCTAAGTCTTGGAAGACGCATTACAAGCATTCTCGTAATATTATTCGAATAATTTGGAAAACTTTATATCTTAGCAGTCTTTACCAAGCAGAACTCATTCAAACCGTGTTGTAACTGCCTCTAAGACATGAATAAATAGAAAAATATTTCAAACAGCAAACCTATGGCAAACGCATTCTGGTGATAAACCCACTGAATATAATCCTAGTTTCTTTAATGAGCCCAGATGGATGGTGACCATTTATGAACAGATGACGGCGAGACTCTAACTTAGGGACGAGCCAATCAGAAGCGTTTGAGCAATTTCAATTATTAGTCAGTCAGAAGACAGCATAAAGTAAAAATATATTAAAAGAAAGTAACAAATCACAGTGGATATTCTTCTTTGACATGATTTAAAAACTCGTATGTTAGCATCCTAACCCTAACCCTCAACTAACTCTAACCCTAACCTTAACCCTCAACTAACCCTAACCCTAAACCCTCAACTAACCCTAACCCTAAACCTTAACCCTCAACTAACCCTAACCCCTCACCTAACCCCAACCCTAACTAACCCTAATCCTAAACCCTCAACTAACCCTAACCCTAACCTTACCCGTAAACCTAACTCTAACCCAATAGACGAGTTTCTATTCCATATGCATTGTGAATTCAGAACCTCTGAACCTTAATCAAACCTTAACAAGTTTTTAAATCATGTAAAAGAAGAATATCCACTGTAATTCATTACTTTCGTATAATATATTTTCACTTTATACTAACTTTCTTCTGATTGGCTAATAATTGTCAAGGTCACTTAAGATTCGTTCAAAGTTCGTCCTTAAATTAGAGTCTCGCCCAGATATGACTTCAATTTTATCACCCACTACTACTTTAAGCCACTAAAGGAACTGTTGGCCAGTCTGCTTTAGATATTTACTTCCTTCGGGACCTGATGGGATTTTTGATAATTTGGTGATTAAATTATGAGGATATACAGGATTTCTATTTTCAATTTGATTGTAGGTTTATCGCTTCCTTATGATAGAATGAATACATTTCACACTAAATGAGGAGCATTTTTAATACTTCAACAACCATGAAGTCAATTCGTTAACAGAAGTAAACTTAATCTTCTCATCTCTAAACGAAGTAACGAACACGACTGTGGTTTTCTGGCTTCGCTGTAGGTGTAGATGCACACCTATATCAATAGAAAGGCAGTCACCAAGCAAATAGATCAAAGGAGTACAAGCCACTAACAGGTTGTTACTAAATATTACAAATAGCAACCAACTTTTACCGCAGCGTTGTTGTTAATGTCTAAACCGCAGTCCTTCATTTATTTACTTACGACACAAGACTTACGGTAAAAGGGAGGCAAGGTTGTCTGGAATGTAACCGTACTGCTTAAATACCTGTTGAACCATCTGATGATTCAAAGCTCGAGTATGCAGTACAGTTTAATGATTATATACCCCTGAGCAGGTACCAGTAAGACCACTTCCTTCAATACATATTAAACTTAACATTATTTAGACAGACGGAAGACGCTTTCCATGTTGATACACACTGCATTGATCATGCTAGGAACTTTACGGTTCTGGCACAGTCGATAAAACTCATACACTTTCTCACATTGATAAGTTTAACTAGAGTAGGAACGAACGCAGCAGGATAATGCGGATCCATTTGTTCCATAGTCTTCAGTTGCTTACAACCTAGAATTAATGGCATTGGTTTTAGAAACAAAACTGAACACACTTTACGTCATAATATTAAAGATGCTTTTTCAGTATATATGCAGAGCATATTCATTGGAACAGAAAGAATTATTATTCGCATCTCCAACTATATTTCTCAAATATTGAGACAATCGGTGTGCTTCCAACTCATCTATTTGAGGACAGAGGATAAACTAACACAACTCCCTCATATATCCATCTAATAACAATTATATAGGTATTTTGGTGTATAAGAATCTATATGCTGCGAAACCGTTGTTTGATATAACTCGAAATGTTAGTTTACAATGTTAAAATAACGTTTACTTCAGCACATATACTGACACAGAATTAAATATGTTGTGAAAGAATAGGCTCCCAGTAAATTAAAATATACAGAATAATGATTACTCACACACAACATTACAACAAACTTCCCCAACCTGGTCGTCGAACTGGGTGGAGACAAAGCTAGAGTCCTCGTCAGTCCCTGAAAATAATATAAGTTTACTTATGCTTGTTACAGACCTTTAATAAAAACTAGTAGTAATTTGGACTCTTCTTTCACGGATTTAATTGCGTCCGAGACTTCGCCCTTGAACCACTCCATCCGATTTCGATAATCCGCCTATGACACATAGTGAGAATACGATGTCCAGGGTACAATAGAGAATCTAGAAGAAACCTCAAGCTTTAAACTTAACAGGATAGACATAACAAATTGTCGGTTCCTTAGAATATGCCTGAAGGTTGTATAGAAATATTGTTGTTTTGATCCTTTGAGGAATAAAAATGGGACAAAATATAGATTAATAGTGAATAGAAAAGGATAAAAGGGAAAAATGTAGAGTCATCTCTCTCGGTATCGTTAAAAATCACTTCAAAGGATAAGCAGGAGATCCTGTCACTAGCTTTTCCAGGAGTGAGATCAGTAGTTTACAGGCTGTAACCTTGAAAGTGTTCACGTTTTTGGGAGATTTTTGTGTTCATCCCAAAAGAAAATCTCATGCAGATCACCAAGGTAGGTAATCTGTGTCAGTGATCGCGATAGTGTGACCTAACTCATGTTGAAGTCACACTTCTCTGTTAAGACCTTACATGGATTACCCTTTCTTGGGATATGGCTACTGCAGCCACTTCGATGGCCGTATAGGACCAACATGATATTATGGAGGAAATGCATCAGTGAGAATAGATTCGGGAGACAGGCCGCGACAACCACCGGATGGATCAGTCCATCGTGTGTCATTAATTGATGAGCGGTAAGAAAGATGCACATTGATTTTAACTTGAGTCGTTGAACTGTCCGACATTCAGTCGCTTGCATGTTGGATGAGCTTGTTAGAGCCAAGTGACACATCACTTGACCTGCAATGCTCTCCCATTAGAATGAATGGCTGCTTGATTCGATGTCTAATTCTTCAGAAGTGATCACGTGCCAGATGTCACTATGAAATAAATGAAAACCCGTCAGTTATTGACAGACTTTAAGATAAGAAAAAATGTAGGTGGCGGAAACTGATAGGTAAATAACAAGTATTAATAAAGCTAGCAGTTGTGATTAGAACTGAAGTACAAGTTGTTTGAACGTAATGTGCAAAAGTGACAATTCTAAAGAATAATATGCATAAGAAATTGTTATAGTGAGTCGGATTGAAAAAGACAGCGTCTACAGGTGACCGATTCTTCCCACGTGCATTGTGTAAAGCAATTGGTAATAGCAATGATGCTAAAGCAATATTACGGCTAGTACATCACCAAATGATGATTGTGCTATCATTGGCTCAAAGTAGAATGTCAGTCAATATTGTAGACAGTTTTCTGTCCGTAATTGTCGAATTCTATTCATATTCATAATTAGCAGGCTAGCTGAAGCCACAGAAACGTAACTGCAGAAAATCAATCGAGATTTCACCGAACTAAGTTATTGGTCAATTTTTGGTCAAAGGCTAAAGAGCTAATGAAGAGGGTCATATACTACGAGGCAAAAATATAGATCGCACGACGAGAATGTGTCCATAGGATGATAAAAAGCTAATACTGCACGTCAGTCCAATAAGTAAACCGAATTATGTCAAAGATAACACATGGAGTGTTACTTTAGACTCATGTCACTTTTGTTGGTGAAGGGTCTTGTCAATGTCAGGGAAGATGTGACGGTTTCGTTTCCAGATTGCAGGAGACCTGTAATAAATTAAGTGGTATTTGCCCTAGAGCATGCGGTATGCTGAACGTCAGCTGCCAAGTCATCCGCCTCAGAAAAACGTCGGATAGATCGACATGCTCTCTCCTGTTTAAGTATAGCTGTTGTGAAATATTGGCTCACTAACTCCATACAAGAGTATAAAAGTCATTCCAGACCTAACGCCCTATCAGCGTCGTGCTAGAAGACGTGAAGCGATAGAGTTGATAATAGTTACAACAAATAACCAGCTAGAGACAGTTCGCAACACAGTAAATATTTTAAAGCGCATGAATAACAAGCAAGATGTCACTCCACAACCGACAGATCACTCTGTAGATCGAGATGAGCCTGAAGACCAGAAACCTTTGGATAAGATACGGATTCCAACTGCTGCCAAAAAAGTATAACCTGACAATATACCAGCCGAAGCACCGAAGTCAGACACAGAAGCGTCTTCAAGTATGCTTTACACCCTATTCAGAGAAATTTGGATGCAAGAACAAGTGCCGATGAACTGGAAATAAGGACATCTCATGAAGATACCAAAAAAAGGAATATGAGAGAACTGCAGAGGAATCACACAACTATCAGTACCAGGAAAGGTTTCCACAAAATGTTGCTGAACCATATGAAAAGTTCAGTAGACACCCAATCGCAAGATCAGCAGACCGGATTCCGTAAGGATCGGTCGTACACAGACCAAACTGCGACACTACGGATCGTCGTTGAACAACAAGTTGAATGGAAGTTGTCATTATATATCAACTTCCTTCACTATGAGAAAGTGTTTGACAAGGTGGATGCAAGGATTTTGTGGAACTTTCTTGGAAAATATGGTGTGCCAGGGAAGATCGTCAACAACAAAAGGAGTCATACGCTGGACTACACCTCAAATTCGTACATAGAGTACAACTGGCAGACACATTCCAAATGAGGACCAGAGTTAGACAAGGTTGCTTACACTCTTACTTTCTTTTTCTTCTGGTGGTCGACTGAATCATGAAGACCTGAACATCTGACGGGAAGGACGGAATACACTGAACAACTTGGAATCAACTAGATGATTTGGACTTCACAGTTGATCTAACTATTCTATCCCATACACAAGAACATATGCAGATGAAGAAAACGGGTGTAGCATCAGCATTTTCATCATTAGACCTCAACATACACAAGAAAGAAAGTAAGATCCTCAAACACAACACAGAGAACACCATCCTAATCACAAGTGATAGAGAAACTCTAGAAGAGGTGGAATATTTCACGTACCTGGAAAAAATCATTGGTGAACAAGAAGGATCTGATGCAGACGTAAAGGTGAGGGTTGACAAAACAAGGGCCGTGTTCTTACAATCGAAGTACATGTAGTGGCACTGGGCCCTAAACACACAATCCTCAAAGCTGAACACGAAACAGCTGCGAAAATAGATATTCAGCATTTAACGCGGAGAAAAACCCAACGGTGAAGGCGGGTAGGAGGAATTCAATCGAATCCAATCGGGTGGCATGGCTCAGCCTCGCAGGCGTGGTCGCTCCGTAGAACTTGCTTTTACTCACATTAAATACATCGTTCTATTTCCAACCTGAATGTGTCCTCCACCATATGTTGGTAATCGTTACGATACGATGAGTCAGTGTAGACAATGATGTGACTTTTAGGCAAGATCTTATAGACTGGATAGTTACAACATGACAAATCTACAACTTAAGGATTAGCTCTATTATTAGAGCAGTACTAATAACCAAGTAGACCATTTCTCTTCAGACATATGGAACTCCAAACAACCGTCAACCAACATGAAAGTCAGAATCTTCAATCTGAACGTCAAGACATCTCTGTCGTACATAGGGTACTACCATAACGATCATCAAAAAAGTACAAGTATTTATGAACGGCTGTCTACAGAAGATACTCAATTTCTGTTGGTCGGATACAATCAGCAACAGCCTATTGTGGGAGAGAACAAACCAGCTTCCAGTTGAGAAGGAAATTAGGATGAAACGTTGGAATTGGATAGGACACATACTGAAGAAGCAATCAAACTGCATCACGAGGCAAGCACTAGCTCGGCATCTTGAAGGGAAAGCGGAAAGTGGACGGAAAAGAACACAGGGCGTCGGGAATTGAAAGCAGTCATGAAAAGGGTGAACAGAAACTGGAAAGGATTGCTCAGGACAGAGTTTGAAGAATGTTGGTGGGCGGCCCATGCTCCTCCATGAGGGGTAACAGGCGTAAGTAAGTTGATCGGCGGGGTCCATTTTGATAGTTTAACAACTTATAATCGGTATACTTCTTGATTGCTAAGTTCGGACAATGAAATTGGACAGTGCTAAAAATTGTCATTATTTAACCTATATAATGTTGATGAGTCGTTAATGAGTTCAAAACAGCCGGCAACAATCCAAGTGTTTTGTACCATTTACGCCTTTTCATTTGCCCACATAGTAAGTATGCGAAATAAGCATTTCATGTTGTGTTACATTTCTCATTGAAAGTCGTGATTTCAGAACAGTCGTTTACTTATCGCAAAGTTAAGCGCTTAGCTGCACAGTTGAAAATAGTAGGTGGATATGCCACCACTTACTTTCCACTTTATAAGTAGTGCTTCCGATATTTGTCCTTATGCTGTACATGTGCAAAACTTTTAGTTGACGTTGTCTGTTTGCGCTGTTGTCGTAGACCGGCTTGAATGCTACTGATCGTTTCGGCAAATGGAAAAGAACTTAAGGTTTCCAACCTCAAATGGGACTGCACAGAATTATTTAGGGAGTGCTTTTTAATTGTACTTTTGTAATCCAATAATACTAATACATTTTGTTGTCTATTGAGAGTGTTTTTCCAAACCAGCCACTCAGGAAGTCGATTTCCATGGATGTCACGAAAGGCCGATCAGCGTTAGATATTGACCGTGAGGTGTGACTTCAACGTAAGCTAGTAGGTCATATTATTCACATTTAACTCGAGTAGACCGAAATCATTGGTACAGATTACCTAAATAAATGATCTTAAAATCCTGAACAGTCTAGGTGCGTTTCATAGTGTTAGAAATCGGGCAAACTTGTAATCTAAAAACTAAATTAACTTAAAATCCAAATATTTGTTTCTGTAATTGATAGCACTTAATTTGTCTACATTTTTATAGTTAACTATTCAGATAGAACTGGTTGTAAACCACCAGACATTCAGCCATTTTTGGACTAGAATACTGCAAGATTTTTGACCAAAGCGTAAAAGCAGACGAACTGGGTATGTCATTCATGTAGATCAAGCACAAAATTAGGTCCATCAAAACCTTTTTAGAAGTCATGTTATCTGGCATCAGACTTTGTCTTGCGATCAAGGAAGGTTGTAAATCTGTGTTCCGCGGTCAGTATTTTATTAAAATACAGATATGTTCCTTCCCGAACCCGTACCGCTATGGTGACAAGAATCTCACAGGTAACAGGTAGTCTTGTATACCATCTCATATCAA